TAGAGGACTATTTTTTGCCGCAACTTGAAGGAATGGATATGGACGATGTTTATTTCCAACAAGACGGTGCAACATGCCACACAACCAACGTCAATATCCATCGATTGCAGTCCTTCTTCGGTGATCGCGTGATTTCGCGCAGAGGAAATGTGCCATGGCCACCAAGATCGTGCGATTTGACTCCCTTGGACTTCTTTTTATGGGGATATTTGAAAAGCAAAGTCTACGTCAACAAACCAGCCACCCTCCAAGAACTCAAAAACAACATCATTGCCGAGATAAATGCCATAGAACCGACCATGTTGCAAAATCTTATGCTAGACATCTGCCAAATTACCGAACATAAAATACCTTGGAGTGGTCTTGGATCCTCACTTACGTTGGGACATCCACGTCAATTATATTTTAAAGAATGTTAGTTTTGTATCCAGCTACAAAATTAAGTACCTTGCGAATATACTGACAGAAAAATATTTTCGAACATTATACCATGCACTGATTGAGCCTCATCTCACTTCTTTTTATGGGGATATTTGAAAAGCAAAGTCTACGTCAACAAACCAGCCACCCTCCAAGAACTCAAAAACAACATCATTGCCGAGATAAATGCCATAGAACCGACCATGTTGCAAAATGTCATTGAAAATTTCGACCATCGCGTGGACGTCTGTAAATCCAGTCGTGGTGAACATTTGAGCGATATTATTTTTCATACATAAATGGTATAAATGAACCTTCAAAATAAAGTACCCAACTTGATTTGAATATCAATCTTTCTTGTTTTAATATGCGTTTACTTTCCTGCGTCCGTTTTGGACAACCCCATACGTTTGAACGAAAAACTAAAATTCATTTTTTAAGTAAAATTAATCTGGTTTTCAGATACTAATAGTAATTTTCGGTAAGAACCAGTAGAGTACTGTTTTTGCGCTAAACATAGATACTTGGCGTCTCTGAGTTTAGTGCTTTAGGAAACCATTTTTCACATACTATTGTGATCTTTGATAACTTATTTTCGTGTATCAAAATGTATCCCAATTTTTATCCGAAAAAAAGGCAGATAAACTATCAAAGATGTTCAAGCTTATTATGGAAACAAAACGTTTCCAGACGTATGCTTATATGTACTTTTTTCCCTATTTTAACGTGCTGAATCTGCCCCTCAGTTTTCCTGTAACAGCCTGTATAAGCTTAACCTGCCTGTAGATAAACTTGATACAAATCCAAATCAATCGGCCTTATTTTTAGGAAGTTGCCCAAAATCCCTTCAAGCACCCTTTCGGAGTCGTTGACACCTCACAATTCACCCCCGCAAAGCAGTGCGGTAGCGGCGTTGCGTGAGATCCACTCGTCTTTTTCTCTTTTCCCGTTTCACTTTCTCGATTCGGGCCATACCAGGCCGGGACGTCGGTCTCTCCTTTCCTTTTCCTCCCTTTCATCCTCCCACCAACCCCCACCCGCCCTTCACAACAGGTTAACCGGGACACCACCGCACGACGAGCTCTCGTGCCGATTTTAATGTACGTTTTGGGGTGCGTTAATTGCCGAACAAAAATGTGCTGTTCTGTTAACTGATTTGAGGTGAAAGGGGTTAGATTCATTTAGTTAATGAAATTCCCGATGTGCTTCAACGAATTCAGACTGCGTAGAAAGTGCAAGTCTATGATTTGTTTGTCTCATACTCTGTACAATTGCTTGTACATCTTGTATCTTATCTCAATTTGTTTTCGAGAAATGAACGAGGTCTGTAATAAGTGATGAGACTGATTTTTTAAAAATTTTTCTATTCAAACATAATTATAATTTTATATTGTGTATAGTGCTGGAAATGGTTCTTCCACTCCTCATAGGAGTTCTGAAATAGCCTTCACCTGGTCGGTTACAACCGTTTGAATGGTTTTGACTATCCGAAAATACGTTCCCTTAAGGTGATTTTTCAACTTCGGGAAGAGAAAAAAGTCACAAGGACTCACGTCAGGAAGGAGACTCAGGAATATGTTTACTTGCCAAAAACCCGTTTATTGACATTGCTCTGTGACAAGGAGCATTATCGTGATGCAACACCCAGTTGTTCTTGATCTGATGAACGATGGTGTGACTCACATTTAACTCTTCCCAGATCATTCTCACTGTCAGCCGGCGATTTGAACGCACAAGATATAGGATTCTGTCGATCGGTTCTTAAAGATGAAGGGTTTCCGCTTCGTCGTTCAACTTCAGCCGAGTTTTTCCCTTCTGAAAATGCCTTAAACCACCGAAAAACCTGTGTTCTTGATAAAACACTATCTCCTATGTAGTAAAAGTGTCTATTGTTCTGTGCCGAAGTCTGAACCACACCGTTGCTTGAAATTGAGAATAAATCATTTTTAGAACACAAAAAAATCTCTACGGACAACCAAATGACTCGAGTGGGTTCAAACTTGTACTGAAAGCCGATCATGCGTACTCCTGTCTCCCCTTCAAGCCCGACGCCTCCATGTTGCCATATCGAACGCTACTCTTTACAGACCTCGTATGCTGAGCTATTAAAAACGACTAAGTATAAAGTATTGTAAAAACGAAGCATTGAGCACTGAAGAGAAGTGACACGAAGGACGTCATTTATCGCCTGGATGCGACACATCGCATCTGATTATCTGCAAGAAACAGAAAAGTTTTGCTTCTTCGCTTCCTCTTCCCTTCAATGAGCGTACCCCTTTCCCGAGCCTAAATTTGTTTGAATCTTTTTATATTTCAACTTTTTACATCTGCCTTCCAGTTTCTTTACAACGTTATGTAACACCCTGTATACATCCAATATAAAGAAAGACAAGTAGTCTTGCGGAAACTTAGATGAAAAACAAGACTACACTTGTCTTTCTTAAATTACCAGGGCAGGTATATAAAGCATGTCTCCGTAGCGACGTTGGAAGATACCTCGTGAACAGGAGGTCTTCTGACCGAAGCTGAAATATGCCTAATAGCTCTCGTCAGTGGCTTATAATTATTTCCCTTTCCATCCTTGTTTTTCTTAAGGTTACACCCGTATCCAGATGTGATGGGCATATCTTTTCACTTCGGTGTTTTCGATGCACATCCACTTCGACCTGATGAAGCCAATAAGCAGAAATGTACGTCGCTCGGGTTACCAATCGTTCTAATTCTGCTCCTGTTTCTTTATTGCGGACATGTCCTTTATTTTTTTTTAATTCGATTTAGCAACGCCTACAACACGTTCCCCATTTCTTCTTGCTCCATCCCTGTCTCTCAGGGGATTCTTCCATGCAGTAACATTCTTGAATTTCCCGTAAATAAGTACACCATTCATCCGGGATCCCATTCTTCGCTCCTTTGTGCCGGAGCGACAACAAAAATGTTACATTTTAAAACATCATAATGGCCAGCCATTGTCAGTGAACAGAATACGAAACTTCTTTAATCTTTCATCAGTCTGTGTGACGGAAATTTATAAAAGTTTCGGCCTTAATAGGTTATAAGCAGTGGCAGATCGTCTTTTACGTGTGAACAGGAACCTGATATCACTAAGAATTTAATTATCTGCAACTCGGATACTCAGAGGGACAGATTCGGCATTTTAAAATATGAAAGTTCATATAAACACAGGCCCGAAATGCTTGGTTTCCGTAATAACGTGTGCGTATATGATAGTTCACCTCATATTCCTCGGAAATAAAATGAGTCTCTACATTTAGCAAAAAAATAGTACGCTGGATTTTGGAAAAAATTGATATTATCGGAAAGCTAAATTGACTTTTGTTAAAAACCCTTGGACTTCCAACGCACAGTACGGCTTGGATTTTGATGAAATATTGACATAAGATTACTAATGCAACAAGGACGTAAACGCTTTGTAGGTTTTGAAAATGTATCCAGTGTACGTAAAGCAAAACGGTGGTGGTTCTGTTATTAAAAATGGTTATCGTTACTAGAAATCTTGCCATTTGTGTCACAGATGTAACTTTAAAAAGTGGTGCATGTGCTAACATTCATGTGTACTGGTGTTGTTTTCAAAAATGGTGGAAGAGTCAACCAACATATTTTTTGGTTTGCCCTTCACTGCCTGTCTCTGTTACGCCATTGGTCACTACGTATACCGACTATAAACTTTTTCGTGCAAGAATAGGAGCGCACATAAAGAAAAATAACCTTACGGTGGAAATGTATTGAATTGCACTGTAGTTGTATGAAAGAGCTCTTTCAAACGTACAACATATACGGGTTCTTTTATACGAAAAAGAGTTCAGTACTGCCGAGTTTTAAGAGGCGGAATTTTACTCAATTTGAGTTCACAGAAACTCTGAGGTAACTTTGATCAATAGATATTATATTAATGCACAGTGAAGTAGCAACTTTGGCAAATGACTTGATAGACTTTCGGGTTGAGGTAGAACTTGCGCTTGATCACAATTTATAGATACTACACTAAACTCTCGGCACCGCTCGCATGGAAGTAGTGAAAAGTATAGGTTGTTTGTTTGACATTTTAATGTAACAATAAATCAATTTCAGTGTTTCGCTTTTTTATCTCCTCGAGAACTACTGTACTCAGAGTTTACTTGAAAACTTAGCTTATTTTAAAATAAAGATGGACAGATTCATTTGCAAGGATATATTTGAACTTTGAGTTGTCCGCAATTTGCATTTCAGGAACTAAATGGTCATAGTCAAGATCATGGACATACCTAAACATAAAGTGTCTTGCTCTTTTTATTTTCGGTGTCAAAACAGAAAATTATCTTATAACTTATAGAACTGTTTCAAACAAGGAAGGACATTTTAACCTTATCTCAAACTCCTAAGTAAATCTACCATCTCCTTTTTTTACATATTTGCCTTGAAAGTCGTGGTTTCAATCATATTATGAAAGCTGCCTGTATTTGCCGTTAAGCGTGTTTTATTTCAAAATGTAGCGCTAATCCCACCGTGATGCTGTTAAATCTTGCGTTGACTTGATATATTTTTGTCAAATTGGTCGTTAAGTTTTTTTTTATTTGTTACAGGTTTCCATTTGAGTGGCGTCGTAACAGCTCCTCGTTCTTCCTCCACCGCAACGTTACCCTGCGGTGCGCCAGAACCTCCCCAAAAATTCAAGGTCTCAGTTAGCTTCGATAGGTAAGTTTTTTAAACAAGTTTTTATATCCAAGATCATAACAATTCATTATAGGATTATATACTAAGTGACATATAAATCCGAACACCCAGTTTAAATGGTTTTATTTTAATAAAAGTTGGTGAATGTATTTATCTTACTGTAAATAACAAGTGAAATAATTGTCAGCCTTATCAGTTGGACATTCCGGTTTTTATACTGTTTTTTTTTAATTCACTAACGCTCTAAAAATGAATATTTCAGCCGCAGTAAAGAGTCAACGTTGGCGGATTTTGGTTCTTGACATCCTTTACGATCGGTTACGATGCCTAGAGTACGGAGACCTGTACGATTTCGTCAACTTAGTGAGTTTGATAGGGGCCGTATAGTGGGACTTCGGGAAGCTGGACTTTCTTTTCGGGCAAAAGCAGTTAGAGTGCAAAGAAGTGTAGACACTGTGGTTAGGTGTTGTCAGGCATAGCTTCGAGAAGGCCGTACGCAAAGAGCAAGGGGCACTGGACGCCGCCGTAGAACAACAGACCGTGAAGATCGCCGCCTAAGATTATTGGCCTTAAGGGACCGTTTTTCCACTACCAGGTCCATTGCAAATGATTGGTTTGCAGAACACGGAAGACCTATTGGCATGCGAAGTGTTTACCGACGAATGAGAAGTTTTGGCTTGTTTTCATACCGGCCACACTGGGTCCTCCCTCGAGAACACCGACGTAATCGCCTTGAGTGGTGCAGACAACGGTCACTCTGGGATCAGGAATGGAACAGTATTGTCTTTAGTGACGAATCTCGATTTTGTTTAGGCATGCACGATGGTCGTGCCAGGGTTAGAAGGCGACGTGGTGAAAGGAGGAATCCACAGTTTTTTGTTGAAAGACATGTTCATCACACTGTTGGAGTTATGGTTTGGGGTGCTATAGCTTATGGTTCCAGGTCACCTTTAATCTTCATCAGAGGTAACATGAACGCGCAGCGTTATATCCACGAAGTTCTAGAACCCCATCTTTTACCCTATCTTGACACCCTGGCAGATCCAACTTTCCAACAAGATAATGCCCGACCACATGTTGCAAGAGTCACAATAGACTTCTTTCAACATAATGATGTCACATTGTTACCATGGCCACCAAGATCTCCCGACTTATCCCCAATTGAGCACGTGTGGGATATGATGGGTAGGAGATTGCTCAATTTGCAACGTCCTCCTCAGACTCTAGAAGCACTTCGAGAGGAGTTGGTGGTTGCCTGGAATGATATACCACAGGAGGATATTGACCACCTGATCAGAAGCATGCCTAGGCGCGTTGGAGAATGCGTAGCACATCAGGGTGCATCCACACATTATTAAAGGTCAAAGGGCTTTAAAGCAGTGCAATCATTTTGAAATTTTTATCATTTACTTATTATGCTTCATTAAGTACTTATACAAAATTTTATTAAAATAAAACCATTTAAACTGGGTGTTCGGATTTATATGTCACTTAGTATAAAAATGGTCACGTTAGCATTTACATACCTATGCCAAGGTTTCTCAAAACATGTGGCAAAAGGCTGATTTTCTTGACTGCTTCGTTTTTTGACAATTTCCGAAAAACTAATTCATTTTGGAGATACGAGGCGAATAAATTTTCGAAAATAACAGTTTTTATTAGCAAATATATTTATGTATATGTAACCAGCGATTCTAAAAAAGGCAAACCAGTATTAGAACAGTACTCATATTATGAACACCAGAGCGGCACGGGTATCACGTATCTTAAAAAGTGACATTATGCAGATTTTTTTTTGATATTATGCTGTTTTTATTCTGAAATTATGTAGGTTTTTCTACAAGATGTTAACTAAGCACTTAGTTGTGCGTGTTGCCTAAACGTCATGAGGCTTGTTATCAATCTTTAGCTCTGATGTGATGTAAAATCTGCTTCTGATATGGCATTACTGGAGGTTTAAGCTGTAAGTTGTATATGTTGGTGATAATTACATTGGGTTCTTGTCTCAAATACACTTAATTGAGATTCAGGCAGCAGCGGTGGCCGCAGTAGTAGACTCTTCGGTCTCCTGATCAGTCGCCGTGCGCTGTGCGGGTTCGAGTCCCGTCCCAGGAGAAATTTTTCTCTTGGCTATGGATGTTGTGATTGTCCGTAGGTGGTAGATGGTATCTGACTGTCGAACGCGGAGGTACCACCCGGCGGTTCTCGTAGGCGGAGCCAGAATGTGTGCATGTTGCATGCACACGTGTTCCCTCGCCAGAGTCCGTGTGGCGTCCCCCCTTTCCCATGTATCCCCCTATAGCCCCACGGTACCCAATGGATGCTTAGGCCTTAGGCCTTCGTGGTAGTTGGAGTATAAAAAAAAAGAAATTAGTTGCGCATCCACTTTTTCTTATCCATTCTGGAAATTACTTATACAAATTTGCTGAATTTCAAAAATGAGAGAGATAAGGAATAATTATATTCACTGTACACTGTCGGATTAGAAGTCATACATGCTAACAGTATCCTCCCCTCAGTTTTTCGTAATTCATAACGTTGAACATAGTCTCTCTTCAGAAAGCACAAAATAAAAATAACCCGTCGGGCACAGCCAATACATATACTTCATTGGCAGCATATTCAGTAATGATTTTCTCACACAGCAAATATCACTGATTTTATACACATGTAGACCAATACACATAATCATCCAAATGCGGTCTTGCTATGCAACCAACTTTCTTCTCAGAGATAAAGACAAGGACCATTTGGCCTCACAAAACATATGCAACCAATAATGCGTGTAGTTTAGTTGAGTGATTCTTCCTTATATGGACGTTCACAACGATCCTAGTGGGCAAACGTGGAATAACTGTTTGCGCCCTAAAAACTACCTAGTTTGCAAGATGACATCTTATAGGTTTTTTTGACGTTTTATAGGTTTTTTACATGATACTCCTGCCGTTTTGAGCTACGCAGGCGCCCCTGAGCGCATAGGAATCTCGGGACCTACGTCTGTAGAGGCCCCAAGCCAGAACAAAATTTGGGGCCTATCTTGCCGTTGATGAACATTAAAGGAGCGGGGGGTGGAGTTGCTCGAACATTTTTTTTTTAAATTTCATCTGATCTTTGGGTACTTGGGAACCCCTCGTCAAGCCGAGACTCTGACCACGAGCCCATAAGGTAAAGACGGACTAGGGGGAGATCTTGCAAAATGTGTACGAAATATCTTCTGGTTGAGACAAAGAAGTTTCAGAACCGTTACAAACGACTCAAACTTTTCTCTGGATATTTTATTGCTCTACCCCCTAATAGCACATTTGGAATTTTATTTCAGTTTCGAAGAGCGATCTCTTATGTATAAAACTTTCCCCGTGGAGCATATATTTTGCGTACTCAAAACGTCGGAAGAATTCTGTCAATTCGTCTGAAACTTGCAGGTCATAAAGTAAACGGATTGTGAATTTAACTTTTTTATCCGGAAACGATCATTTGAATAATGGTTGCCAGACTTCGATTTATTGCACTCTCGAATCTAAAATGTAACTGTTTCAGTTCGGTACATTGTACGAAAGAATTTAATCAATAAAAAGTATCGAATGATATATGTTTTGTTGCCAAGTCTTGATTCTTCTAGTTCAAGCGCAGTGATAACTGTGTTTGTATACGTAATATAGCGATTAAGTTCCAGGAATTTATTAATGAAAAACAATACAATAACTTTCAGGCTTGATTTTGTCATTTATTTCTACAATAGTCTCTATTCAACTCTACGCAGTAATTCCGACGTTGCTACCATTACGGTTTTTTTATATACTGCGGAAGGTTGGGAAATATCGAAACTGGAGATACTACAGACCAAACTATGTGAAATGACCTAAACACACCTTAGTCCAAAAGTTGATAGTTTGCGAGATACAGGTGTGTTAAAATTTTATTTTCTATTTTTCCTTGTTGCTTGAGAAGTTTTTCAGAGTTTGACATAAAACTCGGTTTTCCAGTACGAGAAACAAGAATCCGTTATTTTTTGTGGCCAAACTTCTAGAGGGCGCCACTTACAGCACTATTTCGGTGAATAACTTATAACTTTTTTGTGCTACCCTGTATAAAACAACTGACCGAATAATCTGATTTTTTCGTATTTCGACAACAAAAAAGGTTTACTTGTTAGAATTGTCTAAAGCTAATAGTTTTTGAGATATTTGTTTTTAAAAGTTCCAATGCATTATTTGTGCCATGATGATTGACCATTTCTATAGCATAATAATAATGTTGCTTTGGATAATATCTGAGTAGCGTTGCAATAGTTTTTAACAGTAACAAATGAGGATGGCAACAAAACTAATAAACGGAAATCATAACTACAAAAATTGTTCAAAATGAGCACCACCTTGCCTAACACACTCTCGAGCTCAGCGAACTAATCCTTGCTGCACTCTCCAAAGCACTTGGATGTTATTTTTCATTTCCTGAATATGGTTGAAAATTCTTTGCCGAAGATCATCTACAGTTTACACTGACGTATTGTAAACGCGTCGTTTAAATCACCCCAGAAGAAGAAATCCATAGGATTTAAATCTGGTGATCTAGCCGGCCACGATACAGGTCCTGATCGGCCTATCCACTGGTCTGGATAAACTCTATTTAGAGAATCTGTCAGCGTACAATCTTCGTGTTTTTGAACCATTACATCTTGCCAGTCCGTACATTGAATGCATATCAGAATATTCAACAAACGTATACTCCATGATGTGTAACAACTTATTGTCAACTTAAAATTATTCATAAAGTTTTAAGGCAATTTTATTACAAATTTTAGAAACCATAGCAACGCTACTCAGATATTATCCAAAGCAGTATTTCCAGTTTCAAGATTTCCCAGCCTTTCGCAGAGTATAATCAGTTTTCTATATTTGTAGGTGTAAAATAACGTCGGTAACATGCAGCTGCGAAACCAAAGACATCTTTTGGTGTCAACACGTGGTGGCGTTGTCCCTCTACCGAATCAGGAATGCCGAAAGCGTTCGACTAAGAGTTCCTATTTCAGGTAAGTTTCTAAATCATGCTTTTAAAACATAATATTTTAGTATCCGAAGGCTTACTATTACCTAGTTAGGTTTATCTGTCTGAACACTTATGTACATACAGTGCTTTTCAAAAAGGTCTCCCCCTACTTATTTTTTGAACGTGTCAAGTTAATAAGCTGAAATTCAAGGTAACGTAATTGATGCATGAATACTATATTTTATAGTAAAATTGAGTTAAAAAGTTAAAGACAGTATTCTTTTAAATAGATCATGTGATAATTCATTTTACACCTCCTTATGAGTACTTCATAACCATAGAATATAAACTCACTGTCCAACTAAATTGCGGAATACCAACCTGTCAGATTTGAGCATTTGTGTATCGTAACTCAACAACTAATAATCAAAACGTTGCAGTATGCTATTTTAATCTTCTTCTTTTTGAAGGGTCTATCTAAATGTGCAATAACGTATGGGTCATTTTTTTAATTGAATGTTCCATACTTCTTCTCTCCTCAAAGTCAGCCGGTCATTCCGCCATTTAGGTATAGGTAACAAAAAGTTCGACGTAGGTGCTGTGAAAGTTGGGACAAAAGGAAAAACTGAGAAAAGTTTGTCGTTATACGCGTAAAGGAAAGTTCTAACTTTGATTCCATCATTTTTGTCAAAATCTAATGTCAATTTTGGGCGCTTTCTTTGTACGTAAAGCTGTTTCGTCTTGTAAGCAAGTTCACTTACGGTATATAAATATATTTTCATTAATTTGTAATCCAATCTAATTATAAGATGTCGGTTATCAGCCTGTGTATACAAATCAAACAATTAAATCCGATCGGAGAGTGAACACGAAGCTTCAATTGTTTTCGCGGTTTCACGAATGCGCTTTTGTTTTTCTGTAAACATGCAAGCGTGCAAATTGCGTATTTGAACTCGCCAATCGAGATAAATGCCGCCATATATCTATAGAAATCAACGGCAGTGTTATTGATGGATCAAATTACATAGTGACGCGATACTTCAAAGGAAACATTTTTGCTTTAAATCGAAAAATTATTTTTGCGGTCGATCAGAGTTTGTTGGTTTGTAATTTTTTAATTTATGCAATATCCGTGTTTCGGTGGTACTATAAGGACTTGAAAATGAGGATTATCCGGCGCTTGTCAATATGGAACTGGAAGAAATTACAATTTAGCTCTTAGGCTGAAACGTTAAAAAAACAGCTACAGAAAGTTAGTTGCGGATAAGTATTGTGGGTACTATCTGCGTATACAAGAGAGGTTGAGAAGCCAAAGACAAAAAAATGTTAAATCTTTTTCTCGTCCAGCGGCCATAAATCCAGGAGCTTTTTTTTCAGGTCATCAGATAACAAGTTGTCGATACAAAATATCACGCAAGGTTAGCATCACATTGTTCGTACCTTTATTGAACGATTCTACAAAAAATTGACGAACTTATGTTATCCTCTTTTACAACGTACGCCAGGGGCGAGGTAGTATTATAATCGCGGAAAAATTGTTGACATCGACCTCACGAAAAAACATTCATTTTTGTCGATCATCCGGTTTGTCTGTCGGTCTGTATGTCCGCAAATCCTTGACAGCCAAATTGTACGCCTGGGAAATTTGGTTAATTTTTAGTAGTGGCGCCACCCCCACGTTCCGCGGTTAAAACCGCTGGGCAAAAAATTACTTGATTTTGAATAGACATTCAATAATAGCTGTGCATTTACAAGACACTCCCGATTCCTTAAAATATTTTCAAAATTATATGTTGTAATAGCCACGTTTTCATACAAACTAGTCAATTGAATCATTTCATTTTTTAAATAGATAAAAATTATTTCGACTATAATTTCGTAAGAGGCGAACTTTCAACGAAAACAATTCAATGCAAGATTGAACATCTGACAAAATAGTACACTGGTGCTCACTTACTCATGTTTGTCTTGCAAGACTGAACATCTGACAAAATAGTACACTGGTACTCACTTGTATGATAGTAACGTTCATTCACACTTTTTGAAAATCGTCTCATTTGCTCCTAAAATCGCCGCTGATCAAGATTATGAACATATTATATTACATACTTTCTCAGTCCGCGATATTCTTACAAAAATTTTTGAGTGTACAGATTTTTCGAAACCTTAGGCCTCTTTTTGCCGAAAGCCGAATGTGTATTTTTGGTCGAAGGCGTGTAACTGTGAAATTCGGCTGAATATGCGGTGGGGTGGTTGAAAATAGGACCTCTTGAATTTGTGCCACTGCGCGACCGGACACAGCTGTCACATTACGTATTAAATGTCATACAGAACCTTTCTAATAAAAAGGATCTCATTAATACCTCACAGGCAGCTTGTTCTATCTCATTTCGACATCAACTCATCTAACGGAAAACGCCTTATAAGCAGAATGATTCGATGAAAATAAAAAGCAATGACTTAAGCTTTAATAGTGGACGCTAGCAATTACCAAAATTACTTCGACTCCAGAAACTAATAATAGTATCGCGATCACCTTATCATTCTATTATAAGGACACATAATTACACTATCAAAGTATTTCTGAGATTGCTAATCTAATATTTATCGGCATAATACCAGCATTTGTCCAGGGAGGTTCTCCTAGTCAACCTGGCCTGGATACAGCGTACCTGTATATAGCACCGTTAGAGAGATACCGTAATTAATTTATATGTCTAATAAATAATTCTGTACCACACCTCCCGGAGGTCTTGGTCTCCGCCCAGTCGCTGTAACGATTTCGTATTACGGCTTTTTCTGGACCTTCTCCGCAACAGAAACGTGCCGTGAGTCTCTCTATTTGCGGCTTTGCCGATACCTCCGTCCTTCTCTCTGTTTAGAGCCGGTCCTGTCTCTATGCGCAGTACAAGGCAACGCCTGCGACGCAGGCAACCAGTCGTACAAAGAGCAAGTTTCATAGGCCTGGGTTAATAGGAACGAAATGCATTAAATCATTGGAATTATTTTAGTCTGTTCAATGTCGAGTCAGCTCCTGATTGGAATATATGTGTCACGTATGGATATAATGAGTTCTTCAGCTCATTTTCGGTCGGAGGAAGTTTCACGGAAAAAGACTATAATTAATGGTAATTGAAAGTCAGGTAGCAATTACCAGACTCATCACATTCATGCATTGGATAGGTAGCGATGTTGTCTATTTTGGAAAACGATGGAGTAGAATCACTTGAAGAAAGTGGGTGTGGTTCTCTTCTCTGGAGAATGATCACAAATTCTTACATGAGTGATGGTGGCCATTTTCAACATTCTTCAGTTTTAAATTAGTTTTCTGCCAAATGTATTGACCTGAGCCTTGGTAGTGTGCTTGTCGAGATTTTCTTAACAGGGATGTTGACATTAATTTGTCAAACAACTTTGCGAATGCATCCATTTTCGACAAAATTCATTCTTTGGTTCTTCATAAAACGTTCCAGCGCGCACACTTCGTATTTAGAGATGAGAGTGGTCGACAACAGCAAGACCGATTTTTTTTTGATATTATGCTGTTTTTTTTTGACATTATGTAGGTTTTTCTACAAGATATTAACTTAGCACATAGTTGTACGTGTTGCCTAAACGTTATGAGGCTTGTTATCAATTTTTGGCTCTGATGTGATGTAAAATCTGCTTTTGAGATGGCATTACTGAAAGTCTAAGCTGTAAGTTGTATGTGTTGATGAAATTACATTGGGTTCTTGTCTCAATTAATTGAGATTCGAAGCTAGAAATTAGTTGCGCATCCACTTTTTCTTATCCATTCTGGAAATTACATATACAAATTTGCTAAAATTTCAAAAAAGAGAGAGATAAGAAATAATTATATTCACTATATACTTTCGAATTACAAGCCATATACATGCTAACAGTAATTACACACAACGCGAGCACGGTGATCATTTCCCATAATTCTCCTCAGTTTTTCGTAATTTATAACTTTGAACATAACCTCTCTTCAGAAAGCACAACATAAAAATAACCCGTCGGGAACAGCAAATAGATATACTTCATTCGCAGCATATTCAGTAATGATTTTCTCACACAGCAAATATCGCATAATCATCCATATGCGATCTTGCTATTCAACCTTCTTCTCAGAGATAATAACTACAGACAAAAACCATTTGGCTCCACAAAACATATGCAACCAATAATGTGTGTAGTTTAGTTGAGTGATTCCTCCTTAGATGGACGTTCTCAACGATCCTAGTGAGCAAACGTGGAATGACTGTGCCCTAAAAACTACTTAGTTTGCATGATGACATAGGTTTTTTTTACGTTTTATGTTTTTTACATGATACCCATGTGTCACGCTCACTTACTCTCATTTATTTTACCCCCTCATTTGAAGAATTGGCCTCCTGTAGGATTTTAGGAAAACGTGAAATTTGCATTACGATATGACATATATATGTCTCTATCAAGACAATTCAGCTCTTCTATTTTTTAAAATGTACCCTGTAAGCACAGTAATGGGCTTCAAAACTATCTTTTCGGTTTTAAGTATTTGGAAGCCTAAGATTCCTGGCCCATGAAACGATCCAGTTGATAGCGTTAACGGCTTGGCAACTGACGTTTGCTTGACGTACGTCGTTCGTGACCCAAACATGGCGGAAGCATTTTAAGTGTTTAACCAATTAATTAATTTTTTAATTCTTTAGTGTTTAAGAATACAATTGATAATCATTCTCCCGTCGTTTCTGTGTTATAACATTTCCAATGGTTATCATGGAAAATGCAGACGACGACGCATTTGCATCTCTACCCATTGCGACAAAGAAGTTCCAGTTCAAGAAAGTAGAGAAAAGCAGCTCTTTGGCTAGTAAGTCGAATACAACGTCTCCATTTTTCAAAAAAATACAACAGAAGTCGTCAGAGAGGGATAAGGTATATACACTGCCAAGAAATGTAATTCCAAACAACTTTGAGGCTGATCCTTTGAAGGAAAAGTTGGAAAACCTGTTTAATGATGAAGAGGCACCAGAGTCACATAAAAAGTCAAAAGCAAGAATTTCTAACAGTCAGAAGATTTCCATTGGCCATAATACTTTTAAAAAATCCAGTACTCCTAATAGCTATACCAATAGCACATTGAAAGAAAGCACAAATGAGAAAGTTGCACAGCTTTGCGGGACTAGCAGTGGTATTGAAACCATTAGTAATAAACTTAGTAACAAAATACCTGTGAAGAGATTTACGCCTTTGAAAAAAGACTCAAATGAAATGAAATCACAAGTAGCTCCTATATTTAATTTCCACAAAGCCAAGAAAAAGGATTCTGTAGATGATAAACCATGCTTTCCAACAAGTATTAGCAGTTCATCACATTCAAGCAAGTCGAGACTTCAAGATTCAAAAAATACACCAGAAAGTTGTACAAAAAATGCTTCAAAGTTCCATTTTAAGAAGAAAACTGTTGTAGGCGTACCTAAAGAATCATTAGTTGATCTTTTCTGTGATTCGCAAAGTTTTACTGATTCAAGGACAACTAATTATGACACAGGTGTAACTTTTAGTGTAGAAGAAACCAATGAAGTAAAATCTCCAGTGGTATGCTCAAGTACTTCAAACAAATTTAAAGATAACGATCCTGAAAAGGTTAAACATATCTGTGATAATGTTAAGATCATAAACATTGAAGATAATAGGCATGTTTCTAGTAGCTCTGCAAAACTCAAAGATACCAGGCAGGACACAGAATTATTTGATTTGTCAGAAAAAGATAAACAGAAAAAGCTTGTTTTTAAAAAAGGTAGCTCTAGTTCAGGCTCATCTACTCCAGATTTGTCACCAGTAAAATCCTCATTAAATAAAAAACAAGTATCTCCAAAAATTAGTAAACCCCTACTTCATCAAGAAGATGGCTCTAGTTCAGCAGATACTACAACAATAAAACCAAAAAAGTTTGTTTTTAAGAAATTAACATCTAGTTCAGGCTGCTCTACGCCTAGCTTGAGTCTTTCTCCTAAAAAATCTTCATTGAATAAGAAAGAAGAATCTCCAAAAAGTAACAAATATTTACATAAGTCTGTGAACTTCGTAAAACATGATAGTCATATCTCCATCAGCTCTGATGATTTTGATGACACACCTGTAAAATCTACTAAAACCACAAATGTCTCTAAAAAAGTACTCCTTGATGATGAAGTGCAGTTTATTAGCCAATCCTTACAAACCACACAGGCAGATTATATGGATGATGAGGAATTTGAAAGGCTATTTGGTGAAGGAAGTAAGCCCACAGAGCCACAAGCATCAAACATACCAGCAGATGATTTTGATCTCAGTGATATAAATTGGAGCGAAAAAATTGATACACCAGTAAAAGAATCAGACATCTTAGCAGATATTTCAGATGTGAATTGGAGTGAAGATATTTTTGCACAAGAGTCTTATACCCCACCTGATGCTTTCAAAGATCGAGTAGATGATGCTGCTGAGTTTAAAGGACATTATCATTTCTCTGATACTATGGATGAAGTATTGCATCAGAAGTTTGGTTTGAGAGAGTTCCGGCCACAGCAAAGGGAGATTATAAATGCATGTTTGAACAGACATGATTGCTTTGTCCTTATGCCTACAGGTGGAGGAAAAAGTTTATGCTATCAACTACCAGCTGTGCTTAGTGAAGGTGTTACTATTGTCATCTCGCCTTTGAGAGCTCTAATAAGTGATCAAGTAGACAAACTTAATGCACTAGATATTTGCTCTGCTCACCTTTGTTCTGATGTGTCAAGAGAAGATAGTACTATGGTTTTTAGTAAACTGCACTGTAGAGAACCATTGATAAAATTACTGTATTTAACACCTGAAAAAATCAATGCTTCTATGGCAGTTGCAGATCTGTTGAAATCTTTGTACCAAAGAGGCAAACTTGCAAGGGTTGTGATAGATGAGGCACATTGCCTCTCTCAATGGGGACATGACTTTAGGCCAGACTACAAGCAGTTGTACAAGTTAAGGGAACAGTTTAGAGATGTACCAATAATGTGTCTTACAGCTACAGCCACAAAACATGTTGAAACAGATGTTATCAATACATTGAAGTTAACTAAAGTAAAGAGGTTCATCATGAGTTTCAATAGGCCAAATATCAAATACCAGGTAAGGTTTTTTCTAATATGACAGTTTTTGAACTAACGAAACATTCTAAAATATCAGAAAAGCCGATTTCAAACAATCTGGTTTATTTGCTATATAGATTAGGTACATGACATGATATTATTATAAATATTTTGCTAATTTAATAATTAAACGTATTGGAATCCAAAAAGGATTGTTACTGTTTTAACCAAAGTCACAAAGATGACATAAAGGGTGCAAACAAATCATGTATTGTTTGCTGCTAGTCAACTGTGACTTACAATATTTCTATAAGATCAGATTTTTGAACATTGCTGCATAGCCAGATATATTCTTGTGTTTTCCTAAAATGTCTATTAATTTTTTTCATATATGTGTTATGCAATTTGTGTGAGTGATTCTTTACTTTGCATATTGATAATTAGAAAAATCTAGATTGAACTAATAATTCTGCTTCCATCCATTTGACCAACAGAAGGCTTAACATGTACAGCTTTCTTGCATATCTATAGTACAGTCTAGGCTGGTCAACAAAAACAAGCATCCTTTCTCAGAGATATAAACTCTATCTAAATAAAACAGCACAAAATGCCAACTATTACCATAATTCCATCGCTGTGAAAGTGGAGAGCAGCCATCCTGAACCTGAGAAACTTTACAGTTTCAAAAGACTCCACTCTTATAGTGGTCAATTCTGGTAATGAATGCTCGAATTAACTATCTATCTTGTTAGATATTGAAATGTGTAATAATTGGTAATATTGACGAAATCATTTTTATTCACAGGTGATTCCAAAAACAGGAAAGTTTGCCACAGCGGAGATAATCAAACTGATTCGGTCAAAGTTTTACAAGAAGTCTGGAATAATATACTGTCTTGCTAGAAACGATTGTGATACAATCGCTGAACAGTTAAACAGACAAGGCATAATGACTCGTCCTTATCATGCTGGCATGAATGATAAGATCAGGGAAGCAATCCAAAGAGAATGGATGCAAGACAGATTCTATGTCATCGTTGCCACCATAGCTTTTGGCATGGGTATTGATAAACCAGATGTCAGATTTGTCATACACAACTCAATTCCGAAATCTGTAGAAGCTTTTTATCAAGAATCGGGTAGAGCTGGACGGGATGGTGAAATATCTTACTCATATTTATTTTACAATTACACTGATGTACTGAGGTTACAGAAGATCATGCAAATGGAAAAAGCGAACAGGAAAACCATGGATGGTCACAACAACAACCTTAGGCAGATGGTGTCATTTGCAGAGAATGTTGTAGACTGCAGAAGACATTTGCAGTTGTTGCATTTGGGAGAGAACTTTGATAGGAATATCTGCATAAGAAATAAGGGGACAACCTGTGATAATTGCGAAAATATCAATAGATACAAAGAAGTTGATGTTACAAAAGAAGCAAGAGAGTTGGGCACCTTGGTGAAAGACCTATCTGTGAGGGACGTGACTATGATTCAGATTGCTGACACTTATAAAGGGTCAAAAGCAAAACTTATTGTTGACAGAAGGTAAGCAGAAAATTTGAATTTTTGACCATAAAAATTATGAATCGAAATTGAAATTTGTTGTTTTTTGCTTTTATCTTTGCCACAAATGCACCAATCTCCAAAATAAGGTAACGCTACTACAACTTTGTACCATATGCCACTCCAGATTTCATTAAAATCAAAGCTGCACTCATAAGAACGTCAACTTTTTAGATGGTAATGTGTGACATGGATTTATGTGAAGCTGATATTCGAAAAATTTTGCTTTAACACGTGCCTCCCGACACGCAGTGTGTTGTAGCTGTCAAAATTTCCGTTATAAAGATGTCTCATCAATATATGGTACAGACATTCTGAACATCTACAAATTCCTCTATTTCTTTCAGATACGACAAACACAAGTTCTATGGTGCAGGGAGTAGCATGGACCGTACTGATATTCATCGAATCCTTAAGGACCTCATGATAAAAAACATCTTCAGAGACCATTTGACATATACAGGAGATTTCCCTGTTGTATATATAAAACCAGGATCCAAGTTCGATGCTCTTTTCTTTCCGAATTTCAAACTGACACTCGCCGTTAGTAAAGGGCGGGACCACTGTGCAAACTACAAGCCTTCACCTGCAGATATCAGCTACTCCGAGTTAGATGGAATAGAAGAGTCATTGCCAGCCCCACTTAGTTTGGATTCTCCTGGACCTTCTAGGGCACCAGTAGCTAATGTAGCTAAGAAAGGTGTTGCCACTAAATATACCAAACAACAAATTGAAAAACTGAAAGTACAATGTCATGAAGAACTTTTGGAAGAATGTAGAAGACTGGCATTGGAGAGAAATGTAACACTATCATCTATTATGAATTTATCTGCCATCAAAACTATGTCTGATGTGTTGCCAAAAACTCAGCAGGAGATGCTAAAAATTCAACATGTTACTGCTGCAAACTATAAAAAATTTGGTGATTTTTTCTTGACAATTACCAAAAAATTCCGAGATCAAGTCGATAAATTGCAAGAGAAGCAACAATCTGAAAATTTGGCCAACACAAGCCTCGCCAATGATGACGACTTTTGGTGTTCATCCCAAAGCAGTTATGGAGGAGGTGTCAAAAGAAAATCCACAGGATGTTATAAGAGAGGTGGAAAGAAATTTAAAGGTGGTGGCAGGAAAAAATGGAGAACCCCAAAGAAAAAAGCAAGTCCCAAATCAGGGAAAAGCAAAAGTACCAAAAAGTATTCTGCACCTAAGCAGGGTGGTGGAGGAGGATCTGGTTTGGGATTGATGCCTGTACTGCATATAAAATGAAATTTGGATATGAGTAAGGGAAAATAGTACAAACCAAATTATCAATTAGCTTTCTGAGCTCACTTTGTAGATATCATGTACAGTTTTGATGTAATTGTTAACTCCATAATTTATTTATATGTTTCAATTAAATATTTTATTACACATTCTATTGTTTTATTCTTATACCAAAAAAACCTTATGAAAGACTATGATCTCGTTTTTTTGTATTCAAAAGCTTAGCATAGACATGGGTTTGTGTTGAGTGGGTTGTGATTATTTGGCTACACTATGGTTTCAAATACCCTTAAACACCATGTTATATCATGATCATATAGCAGGTTAAAAACCAGTGATTGTGAGGAAAACGGAGCAGGTTGATTAGATGAGAAATAAACACAGAAAGAGGACAACCAACTAAAATAATATTCTGGATGTTCACACTGACAATGTTATGTAACGCCTGATGTCGCCAACAATGAATTTATTATTAAAATTATGCTTGACAGTCTTCGAGTCAAGAGATAATGAAGATCTAGTTTATTACATCTATAAAGTTACATACTTAAGTACATACAATATTCATTGTAGATAGGCCATATATATTCCTGTTGGCTGCTTATGAAATCAGTTCATAATCATGTTATACAATATCATAGATGCACTTAAGTGTTCAGACCAATTTACCAAAGCCCTGAGGAGAAATGAGTGTAGTCATGGATAATATTCCAGAAACCCTTCTTCAAATGGATCGACAGCAACTACAAAAGTTCGTTCAGTACCTGATCTCAGAGCATCACACAGAAGTGCTGCCCACAGCCCAAAAATTAGCGGACGAAATACTGCAACAGCGATCCGAGGCAAGTAATAGAACTTTAATGATATTAGTTATGTTTTTGGGTTACCAATTCATGTTTGCATGATTAGTAAGAAACGTGATACAAATTTCCCACTTCTGTGTGATCAAGTTATATCATTCAGTCATTCAAATAATGAAAGGCAAATATTATGTTCGATACCAAGGTATAGGTATATAGTCGACCAAAAGTTCCTATATTCTACAAAACGAATAATTGCAGTTATTGCTTACCTGACCTCATAATTTTCTTCTAAAAATATCTTACATTTTCTAGATGGAGATTATAAATCAAATACTACCTAAACATCCATAGCATAGCAATTCCATCATGACGAAATTAAATGAAATTCTCTATCGTCATTGATAGAAATAGTATATTATGATGAGTAATAAATCTTCAGAAAAAAGGCTTCCTGCTACCAAAAATGGTATTAAAAGACTACAAAAATTCTATACAGCAACCATTTTATGACTACGATTTATGTACGTCGTTCGGTTATCCAAAATTATGAATCCATCCACAGATAAATCAAATCCCTGGCGCCCCAGATCCAACGGCAGGAGCCTCAGCAGATGACGAACATTCGTGGCATTTAGACGAGGAGCAAGTGTGTGAGCAGGTGAAGTCATATTTGTCACAAGGTGGATACTACAATGCCAACAAACAACTAAACTCCCTCTTCTCAAAGGTGAGTTTGTCAAATACAAAAGTGTTAAGAATAACGTTTTCAAAAATGAACTAATTCCACTGATCTTCCAAATACATAATAATTGTTAATGGTATAAATATACTATGTGAAACATTTATACTGTGGCACGCATTGACGTCGATAAAATTAGACCCACACGCGATTGACGCCACAGTGGCTCAAAAGTCCTAAAATGTGCCAATTAGAAAGATTCGCTAAATTTTACAATAAAAAATTCTACGTTTTCCAGGTCACTGATAACGAATATGATATCTGTCAAAGATCAAAATGGCCGATCTAATATGGTGTACATGTTTGTAAAAAATATTTTGATTGAGCTGAAGTTTTGGATGTTTTCAGGGTCGTTAATAACGAACTTGATATAGATTGTTTGAAAATCAAAATAGCAGTTCAAATATGGCAGCTATATTTGCACAAAAAAAAAACGTGTTGACGACGCTCAAAATTAGGTTTCAAGTGCTTTTTAAGATAACTAATATCGAATTAAATATCGATTCTTGAAATTTAAATGGCGGATCCAGTATGGCTATGCGAACATTTTTTCGACTGCACTTAAACTACAGTTTTAAATGTTTTCAAGATATGATTTATGTTTTATTGTATAATGTCCCATAATTGCCAAAATTGATTAGGTGTCTGTTAAAACATACTCGAAATAGAGCGGATTCTAACCAGCTTTTTTCAAGGTTTTAGTAAAACTTGTTTGCAACGGTTTTTTTTTTTGGTATGCAAATGACTCTTTCTAAATAAAAGAGTTGTTAGCAAGTACAAAATGAATCTGCGGCGTACAAAAAACTCTAAATAACGATGAAAAGAGCGTAGAAACAGATAATTTTTCCGAAAAAATCCGAACAAGTGCAAATCACAAACACATGCCGCTCTGATAGATTAGTGTGACCCCATGGTCAAAGTTGTTAAGAGGTGTTCTATATCAATGGAATCAATGGAGAACGTACAGCGTCTATCTACATACAAGGTCTGTAAACAAGTAATAATACTGATTTTTTTTAATTGTTTTTATCCAAATATAATTACAATTTTAAATTGTCACCCTCAAAATGACTTCCTTCAGAAGCCACGTATCGCTGGAGACGGTTCTGCCACTCCTAATAGTGCTGGACCTCTGATACTGGAATAGTCTTCAGCTGGGCAATTACAGACTTCTGAATGTTTTCTACTGTCCCAAAATGGGTTTCCTTGAGGTGATTTTTGAACTTCGGGAATAGGGATCCATGTCAGGGGAATAAAGAGGGTGAGGAGCCACAGGAATGTGTTACTGGCCAAAATCTCGTTTATTGACATTGTTGTATGACAATGAGCATTATCGGGATGCAACACCCAGTTGTTCTTGATCTAATAAATGGTGGTGAGAGTCAAACTTAACTCTTCCCCGATCATGTCATCCAACGTTCTGAGCGCTTAAGATCCCGGATTCTATCGATATTTTCATCGATTCTTGAAGATGGGGGCATTCTGTTTCGTGGTTCATCTTTAATCGATTCTGTATTCTAAAAATGCCTTAAACCACCGAAAAACCTGGTCTCCTGACAAAACACTGACACTGTGAGCCTGTTTAGCAAGAGTTTTCATTGCAATGAGCCCAAGTCTGAAGCAGAACCTGATAGCAGACCGGTGCTTGAAAAACTGTTTCACAAACAAAATTGCTACGGACAACCAAATGACTCGAGCGAATTCAAACTTGTACTGAAGACGGATCACATGTTACCCTGTCTCCCCTCCAAGCCCGGTGCCTCTAGTGTTGCCAGATCGAACGCTACGTTATGCCCGTCTCATAATTAATTTACAGACCTCGTATACTAAGGGAGTGTCTATCTACATTTTGAGGGGCTATTAAAAACCTAAAATTACGAACCTTATTCCAGGTCCGCGAGATGCTTCGAGCCCAAGACTCCAACGGCGCCCGCATGCTGACGCTCATCACCGAGCAGTTCCTTTCGGACCCTAGACTACAGCTGTGGAGGAGTCAAGGTACGCCAATGACAGACAAATGCAGGCAGCTATGGGATCAGCTGGGAGCCCTGTGGGTATGCGTCGTTCTCAATCCGGACAGCGGCCAACACGAAAAGAATCATTGGAGGCAGTTGCTGGATAAATGGAGCGTCATTGATGTCTGTCCGAGGGAGGATCCTGATTTTAGGGTTCAGCAAAATGGGAGGGAATCGGTAATACTATATTCGTCTACTACCAACGTTTTAAATGAAAAACATATTTTATAACATAAATCTCTCACCTGAATTTTCAGTAATATCAACTAGTGGTACAACAGTGTCTATTTATTGTAATTTTAAAAAAAAAGTAGTTTTTTGTTCCCTAACATGGCTACTTGTGTAGACTGAAGCTCGAATACCACTGTATGCATTTGGTCACTTTGTATATATTTACCTTTTAGTCTTGAGGGTCATATAAGCGGCTTTTTTTTAAAATAACGTGTAGCGTTAACATTGACTTTTTACTTCCAGTATTCGTCGCGGGAGCACCGAGACCACCGTTACGACGACAGATACCGGGATCGCGACCGCTACGCGGACCGTGATCGGTACGCAGACCGTGAGCGAGACCGCCGCGATCGCAGAGACCGGGACCGTGAGAGAGAAAGAGACAGAAATAGAGCAGCGTACGAATCGCCAGCGACGGACACGTCTGATTCCGACACTGACGCCGATGATTCGTCGGATTCATACCGAGGGAGGGGCGGACCGCCAGCAAAGAGGATGCGATTAGCTGGAGGAATGGGAGGGGCTAGTGGAATGGGCGGGGCTAGCGGAAAGCCTCAAATGCCCAGGTCCATTTTTGATAGGTAAGTAGATAACCCTCTTTCAGAATTATTTGCCACAGCAACAAATTTTTAATCTGGTACACCATCAACGAACTTGGCAGGTAATTTTATTTTGAAATGAAGTGAAAACTTAATAAACACAAAGCATGACATTATACGATTGGAAATCGTTTTGTTTTAAACAACTGTTTTATATAATTAAACGAAATTTCTTCAGCATAGTATCCCGGTAACAGTGTTTGTGAAAGATAATATAGAAAGCTAGAAGAACATGGCGCTAGTTAGGTTGGCGGTCATGTCTAACATTATAAACAGACAAAGATGTCAATTGCTGATCAGCTGTCCTTTCACACATTGTACAAAAAAGGTATAAAAATGATTCTGGAAAGCTGACAAATACTGATTCCGAAATAGTAGGCTTCAACTGACTGATATGTTGACGAAATTCCGTTGAATCGTATAGTAGGTAAAAAAATCCAATGGCCGATTTATCTGCGAAGCGATGCGGAATTTAGAAAATCATCTGAGGCTAAAATCGTCTTAGAGTGGTCATCTTTTCAATTTTCAGCCAATGCTTTGGAAACAGTAAACCACTTCTGTTGAAACTATTCAAAGACCATTATTTTGATCTTATTTAATGCTTGTCTTTTTTTCAGAAGATTTATAAACACTTGTTCCTTTGCAGGGCTTTAGATGCAGTTACAATGTCTTGGGACAACATGCATTTAAAGAATATTTTATCTAGTGATACGTACTGTTCTCATGTTCCTGACACTTCCAGTTCTGGTAGTTTTAATTCACAAGGACAGCCTTTGTGGCATGGTAAGTGTCTTCACAATAGCTATTTGTATATTAAGTGCGCAAAGGATTACCTTGTTACTGCTCGAGAAATAAGATTAATTCGTTGACACGAAGCCAATCTCACAATATTGCGAGAGTGACGTCGTAAGTATTATAGTTTGCTGAAATCGAACATAATATTATTTATACTACCGTGACAATCTACCTTTTTCTGTATTACTTTTAAAATAGTCAGTAATGATCTTTTTTGCTACTTTGTCTGTCTAGAGTGGCAAAGCTGTCATCTACTCTCATCATTGGAAAAAGTGCGTGCTAAACTGTGAGTAGTAACACGCACTCTTTTTCGGTTGGTTATAGAAAAAATATATTTCTATTATCTAAGACCACTCGGATTCGTATAGAACATAACGTATTTCATCATTTTACTAAAGTAACTTCAACTTAATCGGAGATTATCAAAGATCAGATTCTAGCAAAATTCCTCAGTTTCTTGTCTAACATTTCAAATAGTTTATTTTCAGTTTCTAGCTGAAGGTAGAAATATATTTTGTACGATTCTGCACTTTGGCTAGTTGTTTAAGTTGACCTATCGTTATTCAAATAATGACTTTTCTCAGAACCAATTCCGCTGTGTGCTGCCCGTGTGGACTCGTTGCGCTCCCATGGCCATATGGAAGCCGCCCTCCGTCTAGCTGTATCTGTGGTACGCACTATGAAGCAGCAACAGCTCATAGCGCAAAGAAAATGGCACGAAGGTCAACAGAGTAGTAGTAGTACTAGTAAATTGGTGGTAAGTAACGTCTCCAAACTACCATGGTTCCTTTATACTACATTGGAACAAAAGCAATCGGTCAAACCATTGAATAGCATATTCTACCTTCAATATAACGTTTAGTTTCTTGTCCTGAATCATCAGTTTTCTTTTTCTCATGGAGGACATATCGGATACTGGCACAGGCGAATGGAGTTACTAATCTGATTTCAGAACTATTTAGCATGTCATACATCAATATTCCTAAATATGCATTGAAATTGACATATTGTCATTCGTTTCATAATATCATCAGCCAAACATTCCTTCACTTTTAATGGTGCGCGCATAGGTAAATAATCCCTATTTTCTATATCTATATATATATTACGTATGGATTATAACATCTAATGTCAAAAAAAGGAGTATTCTTATATTTGGTATTAACTCATCGAAAGAAGAACAAGATAATGCAAACTTTTTCATAACATTTAACATCAAAAATGATATAATTTTAAGAAACTAATAGACACATTTTAGATTAGACCTCGACAATGTTCTAGGTTGCTAAATACATTTCATATTTGTGATATCTAAACCGATACACACATTCAGATGGCCCTGGAAATTTTCGGACTGTCCAGATTTCTGAAAAACTGAAGCTATCTGTAATTGTATGTAATCCAATAAACATATAATAAGCAAGACAACTATGAAAATATTAGTTATCATGAAATTACTAAAATGTGGCATCGTCAATATATATATATATATGACATATTATACATTTTTAAAATACGAATTAAAAACTATTCACCGGTACAAAATTCCAATATGGCATCCATGATTGAGGACAAGAGAATAAACGTCATATTTAGATTCTAATTAACGACGGAAAAATCTGGCAATGTTAATTTGGAATTCTGAAGTCAGAAAAAAATAAAAATACTTTTGGAAATATCTGTTTTTATGACGCATCTGAAGTAACCTTCAAGACTACCAGAATGAATATACAGAAACTTGAATAGGCTAAAAGTTTCTATGAGAAGAAAAACAATGACATATCCAGGTCTCCATTTTTCTTCTATTACAATTTTCCTGCAGATGCATCATAATTGCAAAATGACAGCCTGCACATCCCATTGCCAAGGTGCTCCGTGCAGTGCCAGTTCCTGTTCTACGACTTCAATTAACGCCCCGGCAAACCTGGACGGTTGGGTGGGGCACCCACTGGACCCCATTGGGTGCCTCTTCGATACACTTTCCGACGCTTCTATTATACCTGATAATGACAGACCAAGGACACCCAGTTACCTAGGTAAGCTTAATGATATATTTCCAAAATCACAATTTCGTAAAATTTATGAAATTATTCCTTAAGCATGTTTGTATATGAAAGCTAATCACCTCTTGAATGCTTTGACTTCAGTCAAAATAAAGATTGGCCTAACAGGTACTTTGGGAGTTTGTTTTAATATAAAATTCTTGTTTATATTCTTAAAATGTAGATGTATGGAAGTCATGTTTTATGAATACTATTCTCCGAATGCTACTCTCAGCTGTGTGAATTTTGGCACCATTGCGGTTTAATTCTACCAGTAATTTGAGGGCAACGCAAAAAATTAGGCTTAATTTTCATAATACTTTCGTAATTCATCCTTTTGTCGTAAAACTAGCCACAATGAAATTACAGGGTCTCTAAATGACACCTACAGAATGTAAAATTTCTGGATCAAGTCGTTCAAAAATGCCGCAGAGTTTGAATCTCAAAGTAACTGTTGGGATATCCTTTACAGAGAAAATGTTCGCACCTTAGAAAGTAGTTTGCCTAGAAGTATACGGTTTTACTACTTTTATTTTGTTAGAAAATAATAAAAATCGCTTTGTTACAGATTTAGTAGGCATGGAAGATCAACACAATAACATCCGACCACGTTACCATCACGTACCTGTAGTGGGCTCCAGGGACAGGTCTGAAACATATCTCACTCTTGCTTTTGAAGTCGCCCTTATTGGACTTGGACAGCAGAGGATAATGCCTGTAGGGCTATATGCACAGGTAGGTGAATAATACTAATTGAAATGAACATTGCACATCGTATGCAACCTAGCTAGTTTACTCAAACTGACTGTGGCTCTACAAAGAATTATTCTGCATCTCCTTTTACATTTCATTATCTTTTTTAATTTTTCAGTACATAAAAAGAATTATTCTTTCTACTTTTAGGAAAAGGCATGCAAGCAAGAAGATCGTCTTATAGCCAAATTACAAGAAATAGAACTAGACAATGGCCTGGTGGCGGTGTTACGAAGGCAAGCAATCATTCTCTTAGAAGGTGGCCCCACTAGTGGATTAGGCATTGCAATACATCCTGAAAGCATACCGATGCACACTTTTGCGAGGTAATTTTCGTATCTTTTTTACGTTTATTTAATCTGCATTGAACAAGTTTCTGCCAATAGCAATAATCAGTAGTGCATCACTTTCATTACTATTACGAAACATTACTCTCTGTCACTATAAATAATATACATGTATTGGAATGTTTCAAATGGTTAATTTTCTTACAGGTTCCTTTTCCTGTCACTGCTGAACTACTACCCGGATCTTGCATACGAAGTAGGGTTAAGAGCAATGAGGTTACCATTATTAGAAGAACACGAAGATTCTGATGACCCTTTGGGAGGAAACGCAAGCAGTTCTTTGATGATGAGCAGGTCGCCAAGATGGTTCACTCTAGGACACATCGAAACTCAGCAATGCGCCCTAAGTTCGACCATGCTTAGTGCTGCTAAAGGTAAGTAACATTATCTATGACAAAAGAAAAATTCTATATAACCTTTTTGTACTTAACTTAAATTTCATTTGTACCGCGTTAAAACAAAACAAGCAGCATGCAATATTCAAAATCGCGCGCTCCTATTGGCCAGCGGGACATAAATGCCTGGACATGCAGCGATACGTGTTTCTTTTCACTCCACGTAAGTGAAGTTTGAATAAGGTTTACATGTTCAGTTATGCGATAAATTAAGTATTAAGTACGTTTAAAATATCTATTATGTTTGATAGCTACTATTTTGTTCCATTTTAGGTGAAGTGATGAGGCTTAGAACAGTATTGGAATCGTCTCAGAGGCACATACATAGTTCTTCCCATTTATTTAAACTTGCCCAGGATGCATTTCGTTTTGCAACACCTGAAAATGGACCCAGACACCCCACCCTCTTGAGTGTTGCATTTGAATTGGGATTACAGGTAAGTTAATCGCATCTAAAGTATCAATGTCAGTGTGGACGATGATCATGTGGTGTACACATGGACAAATGTGGATTTTCGAGAGTCAACGTTGAACAAAAATTACAGCTTTCAAAAATTAGTGAAATTTGAGTTTTAAATACCTGTAGAAGTAACAGATCGTCTTCTCTTCCAAAATGACAATCTTGCAAAAATATTTGTATTATCCTCGCAGTGAAACAGTATATTTCAAAACAGAGCTTCGTATTGAAGCAGAACTAAATCTGAAGTGCAACTGGTGACTAAGTTCTAGGTTTTGAGTCGCTGGAACTACTGAACTCACTCTACCCGCTGCTCAGTCTGAAGGGTTGCAGACGTGCTGCTCCTGAACGCGTGTCTACCCCCTCGTTGTTGTTACTTGGTCAAACGCTGATCAGGCGCGCCTGTTTGTTGAGATGGTTTGATTTGTACTGATGACTTAGACAGCCGTCACTGTCCGTTCATAATATAAAGTTTATATAAAATTCCGTATCCTTGACACCAGACGCTTAACGACCTGTGTTTTAAGTGATGACCGACACTTAACTGCTGAGTGTTTTTTGAAACACATTGTGTGCCCCTTATTAGCAATTAGCGTGTCTTGCAAGCAATAAACGCGTTATATGGTCATTGAAGTTCAAACACATACCTTGAGGAATTATGTCTTATATGACATGGTTTGGTTTCTATTTTCAGGTAATGCGGATGACCTTGAGTTCGTTAAATTGGCGCAGGCGCGAGATGGTGCGATGGCTGGTGACATGCGCGACGGAGGTTGGAGTTGACGCGTTGATCTCCATCATGCAGAATTGGTATCAGTTTTTCACGGCTACGGAAGCCACGGGACCTGTAGCCACCACCATCATGTCGCACAGTACCATCATGAGACTCAGTCTCGGCTTTACGCAACAAGAGGAGCTGAGCAGTTGCGCTAGGACGCTTGCCTTGCAGTGTGCCACTAAGGTAATCAATATATTTAAATTGATTGAATGTTAATTAGTCCCTCTAATTTTCTACATTTCTTAGCTGTTCCTTCTTACTGCTCTCATTGTTAACATGTTGGGGCGTTGATCTGGATTTATTTGAAAATCTTCGTGCAATGGCTGCTGGAGCGCTGATATGTTTCTTGTTGTTGTTGAAGATTTATTTAGCATTAATGTTACAATGTCAATTTTGTATAATGATTCGATTACATATTTTTCTTCAATCCATTTTCTGTAATTTTACATTCTATTAAATTGTCTATTAAAATTACGTCACTACGCATTTTGATTATTCATAAAGTGATTTTTTAATTTCACCTTAAACATTTTTAAATTCGAACACAACATATCATTATTCAATTTATTAAATTCAAATACTCCCTTTTTAAATATAGATTTACTAGTTATGCTACTATTACAGTTTTGCAGATGAAAATCTATACTGCCATATACAGAGGAAAATACAACTAGCAACCTAGTCAAATAAGAAAGTGCAACTGAGATTGACAACAGTGCGAGTATTGTTAGTCGTAACCTACAAATGTTTGTTTGACAAGTAGTCACAATGAGAAAAGCAGAATGTAGATGAATGTTAGAATGTTAGATTGACTTACTTCACTTACTTTTGCCATATTGCCAGTTGTATATTTTTCGTGGTATAAAGTTAAGATTCTTCATTGTACTTGGCCAATAGTCGTCGTTTTATGAGCTATCGTTTGATATTTTTCTAAATAATTTGTTTTGATTCGGACCCTATTCTATTAATTGTACCCTGATCAACAGATTTTCACTCTTATATCTTGTGTTTCAGGACCCTCCAAATTGTGCCTTGAACGCGTTGACGTTATGCGAAAACGAAGCTCTGGCCTTCGAAACTGCCTATCAGATCGTCGTGGACGCTGCCTCACACATCATGACCTCCTCCCAATTGTTCACCATCGCTAGGTACATGGAACATCGAGGATATCCTACCAGGGCGTACAAACTAGCCATGCTCGCTATGAAGAATGTCCATCTGGCGTACAATCAGGTGAGTAATCATGTCAAATCACTCTTTCAGTCATGCAACTTTTAAGATTATCTAAAAAAAACAAAATCATCATTTTTTACGGATTTGTGCCTCATTTCCATCCATCTGATATGAGGCACTATAACATATATATACATTTAGCGATTATTTTTTGACACTATGTTTTTTCCAGGACACTCATCCTGCGATCAACGACATCCATTGGGCGTGCGCCCTCAGCCACTCTCTCGGCAAGACCGAACTCTCCAATATGATCCCCCTTCTGGTGAAGAACGTCCAATGCGCGACCGTACTCTCGGACATCCTGCGCCGGTGCAGCATGACCGCCCCCGGAATGTCGTGCCCACATCCTCCTCCGCCGCCGCCACCGCCTCCGCCCTCATTGGATGGCAAGCACGTGCCGCCACCTCCGCCTCCCCCACCACCCGCGCCTTCGCATAGGAGCAGGGGCTGCTCGGCTGCGGCGGGAATCAAGCCGTTGAGTTATGACAGGCCGCCGTTGAGGTAAGTGCTTTTTTTATACTTGAACCACCCCGACACCACCTAAACATCTATGGGTAAGGTGGGGCTGTAGGGAGATACAGGGGAAAGGGGAGATGCCATACGGACTCCAGCGAGGGAACACGTGTGCATGCAACATGCACACATTCTGGCCACGCCTTAGAGTTCTGCCGGGTGGTACCTCAGCGTTCGGCAGTCGGAGACCACCTACGGATAATCACAATATCCATAGCCAAGTGAAAAATACTCTTGGGGCGGGATTCGTACCCGCGCAGCGCACGGCGACTGGCTAGTAGACCCAATGCGTCTACCACTATGATTGATGTGTATTTGCGTTTTAATGATGATTAAAGCGAAAATTATATCGTGACTAGTTATAGTAACATTGAAGCTTACACCCAGAGAAAGTTTGAGTTGAGAACTGAGTGCCAATCTGACTTAAAACTAAGTTATAACATAATTACATATGTAGATGTTAAGAAGGTGAATTGTAGAACTCACGCATTGTTTACACATTAAAAAGTTTTTAAGTTCACAGCGGAATATCTTTGAATTGATAGTTCTTTTGATAGCATCAGGAGACACATGTGCATTTTCTGACCATTATAAATTATTGAGTCCTTCAGGTTTAAGATCTTTACGTAAAATATTAAGATTTACAAATAAATTTTATTAAATCATTGATGTAGACTAAGAATATGGTCTAACCTAATACTGATCCTTAAGGTACTCCTACATTTATATTGTATGTATGTGAAATATAATGTCTTGATTGTTTGTTGATGTTTTAAACCACTTGAGTGAAGTTTCGGTATAACCATATTTGCTTGATTTTTTTAATAGTATAGCATATGGAAAAGTCACGAAAGGAGCTATTGAAATATGTTTATCGTTTAAATTTTAGTTGGAGCAATGTGAAGATAGCATCCATGATATTTTTTTGTTTTTGAAATTCAAATTGGTTGTGACTTATGATTTTGTTGGCTTTCAGAAAATCTCTTAATCTAATTTGAACTGTTTCATCTATTATTTTTGCTATTAAGTAATTAAACTTATGAGTCTATAATTTTCTGGTAAATCGCTAGGACCTATTTTATAAATTGAAATAACTCTATTGGTGTTAAAAACTCTGCGTAAACACCTCAGGTTGGGTTTTCGTGACTCTTGACTGGATTGGGAAGTGAAACGTGAACTTGCGACGGTCGTGAACTGTTCACGCGATCACGATTCAGTTCATTCATTGGAATTTTTGGTCGCCAACATTTTTTGTATAAAAATTGGGTAAATTTTCTGAAGTGCTATATCTAGCCAAATTTTCAAAAAAAAAACTGTAAAATAACGTAGCCATTTTTTTGTAAAAGTCATATTAATGCTACTTACAGAATTTGGTTTTGTTGGACGTTGCTTACAATGGAGGGCTCGGACATTTTTTATGCGATATCGAAAACCACGTCCTCGCCTGACGTCTTTGATACCGAGCGTGGGTGGTCTCTTTCCCGATGACGTCAGAGGCAAACTCACGATACCTCCATCAGACGGAGGAAATTTCACGAATGCAAGAATCACGCTAGCTTGGTACGCTCCGTGAGAACGAAGGTTTAAGCTCCTTCTTGGAAACACCGAATATTTATACTTATTTGTGTGCTCAGAAATTTTTGAAATGAGCACAACTCTCAATTTACTTATCACTAATGACGTTTGGCACTTACTTTCATGTACCTGGAATGATGAATCAACTAACACCAGTTTTTGTCAATGTTTAAGCATGTAATAATATAGTTTTGAATTTACTTTAACTTTTAAATTCATATCAGTTTTTCTGTTAGTGTTGTTTTTTGCAGTTTTTTGTTAATGTTGTCCTTTCCAACAAATGTTATTGTTTTGGCACGCAAGTGTATTAAGCACCAATAAAGAAATGAAATGAAATAATTGTTACAGGCAATTGTTGGAAGCTGCCGTGGCCGCATACATAAACACAACCCACTCCCGGCTGACGCACATCTCTCCGCGCCACTACGGCGACTTCATCGACTTCCTGACAAAAGCTAGAGACACCTTCATCTTGGCCCACGACGGTCACGCTCAGTTCGCGCAACTGATCGAAAACATGAAGGTGGCGTACAAGGGCAAAAAGAAGCTCATGTTTCTGGTCAAAGAGCGTTTTGGGTGATACGCGCCCAGAAAGTGGTACGCATGTTGCTAGCGGTAGCTCTAGCGTACCACTTTGTGCTGTTAGTGGTAGTCAATGTCAGGTTTGCTGTGTTTCAGCTAAAAGTTTAGTTGGTTTTTGTTGTTGGTAAGTTGACTGGTTAGAAAAAAAAAAACGTAAGGAAAAAGAGGTACAGTGAAATTGGCTCATTTTACATTATGATCTCCTGGTTAGAACTCTCCATCGGCACAAAGTTTGATAATTAATTAACGGTTTTCGAAATATGGAGATTCAAACAAAGACCAGGGATAAAGGTATTCCGATAGGACACAAAGAATTGAGCTTTAGTTTCGACGTATTTCCATATTTGTAACACATCGTCACACCACAATCTGTGCTCTTACTCAGTGTGAAACCGTTCACCCGATCTTACCTCTGCGACACAAAAATCCTGCATGTATTCAATAAAGCTAGGCACCAACTCTTCTTAGAAGCCGCTGCTTATACATATTTCAACAGAAATAATATGTACCAATGCATGCCCCTGTCGAAGCAATGGTTTCCATTTTTAGTTGTGCCAAACATTATGTCATATGTTTGAAAGGTTTAGACTACACGCCATTTTTGCTGAAACGTATACAGAGGCGTTGGAGGCAAACACGAGGACATATTTCTCAACTTTGACCTTCGATAGCATAAAGTTGTCCATTATCGATTTATTTTCAATCAAAAGGATATATTATAAACGTGCCAGATATTCAGCCAGTTCCACTGTACTTCCTTTGCCGTATATTTTGTGCAGAACTCTTTGTTTTACATTAGTAGGATGGCTAACGTATTAAAATACTGGCACTACTGATGCATATTGCTTGATATTCTGAGGTGTTCAACACAATAAAGTGCAATCATAGATCCGCTGTGTCATCTGATCTATTTTTTATTGTCTTTCGTTTGTTCTTTGTTAGCATATGTGCGATCATATATGGCTTTTATATTTTAGCTGAAGCATCTAGCAATTACCGCATTGATTGTATAATCACCGTCATAGCTATCCGTCTATGTCATCAGAGTAAATCAATGGGACTATCTTACATTTGGTGTTCCATGATGCCTATTGCTTATTTATTTATTTATATTATAACATATATATTCCAAATCCATATATTGTATGGATATAATGGATTTGGTGCTATGTTTCCCAGTGAAAAATTTAATGAAACCCGCATACCTTACGTACTATAAAAAGAATAAATCAGTTACATACAGAAATGTTAATGTAGAACAAGTAAATCTTTTATTTTCTTCTGCGTTTTTGTCCAATGCATCTTTATGTTGGAATATAATTGACATAGGCGGGCGAATGTGGCTATAATTCGCCAGGAATATTTTAGAAAAGACTAGTGAAAGTGAGTCGTATATTAAACTCTATCTCATTCATCATTCAGAGGTTATGTTGAGATATCTGTGCCTCCATTCCAAGTCTTTCTATTCTGTATTTTGTCAGTTTCATTCTTGTCTTACGTACCATATTTACACACGTATGGTTGTTCAAAAACGCCTTCAGGCTAGATAGACAACTATTAAAAGTAGATTGTACATAATAATGTATCTTGCAGCATCTTGGCTACCTTCTATAGATGTCGATAAAAATATGACTTTGAATAATTTGATACTCAATTGAAACTCTCTCTCTCTCTATATATATATATACAGGGTGACTTTGAAGTTGAGACATTAATTTTCAGATAATGATTGTAGAAGGAAGATAAACCAAAATATGTGTGTAAAAATAAAAAAAAAATTACCTTGTTTTATAAAGTATCCTCCCGACAAGTATTTCAGTGCGGACCTGTATTTGATCGCGAGGTCTTTAAGCACCGGCATGCCGTCTTAAGTCACCTGATTCACGAGCCCGTTGTACTACATTAACAAAAGCGCGAGGGGTTGGTTGCACTCGATTGGGAAACCGATCCGCATAAACATGTGCCATTTTTTATTTCGTTTGAGCCACGCAACAGATACCACTATTCACTGACGCGTTACCGACTGACACTGACTGTATACAACACAACTGAATAAAATAATTGTAAAAACATCGTTCCAAATTCTTTCGCTTTTTTGTTTCCGATGCGATGAACCGATGGCGGATTATATCCGTTGTTGCCAAACACGAGCACATAATATTATCATTGAGACAGGGCGGTACTCAAACTTCCAAAGGGCTATAACTTTGTTACTTTAATTTTACCAGAAAAATGGTAAATGAAAAAAACATTTCTTTTGATCAGATCTACTCACTGTTAAAATAAATGACTCAACTTTGAAGTCACCCTGTATATATATTGTATTGATCAAGTTAGAAAGGTGGTATTGGGGCAGATAAAATTGATGCATGATTACTATATTTTAGTATAAAAGTGACAGCTAAAAATTTCCAGATGGCTTTTGAGTCACTATTTTGGAGCATTTTTTAAATATAATAGGAGGTCATGTGATATCTCATGTTGAAGCTCCTTATGAGTTCTTTGTAACTCTTGTATATAATAATAATAATAATAATAATAACGCCTTTATTCATATTTTGTACATGTGAGGGACAAAGATAGCGAAGTTTAGCTTGAGCTACTCTTACACTTAACTACCTTTGTCTGTACTTTAAGCACGATGTTGTGTGCAATTCCAAAAAAAAAAAGAGAAAAAAAAATATATAAGAAAAACTAAGGAGTACAGAAAGGTTAAATAACTAATCAACTAAACTAAAGAACACTACAACTATATACACTATGTACACGTATGCCTAAACGGCTCAGAAAATCAGTTATATAAATATCAGGGAAGAGTGAGCATAAATTGCTTGATTTGCTTTCGAAAACGAGCAAAAGACATTTCCCTGTACTTTCTGGGCAAAGCATTGTAAAATACGGCAGCATTATACGAGAAACAACGCTTGAAGAGTGTCATAGAGTATGGAGGTATCCTGATCATAATACGGTCCCTGGTAATCCTGTCATGAATTTCTTGATTAAATATGATCTTTTCTCTCAGGTATGCAGGTCTTGACGCAGCTATCAACTTGTGCAAAAACACTAAGTATTTGCACCGCACATGTTTATCAATTCTTAGCCATTTCATTTGGCTGTATTTGTCACTAACATGGTCAAATCTCCTCAATCCATGAATAAAGCGAATGCAATTGTTTTGAATTATTTGAAGCCTGCTTTTCATCCGTTCATCAAGACATGGGTAATATAAAATATCACAATAACTGAGAATTGGCAACACAAGAGACTCACAAAGTTTTTTCCTCAGTTTAAAGTTCAGAAGGTGGCGATTGGCATATAACGCTCTCATTCGACCATACGTTTTTTTAGCTAAGGACATAACATGCTCCCTAAATCTCAATTTGCTATCTACTTCAACACCTAAAATTGTAGCTGAATTAGCAATCTGCAGCAGCGAGCCATCAAGGTTAACTTTAAATGTATTCTCCACGACACTTCTCCTTGCGTCGGAACAAAATAGTAATATTTGAGTCTTATCTGGATTAATGTTTAGATTATGGTCACTTGAATATTTTTGCACTTTGCTCAGATCCTGCTCTAATAAGGCAGCAGCATCCTGCGAACAAGAGGCGTCAAAATAATGAATGAGTTGAGTGTCATCAGCAAAGCTTAGTAAATCGGAATGTGCGACAGATTTGTGCAAATCAAAAGTGTATATGAGAAATAACGCAGGGCCTAGTATGGAGCCCTGAGGGATTCCTGATGGTATCATACTGACTTCTGATAGCCTGCTGCCTACAGAAACGCACTGCATACGGTGTGAGAGGTAGTTTTTGAAGAATTGGATAGCTATATTGTCAAATCCAATGTACTTTAACTTAGAAAGTAAAAGCACATGGTTTATATGGATATAAATTACATCTTTCAAATTCGCGGACTGGCGAGCCGTCAATGTTGAGCGTTTTTGTACATTGAATAGCTTATTTTTCAGCAAATAAGTATGTTATTTCAATCTCCTTTTCTTGGAGAGATCTATCTGTGTATGTAATGAAATACTTGGCGTAATTGTTAGAAATGTGAGCCTTCAAAGCCCTGCATGGTACAGCCAAAATTCGTGTTTGTGCTCACAAGCACTCACGAGTATCCATCACGGTAGAATGACAGCCAATTATCTAGTAATATCTCAAAATTCCCTATACCGGCACAGGAACACATAATTCCGACAGATCCGTCAACGCCAGGTAGACAGAGCCGTATTTTGTTTTGGTTTTTTTGTTCGTTACAGATTCATTTTGTACTTGCTAACAGCTCTCTTATTTATAAAAGCCACAAAACGCCACAAACAAGTGTTACTAGATTATACTTGATTCATTATTGCCAACGTTGCAGACTAACACAAAAATGTCACTTGATGATCAGATGTTCACCAAAGCGCGATGGATACTCGTGAAATAGGGTAATTATATCTATGCTTGTATCCTTTACATACATAATAACTTAAAATATGAAAATAGTATTAAATTAGTATCTCTTGCGATATTTTACCTGAACTCCTCTTTTCTATATGGGTTTCCCAACATAACCTCCGATTTCATATACATGATAAGATACAAGTCGAAATTCTTATATCTTAGCTCAGCCATATTGCTTATAGATATATTTTGTAGGAAATAACCCAGGACAATATTCGTCGATTGAGATTTTAGTTACGTGTTATTTATTTTTTGTTCGTTTGCCAGACTGATTTATACGTTTGTTCGATGCAGTTTTTTTTTAAATCTACGTACTGAACATAACTTTAAGTATACTTGTATATTTTGTATATTCTTAGTGGTAAGTAAACGTGTAGATGCGATATTAAGATAAAAGAACTTTTTTGTGTTAGATCTCATTGTCTTACGCGACAACTTACGTTTTAGTATTTGTCTGTAGGTTATCTTTTTAATTATGTCTCAACTTCTTGATAGTAAAGTAAGCACCAAGATCTTTGGTTGGTGATTTACTCTCAGTTCGTTATTTTGCATAACAAATGATTTTACCACCTCAGTCGCTTCAGGTCGAAAAAATATCGTTCTTTCCTCAGCTGATGAAACTATTGTTTGTTATTGATCCACTCGCATTGTCAGTTTCATGTTAAAACCTTTTTAAAAGGCGTGACTGACAGCATTCAAGGTTAAACCTCTTATTATGTCAAGAATCAGACGATCTTAAAAAAATTGTATGCAACTGTATGATAATGTTCTGTAAAAGTAACAGTTTTGATATATACATTATAGCTTCAAAAGTGTTGCAACAAAATGCAATCAGCTCATTGGTACACAAACTGATATTTGAAATTGTGGACCATTCTATTTCAAAGATTGTCAGTTGCGTTTGAGATAATTTTTAAATTATCCTTGGCAGAAGTCCAGCTGTCCATGTGTTGTTCAGCTCTTATTACAAGATGTCGATAATGTGAGGGAACTATCGTGTGATCTATCAGAAGTAGAATGCAATATACATTTATTTGCGCGATTTTGTAAGACAGCCCGTCATGAACAGGTGAAAATAGGTTTTGGTCGTGAAAAAGGGGAGGAGTGGGACGCCGGTAGCCGGAGGCTCTCCAGAGAATACGCCACTATTTTCTAGGCGGAAATCTTTACGATTTTGGCGCATTTTGGAGGGGGGAGTGCCTAGGAGAAGAATAACAATCTTTTCCAGCAGCCAGGCTGCAATGAAGGAACAAAGTGCCTGTACGATTACTTCGAGTCTTGAATTGCAATGCAGGGAGGCTTTGGATTGTCTGGCTGCGAGGAATTCGGTATCGTTAATGTGGGTACCGGGGCACGCTGGGATAAAAGGCAATGAGACGGCGGACGCTCTGGCGAAGACAGGAGCAGCCAGCAAGCTCATTGGTCCTGAGGCAGCTTTAGGAGACAACACTCAATAATGGAGAAGTATCTGCAGACATCTCTGTCAGGCACGGGAACTCATTGTAGGGCCCAGCGGTAAGGATGGACGTTTCTGCTTATCTTTAGATAGAGCCAAGGTTGCTGTTGGAACTGTTGTCTGGTCATAACACGTTAAGGCACCACCTGCACGTGATGGGGCTGGCTGAGGATCCCTTGTGTCAGCGCTGCGGGGTAGGGGAAGAGACCTCGGTGCCCGTTCTGTGTCGCTGTGAACCTCTGAGCTACTACAGGCAGACTATACTGGGGTCCATTACTTTGGACGCCCAGAACGTTAAGGAGCTTGGACTCAAGGCCATACCCAACTTCACTAGGAAGGCATGGCTTGAGATCTAAGAAATGTAGAGGTACATAAGGGCCCGTTTAGCGGCCTATTCGCTGACTCCTTATGGTGGCCGGAATGCCTCTAATTTCATGATTAATTCATTCAGTAAGATTAAAAATAGTACAGTTGGGAGTAAATAAAGTAGATCAAGCGACATATCCTAGTTTAGCACTGGGGACAGACACTCCGCGTATATTTGTGAAGTTGAGCCATACTTTTTTGTTTCTGTTCATCTTATCGTTTCAGCCAAAGATTGTTAACTGTATTATTGTATAGTAATTTATGTAAATATATCATAATACCTGAATATGGAGGACTTGTCTCTCCAAGTGAATAAAATATGCTGCATAAAATTCACCCATTGGCGTGTTTTGCGTGCGTCATATAAGGTAAATGCTTCCTGTTACATAACATACAGTATATTTATAAGTACAAATATAAAAGTGAAGATAAGTACTGTCGACATAAATATAGCTGTCATTCCGAAAAGAGCTACCTCCGAAGCTAGTGGTTGAGAAATGTAAAATGCAGAGACAAGGTTTGAATATTGCTTACTTTTCTCTTCCGTATGTTTATAATGACTTGGTACTCAATTTACAGCTGTACTTATAATATGAATCAATCCCAGTGGACTGCGTAGCATTCATCAATTTATATTGAACCATGTATATTGATACTATTTTAATGATTGAATCTTTGAGATTATGGAGAAAGGTTCATTATGAGGATGTGATGTACAGCATCATTTACCAAATCGGAGAAGTATTATTCCCCCCTTACTAAATAAACATCATATTTGAACATATTTCCCACGTTTTCAGTGATAGCATCACATGTACTTTCGTTTATTATCTATATCCCGATATATGGTGAATATAATGGAAGATACAAACTGTGTTAATTATCATATTTTCTATCTGTAAATACAGCTGTGAAGCGAGTATCCTCTAAAATCTTGACATTCAACCAGTATTTTTATTTTTGTTTTCCTTTCGAACCATCATTTGGAACATTGGTTGAACGTTGACTGATATAAAATAATGTAATCAAATTGCAAATGCATTAAACGGTATGCAATATTAATGTTTAACTATGACGTAATCAAAATTATTTTGGTTTTTACAATGAGGAAAAGGCAATACTTAGTCACTGTTACCCCAGTAGCAGTAGGGTTTCACTTTCAGTAAATTACACCAGGTTGGAAGTTTTATTTTTTGTCCGATGATACGTTGAGTTTTAATATTTGGAATTTGCTGCCAAACATTGTGAATAGCCTGAATATTATAATTTCAAATACCTGAAGCAAGCGACGATCAGATATATTTAGAGTATTTCTAAAAAATGGTAATAGAGCTTTAGCCTGTCTTGCTAGTAGAACGTTGACTTTAGCTTGGTGTATTATACCAAAGTGAGTAATTTTCCCATCACTGCTAAGTAGATTTGCTGCCAGAGAATTACTTTTCATTAGGTCTTTTTATCTGTGATTGAATATTATTTTTAGCCTAGTTTAGTTTTGTATTGTGCCACAATATGTTTACTTTTCCATCAGCAAAAGGATGAATAGTGTGTAGGATGTGTAAATATTCGGCAAAACGTTCCATTCCGGAAAAGTAATTCTATATTTAATTCATTGTTGTATTGTGTTTAGTGTACTTTTACTTAAGAGAAATGTACATATTGCCAAAAAAATCAATTAGATTATTTGTTAAATAAAAGCAATTCAGTCTGTCTGTGTATTAATAATTTGTGATTATTTTTATGATAAAAATATTTGTAATGCGATTGGAGTTTCATTTCTTGAACATAATCACGAATTTCAGGTCAAAAAGGGCAAACGACATTGCCAATAAATTTCGAATCCGTAGTATGCGTCTGATGTAAAATCAGGTGGACATTTAAATTCATCTAGTAAGAACTCTCGTTCCTTCTGTGTGGATATCGTATAGGTCTAGGGATCAACATATGTGGTTTGAAATTAATCTTGCACTTTATTTGGCAAATACTAGATGACATAGACTACCTCCATTCTAGGTATTTGTCAAATATACTAATATACACTCTTTGATCCTCCCGAAAACATCGTCGGTTTCCATTGGAGACGTTTGATAGACTTGCGGAGATGATTTTACCAAACTTCTAAGGACCTGTCGTCGCTTTTGAGATCCTGTTACTAATTTTTATACAGACAAATTCGACTCCTGGTCGAAGTCCTCGAATCGTAAAAACTGTAATTTGCTATCAGGATAACAGTAACGCGATATTCTCGATACTAATTTTCAGAAACACCAAATCGATCGGACACTACTTACTGGCTGATGTCCTCGTATTCTAAAAACTAAGATTGGTTATCAGGATAACAGGAACGCGAGAAGGTATCGAATCTACAGTCTACTCCTAGTATACGATTGGCAGGAAATTTAACTTCACCCAATGAGGGCCTCTCATCGCTTGTGCGATTCTGATACTGATCTTTAGAAAGACAAAAGAGGCCATCACATACTCCTGGCTGATAGACGAAATAATCACCCACGTACGTCCTTATACTGGATAGAAAATAGAAAACTGTTTTTTGATAATAATGCAATAAACTTCCTTTACATACCCAAAGACGGCGTCGTATTGTTGCAGCTGCTGCCATCTTTTAGAAGAAACTTGAAAGTAGATTATTCAATCTGCGCGCTACGTTACAATGGAAAAGAAACCTACAGTTAAATGATAAACGTCAATATAGCGCTGTATGTAGAAGCACAAAATCGATCATTAGAAACCTCTAATTGTATGAATTGATATTAATTTTATCCGGATAACAGAAATGCGAGGGGGTATTTGGTCTTCAGCCTGCACATGATATCAAATTGATAGAAATTTTGAATTCTATCAATGACCTCTCGTCGCTTCTGCGATCCTGATACTAATTTCTAGAAACACCACATCGGCCATCAGATATTACTGGCTGAAGCACTCTAATTGTAGGAACTGGGGTTTGCTATCCGGGTAACAGAAATGCGAAGAGGTATTGGATCTGCAGTCCGCTCCTGATATAAAATTCGCGGGAAACTTGAATTCTAATAATGACCTCTCGTCGCTTCTGCGATCCTGATACTAATTTTTAGAAACACCACATCGACCATCAGATATTACTGGCTAAATAAAGCACTCTAATTGTAGGAACTGGGGTTTGCTATCCGGATAACAGAAATGCGAAGAGGTATTGGATCTGCAGTCCGCTCCTAATATAAAACTCGCGGGAAACTTGAATTCTTATAATGACCTCTCGTCGCTTCTGCGATCCTGATACTAATTTTTAGAAACACCATATCGACCATCAGATATTACTGGCTAAAGCACTCTTACTGTAGGAACTGGGGTTTGCTATCCGAATAACAGAAATGCGAAGAGGTATTGGATCTGCAGTCCGCTCCTGATATAAAATTCGCGGGAAACTTGAATTCTAATAATGACCTCTCGTCGCTTCTGCGATCCTGATACTAATTTTTAGAAACACCACATCGACCATCAGATATTACTGGCTAAAGCACTCTAATTGTAGGAACTGGGTTTGCTATCCGGATAACAGAAATGCGAAGAGGTATTGGATCTGCAGTCCGCTCCTAATATAAAATTCGCGGGAAACTTGAATTCTTATAATGACCTCTCGTCGCTTCTGCGTTCCTGATACTAATTTTTAGAAACACCACATCGACCATCAGATATTACTGGCTAAAGCACTCTTACTGTAGGAACTGGGGTTTGCTATCCGAATAACAGAAATGCGAAGAGGTATTGGATCTGCAGTCCGCTCCTGATATAAAATTCGCGGGAAACTTGAATTCTAATAATGACCTCTCGTCGCTTCTGCGATCCTGATACTAATTTTTAGAAACACCACATCGACCATCAGATATTACTGGCTAAAGCACTCTAATTGTAGGAACTGGGTTTGCTATCCGGATAACAGAAATGCGAAGAGGTATTGGATCTGCAGTCCGCTCCTAATATAAAATTCGCGGGAAACTTGAATTCTTATAATGACCTCTCGTCGCTTCTGCGATCCTGATACTAATTTTTAGAAACACCACATCGACCATCAGATATTACTGGCTAAAGCACTCTTACTGTAGGAACTTGGGTTTGCTATCCGGATAACAGAAATGCGAAGAGGTATTGGATCTGCAGTCCGCTCCTGATATAAAATTGGCGGGAAACTTGAATTTTAATAATGACTTCTCGTCGCTTCTGCGATCCTGATACTAATTTCTAGAAACACCACATCGACCATCAGATATTACTGGCTAAAGCACTCTTACTGTAGGAACTGGGGTTTGCTATCCGGATAACAGAAATGCGAAGAGGTATTGGATCTGCAGTCCGCTCCTGATATAAAATTCGCGGGAAACTTGAATTCTAATAATGACCTCTCGTCGCTTCTGCGATCCTGATACTAATTTTTAGAAACACCACATCGACCATCAGATATTACTGGCTGAATCACTCTAATTGTAGGAACTGGGGTTTGCTATTCGGATAACAGAAATGCGAAGAGGTATTGGATCTGCCGTCCGCTCCTGATATAAAATTCGCGGGAAACTTGAATTCTAATAATGACCTCTCGCCGCTTCTGCTATCCCGATACTGATTTTCAGGAACCCAAAAAAGCGACCATTAAATACTATTGGCTGGAACACTCGAATTGCTATTTGCTACCAGGAGAACAGAAATCGCGAGGGGGTACTGAATTTGTCGCCTGCTCATGATATATTGACGAGAAATTTGAATGCAAATGAGTTATTAGGCTCTAAGGACAAAAATGGGGAAGCTATTCAGCTGTTGGGACGTGGATGGCGGAGAGGTAACATGTTCCACCTACTTAGGTGTATCAGCAGTCTGCCACCTCCTCGTAGTTCTGCGGTCCTTGTACCCCGATAAAGAATTTTTCTGTACTGTCCGATGTGATTTAAAAGTTTAAAACGAAAAAAGTCATATGGTTTGACATTTTTCAACTAGTAACAAACTATCAGGTTTGCATAACTGTGAGGAGGTATTATGAGGTTCATGCATAAAAGAGGTGCTAATGTTAGGGTAAATGACGAATTAAGGGTGAGCAAAATGAAAGCCTTCAACTTTAGATAATTATATATTTGACTAATTTGACCTCCATGTACACATGTACATAAAAACATTGATATATTGCTAGACATTATCATAGGTTTATATACATAACACAATAATTCACCTGGTTAGGGAGATTCACAAGCTTAACCCGAGTTTGTTACTTATTTTGTGTCAAAGACTGGGTGCAGCTATTCAAACAGCTTACTGAACTTGGCATGATTCAGAATTGTATCTGCTCCCAAAAACTCTAATGACTGCAACTATTTTACCCATTGAAAGTAAAAATTTACCTAGGTTGCAATTTCAATATTGGTTTTTCTGCTTTTTCTATATAGCGCTTTTCAAAAAGGTCCCCCTAATTATTTTTTTAACGAGTCAACTTAGTAAGCTGAATTTCGGAGTGATGAAACGGTCGCATTAATATTACATTTTAGCATACTATGGAGTGCTGAGGATTAGTAGCACTGCTAAGGTTCTTCAATATGCGGCATCATATGACCCATTCCATTAAAAATTGTTCCAACGCAGTGCACAGCCGCTATTTTGAAAATTTCAAATGTAGCTTCAACGTTAAAACAATCAGTTTCGTCACTCAGCTTTTCAGATTGACGCGTTCAAAAAATGAGGTGCTTTTTAAAAAGCACTATATATTTTGAACTCAGAGGAGTTTAAACTCTACATGACAACTAAACTTACAAACCTCACAAAACCAACTCATTTATATCTATATCCAACATTAACATTTTAATGTTGGAAGTTTGTTTTAGGACATTACTCCTAAAACAAAATTCATTTTCACACTTGATCTTTCTAACGCATTTTGCGTATAACATTGTAAGCGTTCTAGCAATGGCGGAGTTTTGACTTCATAATATCAATTGCGCTATTGAGTTACACGCTCAAAACACCACCAATTTATATCTCTCAACAGCATACTGGGAACTTGGATAACTTGCATATTTAATGGAAAAAGTGGTAGGGTATGCGAACTGTTTGTGAGATGTTAATCGCTATTTACATTTCAACTAGAACTCGTTACAGAATTCGCAAATAGCAATGCTAATAAATAAAATATATGGATGAAACTAAAAATATATGAGAAAGTATAGAAAGCAAGTTCAACATACCCTAAACAACAAAGTGTGGACATCATGATTTTTAACTATTATAATAGAATTTCGTGAAAGAGGAAAGACATTTAAAGTTATCTCCGAGAGGTAAAAAAATTTATATCACATTTTTGAAGCCTGATATAGGTCCTACTATGACACATTTTCAGGAAATATGTTTTCAAGTAGAATACTTACAAAACGTACTAAAAGATAAAATATTTTTAACAGGCTGTGTAACAAGTCTATATCACCCAGCAAAATTTATAATATGGGTATTAAGACGAATGTATAAAAGGAAGATGCTCCATCTTGAATAGAGTCCACGTTGTCTGTTCTATAAGAATTTTTGACCAATCGGAGACAAGTAAATACATACTTTTTCAACAATATCTCGTACAGTATAGAACATCATGTTTTCCTGTACAAAAAATTGTTAGAATCACTTCACAAGAGATTAATCACATTTAAAGTTAGGGACCTTAAAATGCAAGGTCAAAATATGGGGTACGATAAATATTCACATCAAAATTCGAAGATCATTAGCAGATATATAGGTTTGAATATGTTCATTAATTTTTAACAATCAACAATTGATGAACGAAACATCGAAAAAAATACAAGTAGAAGTCACAATAAATAAATATGAATATAATGAATAACTGAAAAAGTTAGAAAGTAGAGGATTTAGAAACATTTATAAATTGGCTCATCATATTCACTGTGACCTCCTATATAAGTTTTAAATCACAATAACAAAAAATAAAACAAAATAATTTTACAATCTTTGATATACACTACAAAATATATGCAATAAAATGTCTTCGGCAAATATTTTACAAATAAAATTATAAATAAATAACATCTATTTACAAAATTTCATAAACAGTATGAAAAATGAAAAATATCGGTGAAATATGTTTATATCATAGTATAGTGCAAGATTATCACTTTGTCTAAAGAAAAATACAAAAACTAGCTGTAGATTGTATTATCATTTTATATCCGAATACTTTACATAAAATATCGTACATGCCTGCTGTATTTATTCTAATCAACGTTCATTATATATTTAACAGTTTTTTTATAATAAACGTTATAAATGCTCTCATTTATATAAATGTTTCCTACCAGCAAAATGAAAGAAAACGAATACTGAATTGTAGATTATCGGGAATTCTTAAAAATAAATCATAATCGGTGCAGAATGCTGATAAGAAACTTTTAGTATCAACACGTCTATCACTACTTTAATATTTATATACGCAAGTGGGATACTTCCAACATTTAACTCAAACGTTCTTTCATGGAGGACAGAGAAATCTGGAAATATTCAATTGTTAATTGAATAAGTATAGGTATAAAATCGAAGAAGAATATCGTTTTTATTATTTTGATAATAGAAATTGTATAAGTAGGTCATCAAATCAGAACATAATGTTAATTGTGATATCAATGTTAGAGATTAGCGCTAGGTTCTGATGAGCACAATGACTGTAAATCCTTTTGAACAGAGGCAATCAAATTTGTATTCGATGAATATTTCCTAAATATTCTTTGGCTCCATGAATTAGAACTATGCACGACGTAGGCACATATGTACGGGTAAGGCTATTATAATTCATAATATGCGATATCCCAGCAATAGCATGGCTGCGGCTATACTGAGAATGATATCAAGCTAAATCTTTTGTCGTTCCTATCATTTTCTCATTATTGTCGTTCTGATTCTCTTTGATACCTGCAGCGGTTGAGTCATTTTTTTGAATCAATAAGCAAAGGTATTAATGAGGAACGTTTCCAAAATTAAGCGACTATTTTGCTCTATTTAAAAATTTAACGAAAAATGAGTTATTCCGCCATGTCACAATTGTTTGAAAAATGGATGGCAACGAAAAACTAAGAAAGAAAGGAAGTATAACGAAAACGTAATAACATATCGTTGGATTTATGATATTAATTAAGAGTGCTTTAAAATTGATGGATATTGAAAGGCCTTCACAAAATGTGATTTCAAACAGGAAAACACCTAAGACCTGCATGTGTACATCAGCCTTTTGAAACTGTTTTCTTGTTTGCATAAACAGTATGTAATAATAGTATGGAGATACAACACAAAGTTACGAGTATAATCATATATACGGCTGTTATTTTGGAAACCTCTCATATTTCTACACACCAAAAACATCGCTTGTGAGTACGTGGAAAATACTATTATCACAAAACTGTATTATCATTGTAACTTTGCAAAACTGTTGCTGTACTCTATATGGCTAATTTTTATTTGTGTTGCTGTCACCTTATAAGGTGGATGGTATATTGCAATGTAAGATAATCAAACATTAGTGGCAATTAAAGGAAGTTTGTTCGTTTTTTAAACTCAGTCTTTTGTTGATCAAATATTAAAAATGCATCACTCTAGGCCAATTAAATCAGTGTTGTGATAGCGGACTGGTTTTCACTATGACTATAAGGTTACTTAATAAAAAGACAACGAATCGTTCTGTGCATTCCATAGGGCCAACGCGCCGCCAGAAGGTTTAGCAGCTATATTATAAGCCTTTTCGATGACTGACAATTGAAAATGCCTATAATATGACTGTAGCTTAGTTAGTGACAGGATATTGAAAAGCCCTATTCTTCTGGTCTTTGATGTTTTTCTCTTGATATTACATTCTCAATTGTACTATAAAAACTAAATATGCAGAGTAGAATGATAGATATTGTATTTCTGACACACAATGACGTCTTATTTGATTCTTTCATTAGGTCCTCAATCAAAATAAGGTAAGACGCAAATTGAGACCCATAAAACCTGTCATAATTTATTCGTGATTTTCATCCTAGAGGGTACAAACGAGTCTAATTCGATTTATTTCCACGTTTTCGTGTCCCCTTTAATCGACTAGCCTATGAACTGACATGTTATCTCACCTCATAGATATTTCAATTTACGCCCGATCAAAATAGCATACGCGCTACATCTCTCAGCCGTAATATCTCCCTACTCCAAGATGTACCTATATTGTATATACTCTAGGCTTTATGTTTCCTCTCATTTAGACTGATAGTGTCAGAAAGTACAACATTTGTTCTCCCTTCCGGCATTTCATAACCGAATTACACAAAATTAAAACCACATGTTCCCTTGATGGCTTAGACGTTGAACCTGGTCTCAGAGCCATCAGCCAACATTAACGAAACCGTCCTGTTATTCATCCAAACGAGTCTCGCCAATCTCATGGGGTTCAGTCTCGCGACATCTGCAATCGGTGCTGTACTGTACGACTTGATGTTCTTCGTTTGTGATTGGCCCAAACCGAACATACCTATAGATATACGATGGTAAAGACAATGGTCCAAAATAATATCAATATCATAGGGCATGTAAATCTTCAGATGGCCAAGTCTCTAACCATTTTTTAACATTGTGACGTTGGAATCACGGGTAAATTATATGCCAAACATTAGAGGTAAACATGTGTTAAATGGTCATATTAATGAATAAGCAAAGATGACTTGTAAAGGCTAAAGAGGTAAGAAAAAAGACAGGAACAGCAGAATTTTTGGGTACTATAAAAGTTTTGCAATATGACTTAACAAACGGACGCAGGAGGCTAAATATTACTGCATGTTGAGACATGTCCATGAGTGCATAGTGGCCGCCAGCAGCACGTCTGTTGATTTAGTTATTCACTCGTATTGACAGTGTAAAGTACGGCCTACGTCATCGTGGTCACGTACTGAGATAAGGACAATTTTACGGTATAACTTTACGCGTGGTTTAAGCATAGACCAGTGCTTAGAAGAAATGACGATTGCATTAAATAATGGTTCTCCTCATCGTACGACTATATTCACGTGGTACAAGGAATTTCAAAGGGAGCAATTTCACTCTGGAGGACGCTGAGAGGGAAGTAAGGCCGCGAACGTCAGTAACAGAGGAATACATTACTATGAATGCTTGACGGAAACTAGAGAGTGACATACTAACAGATAGATGAGACCTAACACCTTCATGCACCAGCAATTCATTCAATTCTGTCAATAAATAAAGCTGTATTGCAAAACTTTTACAGTAGGTAATCTAATACTAAACAGTCAATATGAAGCAAATGATCGTTACCTGTACTTGTTTGCCAGAAACTGAGCTTATTCTCGCCACAAGAATAACTGACTAAAAATTTCCCATCTGGACTGAAGGCCAAAGCTGTCACAGCTTGAGAATGCGCGTGCATAGTTGTTTGTTTACCTTGCCGCAGCTCGTATATCGTCAAATTTCCCGTATGTGAGCCAACTAAAAAATATTTTCAAATTATATTGACAATAGACATTCGATCTAATACTATCGATTTAACGTCCATGTTACATTCAAAATCGAAAAATCAATGAGTAGATATCATAAAAAACTCACCAGCTATTCTTCTGGTGGCAGGACAGTGTGAAACTTGGTTAAACCTGCACACAGCAGGAAATACTTCACTCAAACTCTTATTCTTTAACTGACTAGGATCCAGACAGTGCAGAATGATGTCCATTAGCTGAAATATTATTATTTGAACATTTGAAATTTATTGCAGTAATACGTCCTTATACAAACTTAAATTGCTGTATAATTACCTCAACTAACAGATCCGCCATCTCATTCTGCATTTTTTCTATCAACAATTCCACTACTCGCAATATCTCGGGTTTAGCCTTATGCAAAACATTGTTACTCATGTTTATATTCAGAGTTTGCGCATTCTGTTGCATCGCGTTATACCTGGCAACTTCTTTTGCCATGGTTGTGATGAATGCAGCTGGTCTGAAAACAAGTATTAATATTTTATCTTTTTGCGATATAAAAACTAATTCAGTGAATTCCCAAAATCTATTCAGGGTGGTTTTTAACTCCAGTTTTCTGATTTCATATTGTTTAAACCTGAAGTAAATGGTAACAACTTTCCTCGAACAAGAACTGAAAAAGAAATAACTGTTAAGGTTCAGTGAATATTACCTAGCTGTAGCTATAAGCGTTAAAGCATGCCTGGCTGTCCGACACGAATCAGCTTGCGGTGTCAATGGTAGACCATATGTCATACTTGGAACCAACCTATCTGCGTCTGCACATAATTCCAAAAGACCTAAAACAGAAACATGTTATTTTTCCAAAGAACTACTTCCACTATTTATGTAATTCCGATATATTCATAATTATGAACAATTTCCAAGATTGAACCAATGGAGCTACTGATATAACATATTTGATATTTAGTTACAGAGAGGTGAGTGAACAGGGTAAGACAATGTTTTTCTGTACTCACCTAAAAGCACTTTGCTTATATCTAAGAAAGGTGCCCAAATGGTGAAGCCTCTCCCTATAAGATCAATTGCGGCTCTTCTAAGTGGAATGTGGGCAGGCAGCTTAGGGGAAGGAGGAGCTAACAACAAATGAGACAGCGCCATTGCTGTCAGTCTTGCGAGATTATTATTACCTGCACCTGAAAGATAATAAAAAGGCTCATGTAATGAAAAAAGTCTAAAGTTGTGAGATAGGAAATATGTCGAAAGACGTGTTAGAAGTGATTCAATTTCGATATTGGATAACTCACCAAAACCTTCCACAACAGAGCTTTTTCGCCTATCTTCACTCGCTCTCCGTTTCAAGTTATCACCCCCAGTGATGTCCTGACCAAATTCGGCACCAATTACACCTAACAAAATAACAGCTGTTGACTGTTTCCTCTTCAATTCCGATAAACTTGATGGCTTTCTTATTTGCTCTTCTTCCTCTTCTTCGAATTCCTCATCCTACATTTCAAAGAAAAAACGGCTTTATTAATGGTTGCCTCATTTACCTTTAGCAGTAGTAATTGATAAAGAAAACACCTATCCAGGGCTTCTTAAGGAATATGTATAAACCCTGAAAGGGTATGTGTAATTTTGGCAAACACGAAAAAAAAATATTTGATAATTACATATGAGTGTAAGAAGTGAGCTTTTATTGGGCGAGCAATTTTATGACCTGAGATCAATAATGGATTCAACATTACTTACTTCTCAAATATTTCGAAACATAAAGCTGAGTTTTCAAACTGATATAATCGAATTGGCAATACAATTTTGAAATTAGGCGCTTCTTTATTATAATTTACCCGGGAAGAAAGACGTTACTCCTTACTGGAGGTGATTTCTCAGATTGGTAGAAGGAAGTTTCTGTCTACATCAATGTTAAAATATATCGTGCTTACCGTAGGATCGGGAGAATGGGGTGACTGAGTGCCATTGCCGTTAGTTTTTTCTGTTGGAGAAACTGTGGCCGCTTGATGATTCAAAGGTTCTGTTTGAGTATACAATGGTAAATACTGTGACCAGGCTTCGACTAATTGCTTCCTGCCCTTAGGGCCCATCCTGAAAAGAAGATTGTAATTGTAAAATAATAAACGCATTATTAGTATGACATCCATGACGCATTACAATCTAAAACTTTTCTTAACATAATGTTAGGTCGATTACCTGGACAATTCAGCCAATAATAATGTCTGTGCTGCCTCTCTAACCTCAACACAATGATGTTGCCATCTTTTCGCCATCATTTCCACCTGAGGTCGCTTGAAGTTCTTAGAACCTCTTTCCACAACTTTGTCTGGAAGCAAAACGCAATGGAGAGTTGCTAACAAGGACCAGCCCTGCTTGATTTGAGCTTGTTGCTGAGTGTACATTTCTTCGTGCTCCTCGTCCGTTTTCGTCCAATTCACTGTTGTAGAACGTCTGGAAAAGGAAGGTCTCTAAATATTTGCTAGCAAGGAGAATAAATATCACAGATCACGTTCATCAGAACATAGAACTACTGACTACGGCTACTGAAGTGATCCCTCATTGCATTTAAATTGTCTATCAAGTCACCCTGATGTATGTACTTAAAGGTGGTAGTTTTGACAATTAGACTTATGTCTGACGAGTTTGCCGAAAAAAATTTACCTATGCAATTTCCTGTTCCGTTCTTGTTCAGGTACAAACGTAGCATTACTCATGCTCATCAACGTGTGACTCAGAGCTATGATGGCCAATAAATGGTTTGTTGAAAGTGTTGTACTCAATTCCCAATGGGTTCTCGATGTGAATATCCTAGTTATCTGGAAGTTAATTCATTTTAAAGTGCAATTTCCGTCACCTTAAAATGACATTACCTGTTCCTGTCTGATCAGTTCAGCAGGTAATCCTTTGGTTAGAGATAGGTCAGTTGGAAGAGGTTCATCATCAACTGGTATCGTGTTATGCCAAGTTGGTAGGAATAGGGACATGTGATTCGCTTTAGACAGAACTCCATACGATATTGGAACCTGGAATTGATATTTTTTATAATACTCCATAATGGGGTATTCTCTACTTACACAATAATAAATTTTCAATGGCTGAAATATATTGGTTATATCCATTTCACAAGGATGATGTGGTTTATCCTCATGTTTTTGTTCATGTGTAATATGTATGTATATTTTGTGTCAATGTCAGAGAATAAAGGTTACTTTTCTCACTCCTAAAACGAACACTGCCTGGCAGAAGTACTCACTTTCTAAAGGTCGATTTATAAACTCTGAAGTTGCGTAAAATACACGAAGTTACGATAAAGACAGTATATGCCACAAACACGACCATAGAGTCCGACCAGTGTTTTAGTCTTCCCCTGAAGGTACACCGGAGTACTTGTTAGCCGACAAAAATCGAAAAAACCCGTTCTTGACTTACCATAGGTCTGAGCAGTCCTAACTTCACTTGACACACCCTGTCCAAGTCGTTGTCCAAACCCCACGAATGCAAAAGAGATAGCAACAGTTGTGCGATCTCCATGCCATGACTAGTTTCCAACGGACCCAGCGAATTTGGTTTACCGGATTTCGAGTTATTATCATTCACATCTACAAAAGGGTTAGTAGTCAGATTAAAAGCCTTATATCGTTTTACAACAGTTAACACCTTTGTTATGATCACCCCCTTGTTTAAGCACACTTTCCGCTTTTGCAAATGCCGATTCAGCTCCCTCTTTCATCTTTGCAAGTATACCTTCAAAAAGATTTTTTTTTGATTTTCAACTATCATGAAACCTCTCGCACATCTGTCATCTAACAGTAAAGTTCAAATCTAAAATTTTTAAAACGTTCGGAAAATTGATCTTTTTACAGAAAAGTTAACGCGGTTAGTTATCTTAATTAAACAATTACTGTTGTTATATTATCAGAAAATTCATTTCAACTATGCCAAAAAGTTGACTTTATAAATATTTTTTTGTGACTAGTAATCAATTTGGTGGTAATGTTTATTATTTATACAAAACATATGTATCATATGCTTGGGTGTAAAAGTAATCTTACAAGTATTTGATGTCAGATTGCAGAGAAACACCTCATGATTTTGGCAAAATGGAAGCCGTTCTAGGAAACAAAAAATGTGATAAAAAAACTACAAAAAGAAATGCCATTACAAAAACAAATGGGTGATGCAAAAATAAAAGTGCATGCTACAGGTTAGCACAAGAAAAAAAAACAAAAAAGGATTAGCGGTGAAAGTCTAACAACTAAGACAAGCTGTTACCATGTTTGTCTTTTTCCTTAATAATCATTTCCATATTTTCAGCCTTATTTTTCATTTTTCCGAAAAAGTCTAGCAGCAAGAAAATCAAAAGGTTAGTCGAGTATAACGGACAATGCTAAAAATGCTTTTATAGCAGAAGACAAACGTCAAAACGGACCATGTAGTAAGTTTGAATCAAATACCTAGTGGGTATGCTCTATTGGTTTCCTGATGGGTTAATCTTAGAGATTGGAAAGATGTTGGTCCAAATACAAAATAATATTTTTATGTGATTCCAATTGGCTTCTGCTATATCAACGAAGGCTCAAAACCGAGTGATTTAACATACCTACGATCTTTTTATGAGCATCAGGACTCGCGCTCTGAGTAAGGTTAGCAACCCTAGAGTACTCAGATTGTGATATGAGACCCGCAGCCTCAAGACTGCCTGGTGACATCATGTCATATTCCTCACTTAACAGTTCTATTATCAGTGCTTCCACATCAAAGAACAGAATGTGGCTTTCAGGGTCTAAAAAAATATAACAAAATTGATTTAGAACTCGTGTCTAATGGAAATGTGATGCGAGAATATACCTTTTGGATTTGTCCTCAATCCTTGTATCGCAAGAGGGGAATTATGGTTCCTCTGCATATGGGGATCATCATTGTTTGTATGAGCTCCCAGCATATGCAGTTGATGCAGTCCTCTTTGAGTGGCGTGTCTTATTGCTGAAAGATTTCTATGCCGCAAACCCCTAGAAAATTATTGAAATCTTTGGTAAACGACACTTCAACTTATGCACATAATGTGAATGAGTATGAAAAGCAAATTTACACACCAGAAATTAATAGAAGTGTCGAAGTGACACTCTTCAACCTATGGTCCCTGCTAACAAAAAAGTTTATTTTTTTAGCGTTGTTTGCTCCCCGTGTCTGTAAAAATTACCTGAAGAAATGAACGGCTGGATTTGCCAGACCCACTTCAGATGTACCATCAGCAGCCTCATGTTCCTCACAGGCATATAAAACTTCTTCTGCCGCAATACCTAAAATTAAAGATTTAATTATTTGATAATTCAAATACAAGGCATGTTCCATCCTACAACAGGCCAAGAGGAAACATCTACTCCTATGAAATTTTTATTTGCCCGACACAGTCAGGAGCGAGTATTTTCCTGTAACTGAACCATACCCAAATCTGAGATACAGTGAAACATAACTATCCATTTCCAAATTTAGTTTCTGCTAAATGTCTACAAAGAGTTCAAAATTCATGGTGTAGATTGATTTTCAATTTAAGAAAGTTTGATCATATTGGTTGTACAAATTTCATTTATTATGCTATGTTCACAAACTCCAACATACCTCAGTTCCTTCATTTTTGAAAAAGAATTTGATATCTCGTGAGTTTATCCACTTACGGAATATTAGATTCACTGACACTTTAAATATGCCTCTTCACAAAGCTTCAGAATATTCATAAATGCTTTACCTACAATGCATTTCCATCGACTGCTAAACATATTAATTTTAATAATTTCAAAAAGCATATTGAACAAATTATAAATTATATATAGATCTATATTTTCTCATAATTCGGCATACCATATAAATCCTTTATAGTTTTTATAACTTTAATTAAATTTTTGGAAAAATTCTTTTCATTATCCTTGTACTAGTTTTCCGATGGCTAAGTGGTGGATTAGCTTGTAGCTAAACTTCGCTCTAAATAAATTATTATTATAACAAAAAACGTTTACGCAATAGGCATACCGCGCTCATTGGTAAATTCGATATTGACAGTTTGGCCATGCACGGCGAGCACCATCACACAGTTCCATGTGTTCGAGTACCGCACTCGCTGCATTTTTCTTGTAAAACTGACGCATACATACACTCTATATTGAATTTCGATCGGGTTCAACTTGAATGAATTACCTTGTAAAACTCTATCCAAATGCCCGGTCTCCATCTGCCATACGTACACTGTGCCATCTGAACAACCGATGATCATGAAATCGTCGTTAGGCCGCCACTTTATTGTCGTCACCGGAAACAGGTGCCTCGATGCGAGGCATACGCACTTCCTTTCTGCCAAGCTCAGCAACGTTACGGAATGGTCCGACGCTACTGAACAAACACATTTCTGTACTCTAGCCTACAAGAACAAGATGAAATCTGGTAGGAGAGTCTGCTGTAGTATCATCATCAAACATATTACATACATAAATACATAAATGAGTCGATAAAAATTGAAGTACAGTACTTACACTGCAATTATTCGGAGGCACCAATAGTTGAGTGATTTCTCCAGCGTGAACACAAAACCTATGAAGTAGAGTACCAGCATATAAATCCCAGAGGCAAACAGCAAAGTCCACACCACCAGACACTAGGTGGTTCTTGTCGTACCTTGCATGCTCTCTATGGGGATACAGCAAACTGTTTACTCGGCCATTGTGACCTGATAGTATTTGGTGCTTTGGCCAACCTGATTTAAAGGAATATATTTCTAAGTACAAACATATCTCAATGTGCACCCAAGTCTGTGTATCTAACTGTATAACCTACCGTTGTATTGCTGATGATTTCCATGAAGTAGTTGTAACATGATAGTCTGTGTAGCAGGAACTATGATAATGGTACCATCTTCTCTGCCTACCACAAACTTACTTTGAAGAGGCAGATAAATACTGGCTGTTAATTTAATTTCTGAAAGGAAAATTTAATCGTCAGCTACAAAATAACAAAATACATGTTTTATCCGTTTTCAGCTAACGAACAGATAAATACACTTGAAAAAAATATGGAAAAATTAGTATTATTTGGTTGGTTTTTGGGTAGTTGGGCCGTCGTAAAATATTTTTACTTGACGTTTCGCCAACACGAGTGGTTGGCATCTTCTGAAGATAAATAAAAAATATTTTACGACGGCCTAACTACCCAAAAACCAGCCAAATAACATTGGATGATGGCCGCAAAAGCCTTTAAAAAAATTTGTAATTTGAAAGCCTTTCTGTCGTCATGTTATTGATATAAACGAAAATGTTGCTGCCAATTAAAAATTGAATAAGTGATGGGGGATCATGTAGATATTAAAGAGTAAATAATTCCATTTTCCAAATATCCCATATTGTTGAGGCATATGCGTATTTCGTACTGTTTTATACTTTATACCGCAATACCGACGCTTTTGTGCAAGTTGTATTTTGCATAAAGTTTTGGTATACAATCAGCACGAATTTATCGATACAGCCGCATTTCAAGTTAGGTAAGGATTAAAAAATCGTAATCAACATTTGATGAAATAGTGAATGTCAACAGGTTGGCCAATCGACAGGACAAAATAATACAAGGGGTACTTAAATAGACGTCAACATATGTTGAAGTATCGTAATAAATAGTACAAAGTTCAATGAAATCTGTCAATCAAATTCTCAACTAAAAATGATTTCTAATTACTGCTTTCTGGTAATTTCAATCAGAATAAATTAAGATTAACTTACGTTGACCTTCTTGCTTCTCAATTTGATCCAAAATCCCAACAGGATTTGGCTTCATACTGGCCCATGCTTCAGTTAAGCTAGTCATCAAGGTGGCGGTCATCACTACTGGTTGAGGAGGTTTCTGTTTTTGGATCTCATCCAGCTGCGCTGGAGATATTTCCGGAATACTCCAGGCTAACACTATGCCTTCCGAATCGCCTCTGATCAGATAACGAGATTTGTTCTTGGCATTCGCTCTGTTTGTCGTTATAAAACTCATTGCAGGAGGGCATGATAGAGGCTGAAAAAGTAAAATCTAATCATCCCACGAATTTGAAAAGACTAGGGATGATGAAGCTTTGCTATGCTGCATAATACCATACCATATATTGACCATATTACATACAGCATACGAGGTCCTACATCGAGGAGCTTTCATTAGTTTTGTATTTCTACTTCAGTGATTCTTATTAGTCATAGTCAGGGGTGAGCATGAATTCCCACTATGTTAAAATGAATGGGTGTGTATTTTGGGCAGATGCTACATATTTGTCTAGATTTTTGTGCAAATAAAGTAGCACATTAAAAATATGAAAGGCACATAAAAGAGACAACAAATTACTTATATTTATAATATATAAGTGATTACAAGAAATAACATTTTTCAAATAAGACCCGCCTAAATAATAGAACCAAAAGGTTACAAGGCAGCTGGAACCAGGACCCAAATCTGGAGTCAAGTATAATAATGTTAGGGCAATACCAATAGTAACTAACTAAGAAAATGGTGTGAATTGGTAACGAGTACTTACCTTGCTATCTGGTTGATTCAGTAAACAGTACAAAAATGGGCTGTCACTTTCTATGCTTTGTGTATGGAAGTCCTTGTTGTCAGGTGTACTGCTACAATGACATAGAGAAACAATGAATGTAGATAAACTTCCACCAAGTATCAAAAATGTTGCTATTCCAGAAATGTACAGATGAAAAAATTAAAACAAAATTTAACATGCAAAAAGCAATGTAAAGAAAAAATAATAAAGTGCGTAAAATGTATATCTGTTAAAATACCACACTCTAAAAAATAATAGATCGTTTCATTCAATCATTTTTCTAATAATCATTGATTATATAGGCATGGTAATAAACAAGAGGTATTTTAACAGATATTGACTGCATGCTCCAAATAAGCTTTTCTAAAGAAGAAAAATATTATACAAAGGATACCAATAGGTCACAAAACAATTCGAAATAGTATGTACAAATTCTAATTTACGTCTACTCCCCCAAGTATCAGCATGTAGTAAAACATACTTCAGATTCAAAAATTACAAATCACCATTTAACTTTAATACATATTTACAAATAAAATATTTATATAGTACACTTCCTGCTCTTATAAAACGAAGATACGGATAACTCTCATTTGGAAACGTGAAATAATATTTGGATATTTGGTTATCCAACCACCTGTCTATAGCCTCTTTTAACATTATTTCTCGTTATAGCGGTGAATTTAAGACGTATTTATTATTTATTAAAGAACCACTAAAAAGTTTTCAATATCATGATACCTCCCAAAAAATTTGATATTAGGTAAACACCATTGTTTCTCCAACTACATGTCATTCATCCACTGATCTCATGAAATACTTCGCTTTATAAGCAGGATCGATATCAATAATATTTTTAGTAAAGCTTACTTATTCACTAAGCAACAAAACAGCTTATTCCTTTGAAACAGATAGAGTTAGTTACTTTGAATAATTCGACAAACACCCGTTTAAGTCATAAACAGTTTTAAATAAAATTCTCAAGAGACATCACATTGAAATAATTTTTCAATTTCGAAGATTTTTCACGTAAATACGCAAATGACACCTATGTGTTTCAATGGATTAATGTGCGTAAAAAGCTGAAAGCGTTTAAAAAAAGTTGATCTCTAACCTATTACTAATATTCTTGCCACGCAGCTTGCTGTTGTCCGGGTTGAAACAAAAAATGACAGGAACAGAAAAATAATATTAATACCACTGGCCAATGATTAAGTGCAGTTAAGAACATAAAAGTGCGCATCTAGTAAAAATAAAAGTAAAATAAAATAAATTATGAAATGAATGATTAACTTGTTAATTCCACAAGGGTTCGATTTGAACGTCCAAAAAGTTATCAGTTTTCGGTTAATACATTATCAGAGTACAAAACAATTAACAGTATTATTTCTCAGGAAAAATCGAAAACCAAGTTTTTGCATATTGCCTCAGTTGAACCTGGAGTGATGAAACATATAAGAACACTTCTCAAAAGTTACTGATTTTTGCATAACTATATAGTTTAACCTGATGTAAGATGACAGGGAGAAGATACAAAAATATATAGAAAATATTATATAAATTTGCCAAAAGAATTGCCCGCAACCAGTGTTGTCAAAGCAGTGTTGTAGTAGTGCATTTTGTTTGTTACTTGTCTCTAAAATCCGAAACCACGACCATAAGTGTTTCTGATCAGAAATGGATTGATACAATTTCGAAATGGGTTAGAGGTTATTAGAGAAAGTTCATACTTAGCCGGCAGCTTGTAGAGGTATCCTTTCCCAGCATCAGACCACATGATGATTCTGTCGATAGCTAGGAAATCTCCAGACATCCACCTTTCTCCTCTAGGAGCCAAGTAAGAGCACAATACACTGAAATCTCCTACAAAAACATTCAGTCTAATGAATTTATTTATGTATAAGTGAGTATTATGCAATAATGAATTATGTATACAGATTGGAGTATTAATAAAACAAATTAAAAAAGAAATACAGTACAATATTAATTTGTCTATATACTTTTGTCCATTACTGTATATTTGGATTACCGGGAAAGTATATAAAATTCAGACTGCATGACATACTATCATTTGTTACGATTATTATATAGCACCTGGCAACCTGATAAAAGTAGGTTACATAAAATGTCAAAATGCAAGTGACAGTCTACCGGAGGTAATCAGATCCACAGTACTGCCTCCCTTACTGTGGCTAGCCCAGCATATCGACCCTTCTTTCCTTCCAAAATCTATGATGCCTGAAATATGTCTAACAGATGGGAGAATTACCGGGGTTAGAAGCGTGTAAGTGAACAAAAAAAAAATGAGTCATACTCTTCCCTACCCTCTACAACCCCTAATTTTTAACCCCTATATTTTTTTTCTTAAAATGATCAACAGCCTCTGAAACATCTTGTTTGTCATATTCTTTCTTTCCTCCAAAAATTTCTAGATTGCACCTGTTCCGTCTCAGCTTTCCTATTGTGGAGTTATGTTTTCTTTTTGAATTGTAGGAAATTTCAGGCTGATAAAACATGATATGAATCAAAAGCAGGAACAATTTGATGCAAATAGGTATTTGTGACATAACCTCAAAATAGAGCGCTGACTCGGAAAAGTAGAAAACTATGAAAAAAAGGAGGTCATAAAGGCGTCCTACAATTGTAGGAACGACTGACGATACGGCCCTTAGATATATCGCTACTCAAGCCGAATTTTTCAAACTGTAGGCGACCCGAAAAATAACGATAGGAAATTAATAAAAATACATACATATTTATATTCACTGTTAGCACGGCGTTAGCGACATAATTATTCGGGACTCGGGACCTGTCAATTGTAGGCAACTAGATGTTCTGATAAAAATTCTCGGCTTGATTTTAAAAAGGCTGTGATGCATATTAAGCTAAGTAATTTGCGTACTTTGCAGTATAGTGAAAATAAAATATATTCCCTATTGCCGCGGATCAATTAAAATTAGAAATGATGATGCTTTACATGACTTATAAAAGGTTTTCTTATTTCTGTATTTACCTGCATCATATATCTGCCAATATTTGGTACAAACGACTAGAACGGTCCTCTGATTGTAACTGCAGCACTGAAGACATACGGCATTCAAGGTCCTGATCTGCTTGCTCTCATTCTCGTATATCGGCTCTAAATGCTTGTTTTCGTGTCCTAAGAGCGTCCACACCTTCACCATCCCTGTGGTGGTTAGAGCCAATACAACATCGTCTTTGCGTTTTGCTGGTCTCAAAACCTTGCCAAAGAAAAATAATTGAGTCAACATATATTTCACGTGAAAATAAATACAGCATGGTATGAGAGAATTAAATGTAAAAAAAGGTTTTCAAAAATATGATCAAATACTTCAGGAGGCGGTTTTGGGTTTACTTTAAGAAAATACTTCATATAAGGAATAAAAAAGAAATAGTATTCACGTAACAAAAAATACAGAAAGAAGTATCATAGATATTATAGAATAAGGTAACTTTTTAAAGCTTTACAACACTGTATATCAAAATTTAGGACGTACCCTCAAATATTTCATCTTACTTTTGAAACACTCTGCACCCTATGCACAAAAAATTTTTCTACTTACATGAAGAGCACTTATCCAGTCAGGATTCTGTTTTGAAGACAGCATAAATAGTATTTCTAAACTAAAGGGATCCATTACAAGAATTTCTGGATAGTAACCATTACAGAATAATCTAACGTCTTCACAGTTGCACATATGATATGCCTGAAAAAAAAACATGCCTCTGCAGTATAAAATCTGGATGATATCTCAGACATTTTTTTTTGTTTTCATATAAAGGATGTACTGACAGGTACTATGGGATTTTGTGTTTCAATAAAAGCAACAATTTTGCGAAAATAACATGTATGTATGTTGGTTAGGTAATACTTTTATATTTCTGTTGCTTTGATGTAGGTTTTTAAAATAAAAAAAAATGTTTGAATATGCTTTTTTCTTTTGTTCCTAAATTGTTTTTTTTCTTCAATATACATCATTTTTATTATTATTATTATGTATAATCAGAGGTTAGACGTATGGGGACTTATGTGGCATAAATTACATTCTCCAATGTTCAGTAATTTTTTGACACGAGTTCGGCAATGATTTCCCCAATAACAGAGAATCCACAGAAAAAATATATTTGCAGCAGCTGCTGCTGCTGTTAACATTTAACGTTCCGTCATCCAGATTTTCATAAGAAAATTAGAGTGAATTTCGATACCACGTTTTCTGATGTGTTTCTCTGTCGTAAAGCATCACGTAATTAAATTGTCGAGACTTCTAAATGCCACATCCAAATTTCTAACTCAATTGTGCTCAATTTTAAATCCGGAGTACCTATTGGGAGGACCTTCAGAATAATGCCTCAGTGTATTCTACGATGTTGATAGACTTTAGCTAATTATCAAGAACAGCAGTTACTGGCAAATTAAAAATTCCTAAGTAACACAATGCTGTAAGAAAAATAGATATTTCGATTCTATCAATAACCAAAAACATCAAGCACTTTTTTAGGATTTGGCCTTTTATAAATAACGTAATTTTAGTATGTAACATGTTCTGAAGATATGCTCATTTTTGATGCAAGTTCTAGGACTGTAAGTTTGCAATAAGCAATAAGCCTGAACATGAACAATATAAGCAATCTAATTTAAATATGCGTAAACACACAATAGTGTTTTTAAGGCGCATAATTGGCAACATGGACCAAATATTACTGTTTGCCTACCATTATCTCGTTCAAGGTTGAATGCGACAGATTAAACGATTACTCTCACGTTAAAAGTGGATGCATATATTCACGAACATTTTTTATTTACACAGATATCTCATGCAAACACAAACATGACAAAGTTTTTCAATAAGAGATGAGAAACAACAGAGCAGTTAAATTTCAGCTTCAAAACTTGGGAACATATAAAAATAATGATTTGTTTAATATGAAACCTAAAGTCAATTCAACGTTTCCCACTATTCCAATAACGATATGATGAACAAATAGTACTGCTAGAGATTTGTGAAAAATATATATTCAAGACCCTCAATAGGATAATAACGAAAAATTTATCCGAATTGTCACGTCCATGTCTAGGTATCATATAAAAACGCTTACAGATAGGGTTAATAAATATTATCATCATGCTGCATCGTGAGTTTCCAAATATTTATCGTATGTTCGTCAAATATAAATACCTGAGCAGCAGCCTAGTTTTAGCGGTATTTCAAGCACCGTTGAGATAAACCAATTATTACTAGAATAACTTAAAACATATACCAGGCAAGGTCAACAATAGCTCAAGTGAACTGACTTTGTAATCGGGTATTCTCCACCTGAACAGCATTGCGTTTTGTAGTATCTGAATTAGATTATTTACAACATAATTTTTATCCTCGTCTTTTTCGTTCATGTATTGGAAAAGACAACTAAAATTTATACATCGAAACAGAGTTCATTTAAATGATTTGTGTTTCCCCGCTGAAGCAATCAGCAAATAGCCATTCATTTTTCTTTCGAATACCATCAGGACATGCCAAATTGTCGACGTTAAAGGATAAACGCATTTTCTTCACATCTGACGAATAATAACCTCAATATAATAAGACTAGGATCATGAAACTTATTACATGACTCGCTACGCTACATTTTTAGCACAGAGTCACTTTGCGCCACTGTCACTGTGAGACATTCAATCAATAATTTTGGAAAAGTAGGCCACGAAATAAATTGTATGTGTATATGTATTTTGGAGCTTTTTTCTTAAGTAATCATCAAAGGTACGTTTCTTTAATATTTTATGTATCATATGATTAATATGAGGTTTTCTGTGCCCTTTGACAAAAACCTCCTGACGCCCTGGTAATCGGTAGATAGCTATCAAACAGTTGGCGACACCAAGATGAAAGGGACCGATAGTCGCCGCCGCATCTGTATGTAATATTTCGTGTCTGGCTGTCTGGTATTAAATTTTACGTATGAACTTGTAGTGAAAGTTTCCGTACATTCCATTCATGGGATTTTGAAGGCAAAATATTGATATTCCCCTGACATAAAAAATTCGTTCACATACTTTATTTATCGAAAAAAGCGATTAAATGTGAGGAAAACTCTATGGTTGGGGTTGAGTATAAAAATACCACTTGAAGAAAAAAGTGTCTGCCCGGAAATATTTTTCTGGCCCTCGACTTTATTGACTTTTCCTATTGTAAGAATCCTTGCTTCCTGCCATATGAAACGGGGTACGCGTGCCAAATTTTGTTAGAAAAGTAGGTCGCACTCGAACTAAACGGGTTCAATAAATTTATTAAGAAAATGGGTGGGAAGGGAACAGATATTTAGGATAAACGTGGCCTGTTTATTTCTGTATCATCGCCGTCGATTATTGAGTGCGATGTTTTTCGCGTCGATTATGTTTTCTAAAGTATAATGACGCACATAAAAATGTCGTAAAAGTTATATACACATACAAGGGCAACATCAGAAACGTCTAGTCTTACACCGTGCATCTAGTGAATTTATAACTCCTACTCAATAGAAATTACTGAATGAAGACCTTTAAATATATGATTTCATATACAATAACCATTTAGAATGATCGAAATTCGAGTGCTTCAAATTCAGACTTTAAATATCATTATGTTTTAGAAAGATGATCAGATGAATTTTCGGCCAATGGAAAGCAGGAAGTGACTTTGTTTTGCTAATGTATATGTTCAAACTCAATTGAATCTGACTATAGGAAATCATTTCGAAAAGTATAGCTTAGATATACCATGATTAAGTTTAGAGATCGACCGATATAGGATATCGATAATCGGCAGATACCGATGAATGGAAGGCCGATATATCGGTATGATTGACCTATCGGTCGTTCTTTTTTTCGTACAGGTCGGGTATACTCGTATTTTGCTTTGGTAACCTTGAGGGACAGGTTGGCCGTAACAAGTCTATAAAAACTCTATGTCCCATTTACGCCACATGAAAATAAACACAGCTACTCCGTCGGCAAACTGTGGTACGATTTATCAGAGGGGCATGCAACATTGAGCAAATATGAACGTAAGAATTAGGCGATTGAACAACCCTTTTTGTTAAATGTTAACAGCTGAAACTTATCCTGTGGTTTTCAAGTGAGAGTAACGCGTCAATCGAATCATTTAAATATTTGGGCATATACGTAGACGGTAAATTAAAGTTTGAAGGGCACTATGAATATATTATTTCAAAAACATCCAAGAAAATAAATTACTTTTACAGAATTTCGCATAGCCTAAGCGTTTATTCTAAAAAAATTGTGTACAACACTATCATTCTTCCTCATTTGTTATATTGTGCGACTATTTTGTTCACTACAAATGAAACTGTATTTTCAAAATTACAAATATTACAAAATAAAGCTATGAGAATCATCCTAGATAAAAATAAATATACTAGAATAAATTTTATGCTGAAAGAAATTTCATAGCCTGCTTGGTTTTCATTTTCATATTCAAGTTGAAAAATCATCTTCTACCAAATCACTTAGAAATTTTATTGCATTGAACAATGAGTGCCACAATTATTCTACTAGAGGAAGTACAGACTTTCATTTACAAAACTGCAGTAGCAATATAACGAGCAAGTCAGTATTTGAAAAGGGATTATACAAATTTAGTAAATTAAGTTATGATATCAAGATGTGTGTCAGTTTGAAAATGTTCAAAAGGAAATTGAAAAAATATCTCATGGAAAACCAGAATTCATAGTAGTGAAATTTTGTATAAAAATATGTAGTTTTGAAAACATAATATATTTTGTGATATACTGTGTAATTGGATATTATGGACATTGTAGCATTAATGCTAAATTTATCTGAAACAAACAAATTTCTTTCAGGTCTCTAAGGTGTGAACCTTGGTTAAACATATTGAAAAAATGACAAACTTACCTGCATATTGGTATGAACCTGGGGCAACTTGACAGCTTCTCGGCATTTCCCGTCAACCAAATCCCAGGTACACATCTCACCCGCCTCAGAACTGGACACAATATAGTTGTTGTCTTGAATTATGGAGGCGCGCGAGATGCACAGAACGGGGGCGGTATGACCTACCAACAAACACCTGGGGATCATGTGCAGGGTGTCGGGGTCGACTTGCCTGCAATAAAAAAAAAATCAAGTAGATTGCCTCGGTGCTTCCCATTTAATACCATGTGATTCCATGATTCTAAAATCTCTCCAGACTTCAGAGATTTGAATAACGAAGTTAGACATATTTGTATAATCCAGCCATATTAATAATTGAAAACTGGACATTCAGATTACAAGATTTAGGCGCATTCTGATATCGCTCTTCTTTCGTTAATAAGTACATCGCCCTAGGTCGGATTTTCAAAACCCACAATGCTTTTTTTGAGTTTTAATGGTCGACGGATTAGCGAACGGAGCGACGGAAATCAATGGCATATCTTTTCGTGATGTGACTTTCGGAAAATGTCAAAACAATTTTAGACCATATTTGTTCATTTTTCCACAGCTCGCCGCCACTTGACTGATTTTCAAAATAATCAGATAAGTCACAAAGCTCTTTAATCTTTGCCATATAAGTGATACTTTCTGAATGTTGCCAGATGGATAGGCAAATTGACAGAAAACTGGAGGAAATACCATGTTTTAATGAAGAGATCATACAGCTAGGAGAAATAATTGAAACATTGACCACATCTTATGAAAAAAATGGAGAACAAATAGCAACCACAAATTAGGGTAGCAAGTACATGTGCTGATGTATAAGCAAAATTTAATAAATTACTTTGTTCAAGCAAGCTTACCTCTGTTTTCCACAGCATGAAAAAACCTTGACCTACTTTAGTCTATTCAAGACTTCAGCATTAATAACTAAACCTGAATGCATTGATTATTCAAAATGCTATTAACAGTAGTTATTACAGCATATTTTCTCATTTTGAAGCAGTTATAGTTAAGCAAACAAAAGGTACACATCAACTTATAAGCAACATAATAAAATGTATACTACATAACTTAAGAGCAGTGAAACTATTTAAAAAATGACTTACCATAAGCATATTTGTCCATCATAACATCCGGTTGCTAGAGTCTTAAGGTCTTTGGATAAGTAAACACATGAAATACAGTGTGTTGGGGCAAACTTGCCCCACAGCACCACTGGCACTACAAGACTTGTGCCAGGCATTCTAGTTTCCTGAAACAATGACAATAATAATATTTCAAATTTCAATACATCAAATTTGATTTGTTGCATTCCATGATGGTATTCATGTTACACATATGCTAGGGTTAAAATCTCAATCAGTTTCCCTTTGTTTTGTTTTTAAAATGAAGGTGTTACCAGCAAGTGAGAGCCTCTGTTTTCTTGGCATCACATATATTGATGTATGTCATTCAATATCAAAACACAAAATAAGAGGCTAACGTGCCAGTTCAATTAAATAAATTAGTGTGGATTGGTGTTGTGTTGCCCATATCACATGATTATGAACTTTTAACACTAAAATCATTGGTCATGTATGCGAATTAATAGAAAGCAATATTAAGTTTAATGATTATAGTGGTTTAAACTGGTACAATAACAAGGTTTTGAGGACTGTGATATATGCAAAGCCTTGGAGATCCGCAAACATAATTTATGCTCACTATTGTTTTAATGATTAAGGGAAGTGTTCACCTGATATAATTTGGCTCGCGGGGGACGGATTTCACTTAAAATATATGTTTTTTATCACTACTATATATGTAACTCGCCATTTTAATTAACAATCAGCTGATTGATCTGACATCAACTTTGACATTTTGCAAAAATCCGTCAAGTTCGTAAGAAAATGTGGTTCTGTTGTTCTACGTCATAGGTCATAGAAAGAGTTGTGGTCCAGAAATGGGAAGACAACTCATATAGGAGAATGAGAAACCGTGCGGTGTTGCCGAACACAATCTGACAACCATGTGGCATCCAGAAAAAATGGCGATTGACACTGACATAAATCGACCGCGTTGCCATTGATAGCACGTGACTAAACCTTCTCCAGTGTATATGTTTTGTGGTCCAGAACGAGAACCCGGAAGATAGGAATATACCTATTTATCTACCATTTCCCTTCCTACATTTGTCAGTAGTATTTATATGAACCTCCCGTTATTTACTCCAGTCAAGCATTGAGCCACGGATGAATACAAACGTAGCAATATTTCCACGAATCAGATTGGATACTAATACTAATCAAATTATGTGCTCTTATATACCATCTATAATTCTTTTCACGGTTTTTGACGGTTCAAAGTAAAACTACAGGAATTGCTTTAATACATCCATCTCTCTCATACTTGCACATGCAACCTACCCCTGTGGGTGAACGTTTGTTCGGTAAGCTCAAAGACATACGTTTTTTAGTTGTGTGTCTCCGTCTCGAAAACTTTGACGTTACGTGTATGAGTGCCCTTCAATCATATTTGCCAGAGTGACTAACTTACTTGACATCGACATGCAAACTGAGTATCCTGTTATCAATCCTCAATATAAAATTGTACAATGCCCGGAAATACGGTAGCAGATGCGCATGGCCAAAGAAGGCGACCTTCGAAATAAGAAAGCAAATTTATTATGAACGATTAAGGATATGACCAACAGATGCATACGGATAGGTTAGCTGTATGAACAAAGATGGCGGTTAAGCACACGTTTCAATAACTTTTCTTCTAGTTCAAAGTCCTTTCCATGGTCGTGATTATAACTGTTCTGTCAAAAATAAACCAGACAGGACCGGACGATCACAAGCACTTCAATAAAATTTGTGCAATTGGCATCTCAGTAATTGTTGGAAGGGCATTTGAAAGTAGCAAGACACGTGCTAGCCAGTTTTAACTTTGATGTTGCCCATCTTACAGACTGACCGTTTATAGGCGCGATTTTTAATGGCTTCAGATATTTATTACATGAATTTTACGAATTGTATACTAGAAAAATAGATCAGCTGATCGTTAGCATTTTGGAGTCCGCTCCTGTTCAAGGGAGTCAATCGGTAAGTCAAAGCCAAATTGTTTTTTGTCCATGTGTTAATTTTAGATTAATCAGAAATTTTTGTAGTATATGATGTGCATTCATTGAATTCATTTACCTGTGCGACAACTAAATAACAGACAAATTCCTATAAAATATAAACACGCGACTATAAAAAAAGTTTGGTTAACCATGAAGTGTCATTACGAAGTTTTGGACGTCTCCAGAGATGCAACAGACTCAGAAATAAAGACAGCCTACAGGAAATTGGCTTTGAAGTGGCATCCGGACAAAAATCTTGACAGCCCAGACTATGCAAAGGAGCAATTTCAGCTAGTCCAACAAGCTTATGAAGTGCTGAGCGATAGACAAGAAAGAGCATGGTATGACAACCATAGGGAACAAATCATACGTGGTTCCAACTCAGAATTCCAAGATAAAAGCTTGGATGTATTCCAGTATTTTACTACGACTTGTTTTCAAGGGTATGGAGATGATGAAAATGGTTTTTATACAGTGTATAGAAAAGTGTTTGAACAAATCGCAAAAGAAGATATGGAGTTTATGGAAGACAAAGAGGAGTTCTGTGAAATCCCTAGTTTTGGAAATTTGACAACAGACTATGAGAAAGTATCTGAATTTTACAATTACTGGTTAAATTACACTACTAAAAAGAGTTATGTGTGGTTAGACCCTTACGATATAACTGAATCAAGAGATAGGAGATATGCAAAATTAGCTGAGAAAGAAAATAAGAAAGTACGTCTAAAAGCAAAGAAGGAAAGGAATGAAGAAATAAGAAACCTTGTTGCATTTGTCAGAAAGAGGGACAAGCGAGTGCAAGCATGGAAGAAATTGCAAGAACAAAAACTGTTGGAAGACAAAAAGAAAAGAGAAGAGTTAAGTAAGCAGAAGAGACGTGAGAGGCAACAAGAACTGAGCAAAAATGCCAAGCAACCTGAATGGGCGAATTTTGATAATGTAGAGAGTGAATTGGAGAAGATTGAACGTAGTTTGGTAGAAGAGTTTGGTGAGGAGTTTTCTGGATCAGAATGTGAGGATGAGGAGGAGAATGACAACATTTTGTACTGTATAGCCTGCAATAAAATATTCAAGACTCCTAAGGCTTTTCAGGTATATTTCATTGATTTTGAAAACAAAAAATATAAATGGAACTTATCCCTCATCAATTGTATGTTTTCAAAAATCATTTGTTGTTTTGGTACAAGTCAAGTTTTTCTATAAATACCCAGATGATGATGTAAATCATGTTTTCAACTTGGGTGTAGTATTATGAAATTGGTCATTTGCCTATCATGGTTTCACAGAATTTGAGCAATTGATTGGCATATGTTGACTATTGAGAGCATCACTGGATTATAGCTTATTGATAAATATTGCAAGAAAATCCAACAAGAAGTCTTATAAGACCAAGTTGCATGATTTTAGTGGCCATTTCCCAATAACCATGTGAGATCCACTCCTTAGTGGATTAATACAGAACATCCATTATTCACAGTGTGATATGTAGCACCATTCCACTGGAAGTACATCCATATCCAATTAAGGCAAAAAAAAATCGTTATCATTAATCTGTCACAGATGACAGTGATTGCCTCAACAACATTGTTTCCAAAAAAGTTAGGACCAATAATGCTGTGGCACCACACTGCAATGAATCCACACCAACTTTTTGTGGATGCATTGCCACCTGAAGTTGCAAATTAAAGTTAGCAACTCAGGGAATTGCTCAAGTACCTGAGCTGTGCAGCACAGTCATTGAAAATTGGACCTCCTAAATTTGCATCGCTGTGTGAGACTGTGGCAGTTGACCCATGTCATATGCCATAGATAGGCCTTTCAAATACAACTTGTTTTTTTAAATTTCAACATCATCCAGTCTTTATTATAAAATCCATTACAATGAAGTTATAAAAATTCCATCTTCTTTTTCCAGAATCACGAATCCAGTAAAAAACATAAAGAAAATGTAGAACTTGTGAAACAAGCTATGGCCCAGGATGATGAAGAAATGGGTTCCAATCTTTCTGAAGAAGCTGAGGAATACAATGACATGGAAAAAAGCACCGAAGATCTTGAAAAAGTGATAGAAGATACTGTTGAAGATGTGGTGTCTAGTGATGAAGGATTAATAGAAACTAGCAAGAAACAGAAGAAAAAGAAAAAACCTCGGAATGTGATGCAAGTTAGGGTATCAGAATCCGAGAATATTGAAGGCTTAAGTAATGATATTAAGAATGAAACAGATGATCTTGATTTTGGTAATACTAAGAAACAAAAGAGGAGAAATAGGAAGAGTGTTAAGGAAACAGACTCTAAACAAGAACCAAAAGTAGAGGAAAATAGAACAGTAGACTGTAAAAACATAAATGATGGACAATCCTGTGACAATGAAAAGATTCCTGCGACGACGAAAAAATCAAGGAAGGACAAGAAAAATAAGAAGGCAGTTGAAGCTGTTGACCCAGATGAAGTTGACATCAGTCATACATGTGTGACATGTAAATCCATCTTTCTCTCAAAAAATAAATTATTTGATCATCTCAAAAAGACAGGTCATGGGGTCTATATACCACCCAGTGTTAAAAGTAAAAAGAAAAATGTGAAGGAAAAGTAAGATGATTTAGTGTTAATTTATTTATATTTTGAAATATAGTTTACCTTACAACTAATTTTTGTATTCATTTATTAGAGTTGATGTATTTTGTTATACATATACACGCGCGTACTTACACTGCATAATGTTACTTAAGTGGTTCTTTTTGATGTATCTCTCACAATGCATCTGTCAAATAAATAAAAACAGATGGAGAATTAATGCCTTAACAAGTTGATGACCACAGTCAGTGGTGATGTTTCAGGTCATATGAGACCAATAGGGAAACATATGTAATGTAATTTAAATATGGCTTTTAGTAGGTTAAGTACTTGGGAAATAAAATACCTTGGTCCAGAAGCAAATTTCAAAAAGTTGGCGCGGGTTGTTAACGTGTTAACTGGCATTTCAGCTGCAGTAAAAAAAGTAATTATACCATATGACATTTGGCACACTTGAAATCAAATTTTAAAAAGTATGTTTCACAATTATTATTTTTGTTACTAAAACAAATCGAAGCTTTTGTACATCTTTGCTAAAATAAATAAAAAATGGCATCAAGCTCGTTGACTCTGCATTCCCTACACAAGTTAACCCCTGAGAAAAAAATTAGTTACGAACTTGTTCATTAAAGGAGTTGAACGGATCAGGTCGGTCAAACAGGTCTATACAATAAGTCGCAGCAGTCTTCACCGAAGCACCGTTGCAGAACGATCTAGCAGACTGTTACGCCGGGCGCTGTGCCCAGATAGTAGAAGGAGACGCGTATCGAAAACATTTATCTATCCTTCTAACTCTTAAAGACAACTGATCGAGAAAACCTAACATCAAGAAATTGCGATATACCTTGCTATAATCCCCTCCCTACTCTCTGATTTTATACCCGTCATATTTCTCTAAAAAATGATCAGGATTGAGCTTTTTTTTTTGTTTTTGGCCTTTTGCCCGCCGGCATAGTAATAACCTTGAGACAGGCCAAGGATATTTCACGAGTATCCATCACGGTAGAATGACAGCTGATTATCTAGTAATATCTCAAAATTCCCCATATGGACACAGGACACATAATTCTGACGGATCCGTCAAAGTCAGATAGTCAACTCCGTATTTTGTAGTGTTTTTTTGCATGCTACAGATTCATTTTGTACTTGCTAACAGCTCTTTTATTTAAAAAAGTTCATTTGCATACAAAAAACAAAACGGTACAAACACGTTTTACTAGATTTACACCCGATTCATTATTGCCAAGGTCGCAGACTAACAAAAATGTCACTTGCTGATCAGCTGTTCACCTCAGTAGACGTCAAAGCGTGATGGATACTCGTGAAATATGGTATACATGTTTTTTTGTGATGTACATGTCTCATAACAGCCGAAAAACATTATTTTTGAAGATTTTCGCGATTACAATATTTCCTCGCCCAAGTAACGTAGGAAGTAAAAAAGTTGATTTTTATATCAGGACGATATACATTTAAGGAGAGCAAGTAAAAAATACTTATTACAACAAAGTAGGTAGTTATCTGTGGAATAACGCATCACAATTTCTTAAAATTGTGTTTATGAAGAAAATTATTCACTGGTACTATGATCTAACAGTCATTTTCTAAGAAATTGCGGTTCAAATAGTAGACGAGTTAACGAACTCAAGCAACATGGATTTTTGTGATATAAGCATAACAAAGAATTGGAATTTTTTAGTTATTGTTTTGCATATATTAACTGGTTCTTCATTTCAATAAGTGTGGTAAATTATATTTTTTGATGTAACATCAAACATTTTTTCACCAATTCTTAAGGATCATATAGTTCATTTATTGTTTACCCTATATCTTTTATGCACGTATTGGCTAACCCTGTCGAATAGATTGTAATTAGGAAGGTTCCTGGTCTATCAAAATTTAAAAAAATGTGTGAAAATAACATCCTTATTTTTGATATCCTGAACTCAATTATGCATTTTAACAAATACTTATCTTTGACCCCTCCACCCAATCGCAAATACCCCCAACATGTTTTTGAACAATTTCGCGGAGCGCTAGAAAAAATAAAGTAGGCAGTAGCTGAAATAAAAAACCTCTGCAATATAGGAATGAGCCTTGATCCATTTGAAAGCAGCTACCGAAGAATCTATAAGAATCACGGCGTAATCAGCCTAATAATAAGAATTATTTTGATATAGGTATAAATGTTTAACATACACATATTTTATTGATATACACATACAAAAGTACAAAAGTGCAGTACAATATCAAAAGCTACAGTAATTAAAGCTTTCATAAACGTAAATACAAAATATACTATAATATCTTAAGAATATAAAACGATATATTTGGCATATTGAAAAATAGAAGCTTTTTAAAGCTAACATTAAATATTTTGTTTCAGATGGAGTCATTGAAACGACTTCTATCGATAAACGCTTTGAATATGAGGTAATGTATAAATCATATTGGTCCAGTTTGGTCATAGAATTAAGGCACCAATCGCCTCAGATCATTTAAGAGACAATACGGATCTTAGATGAAAAAAAAATGCTGTAGAGAAACATATATTAGCGTTGAGATATTTCATAATTTTAGCTTAGATTAATTTATTTCATACCACATAATGGTACTATTTCCGATCAAGTGCATATTTCATGGAACTGATGAAAAATAGGAAAAACTGTGACGAACGATTACTTGTATATGTAGGATCGTGCAATTACGAAAATTTGGAGGTAGATTAAAATAGGTTAAAGCAATTCGGCTGAAATACTGCCAAAATAGTAGTATTTCCGACTGCGCCGGAAGGAGATACCAATTTGTTATTTTAAATAGAATACTATGTATCATTTAACTTACTATTCGCATTTGTAACTGTTTTCTCAAATTTTGGGTAAAAAATTATTAATATTGGCGCATGCGGTGGCCGCAGTAGTAGACTCTTAGGTCTCCTGATCCGTCGCCGTGCGCTGTGCGGGTTCGAATCCCGTTCTAAGAGAGATTTTTCTCTTGGCTATGGATGTTGTGATTGTCAGGAGGTGGTAGACGGTCTCTGACTGTCGAACGCAGAGGTACCACCCGGCGGATCTCGAAGGCGGGGCCTGAATGTGTACATGTAGCACGTATTCCCTCGCCAGAGTTCGTGTGGCGTTCCCCCTTTCCCCTGTATCCCCCTATAGCCCCACGGTACCCCATGGGTGTTTAGGCCTTAGGCCTTCGTGGTCGTTGGAGTATAAAAAAAAGATTAATTATCTGCCATACGATTTGAAATGGTTTTCTTTTAGGGTCTTAGTTTACCACTTTATTAAAAAAGAGAGAATGTGTAAAGGAGCCTCTGAACGGACAATTTTTTTGTAGCATCATTTGGCTATAACTACGGCAAGTATAGCCCAGCCGTCCTGAACATATTGCGGCATATGGCCCGGTTATATATGTGCGCAATGTTTTCTGTAATGTGTAGATGTTGACATATGTCACACTTTGTCATCAGACTGCGGGATTAAATTACATTGAATTGCATTCCGATTATTCGGCAATCTGACATCAACATAAGAAAATATATCGCAAACGTCAAAGATGTCTAGCATATGTAGAGCGGCTCACTGAATATTGCCGTATATTATTGACTTCTTTATTGCTGCCAGGCAATCTAGTAAAAATACTGCCCATTCAGAAGCGCCGTAATTTCCAAAAACCCAAAAGTCGTTTTTTCAAATATAATCCGCCTTTCTTGGTTATGTTATGCACAAAATATGTTCACAATGATGTGTAGAAATAAATAATATACAGGATGTCCTACTTGAATGAGCAAGTCAGTATCTACTCCGGAAACAACAATTGTGCTATCATTTTGAAGTAATTGTGCCTATTTACCAAGTAATCGCCACAATTCTTCATGCGAAGCGTATACAGGGTTATCCAAATTAAGTGTCCACCATTAGTAACTTTGTTATTAGTGAAAATACAAAGTTGTTTGAATTAGCAAACTAGTAGCATTTTTAACGCTGGTAAAAATGAGAAATAAAAAAAACAATTGAGAGTCGTTATTTTGATTTTTTTCAGTAAAATAACATTTTTTTAAATGGAAACCCCTGTATATTATATTTTTTTCTGTTAAAGCATCAAATTTTAAACAAAAAAGTTCATAATAACTTTTCCGCTAAAGTCAAAAATAAAGTCAAAATAACGATAAATATTTTTAATTATTTGCAGTATTATAATATTAAGACGGCTATGAAAACAACATGGCGTTCGCGATTTGACAGCATTAAGATAAGCGACAAATTGTTAAACTGGACATACTCGCAACTAGAAGGCTTTGGAAAACAATGATAAAATCAAATAATGTCAAACATTAGTGTAAATACTTGTTTATAAGCTTTATTGTGTCATTAATTTGAAGAAAAATGTTCTCCCATGAAGAAAAGTGTGATATGTTAGAATGCTATTTAGTGTGCAGAAAATCCTCCTTGAGAGCAGTGAATTATATCCCGCTCGCATTCAACCGTATGAACGATATTTTCTGAGACTCTATCAAAAATTTAGGGGCAACGAAAATGTTTTTGCTAAAACAAGGGCAAAAAAAGAATTCATAATAAGCGAGGCCACGGAAATTGCAGTTATTGGATATTTTGAAGCTTATCGTGAGAATTCAATAGCAGATATTCTCAAGGACTCTAATTTCAGTTATGGTACTGTTCAAAGGATTTTAAAAAAATACAAATTTATTCCGTATAAGTACCGACCAGTTCAAACGCTTTTGGCAGGGGATCCAGAGAGAAGACTTGTTTTTTGCCATTGGTATCTTAGCTTCTGTCGCCAAAATGTAAATAACTTTCGTTAACTTTTATGGACAGATGAATAAAATTTTTCAAATTCTGGAATGTTTAATAGAAAAAACCACCATTATTGGTCAAGAGAAAATCTTTTGTTAGTACATCCAAGAGGCCCACAAGTCCGTTTCAGTTTCAACGTTTGGTGCGGTATAATTGGTTCAAAAATTGTTGGCCCGTTCTTTTATGAGGGAACCCTAACTGGTGAAAGATATGTGGAATTTATGTCAGAAATTCTGACTAATTTCTTAGACGAATTGGATCTTATAAGTAGACATCATCTGCATTTTCAGCAAGATGGCGCACCTGCCCACAACTCGAGAGGTACTTATCATTTTCTAAGTACTACTTTTAATGATCAGTGGATAGGAACAAATGGCCCAATACAGTGGCCTCCCAGATCATCAGATCTAAACCCACTTGATTACTTCTTGTGGGGTTACTTAAAGAACCAAATTTACAAGCGAAGGTACGCTAACCTTGACGCGTTAAAGACTGCAGTTAGGGAAAAGATAACCCAGATAGATGGTAGGACCATACTTAAGACAGTTCGAGCAGTTGAAAAACGTGCCCAAAAATGTATTGAAGAACAAGGTGGTGTTTTCGAGCATCTTCTTTAAAAAAAATTGTTATTGTATTTTGTAAGATTATAAGTTGATGTTGAAAATAAAGTTTGTCGATACAATTTAATTGTTTCAGATTGGAGGCCATAACTTCAACAATTTGTAACCTAGGAGAAAAGTTATTGTAAGCTTTTTTGTTTAAAATTTGATGCTTTAACAGAAAAAAATATAATATACAGGGGTTTCCATTTAAAAAAATGTTATTTTACTGAAAAAAATCAAAATAACGACTCTCAATTGTTTTTTTTATTTCTCATTTTTACCAGCGTTAAAAATGCTACTAGTTTGCTAATTCAAACAACTTTGTATTTTCACTAATAACAAAGTTACTAATGGTGGACACTTAATTTGGATAACCCTGTATATCACATGCGATTCAAAAATAATATTTTTATATTAGCTAATTTGCTGATAGGCGTGAGTATTTTTTTTGAGGCCACTATAAAATGCATACTTGATCGGACAATTTTTTCAGTTTCGCCAGTTAATTCTCGATATTTTCCAAATTTCAGTCAAAAAATTAGTTACCCGGCCGCTGAACGAAACAAAACTCCGATCCTAGAAGTTCTGAAGAAACACTTAAAGAACGTCGAAGGCGACGTGCTCGAGATTTCTTCAGGAACTGGTCAGCATGCCGCTTTTTTCGCACGGCATTTCCCGAAGCTCACCTTTCAGCCTTCAGAGTACGACACCTCGTTGTTCCCAAGCATCAAAGCTTATGCGGAAGAAGTTCCTACAAAAAACGTTAAGGATCCCATTTATGTCAATGCAGCAGATGATTGGAAGTCTTTGGGTGTTTCTAATAGGTTCGATTATGTCATCAATGTAAACATGATTCATGTATCTCCTTTGCCGTGTACGACAGGGTTGTTCAAAAATGTTGGCGAAATTTTGAAACCTGGAGGATTGATGATTACATACGGAGCATACGCTAATAACGGCATCATAGAACCACAGTCAAACATTGATTTTGATAAGGAGATAAGGAAAAGGAATCCGGAGTTTGGAATCAGGGATATTCAGGATTTGATTAAGTTAGGAAAGAATTATGGGATTGAGTTGAGCTCTACTTATGAAATGCCTGCAAATAATAAGTGCTTGGTTTGGACGAAGAATGTTACTAATCAACCACAATAACTCCTTTATACTGTAAAATACCAAAGTCTACCTGTACTATAGGCTAAGTGTATGTGCGTCTTTATACTTATGGCTTTCAATTAAATGGAAACAGTATTATTAAAATTCGAAAGTTATCTTTTTATTTTTAACACACCGACACTGACGGAATAATCAGAACATAGTAAATAATGAAGGTACTGGGGTGCGTTTGTAAATCACTTGGTAATGTAATACCGTACACAATAATGGAATGTAGATTGGCAGATGAGTTTTTACTGTAGAATACTGTGAAATTTTATTCTAAAACGCATAAATTATTACACAGACATGAAATGACACTTGGTGACAGCCGAATAATTTCTAACCACGTCTTCTGCGACCATTTTATTTATTATAAGTGAAGCTATGGATACGAAAAATGAAAATAAACCCTGAGTCGTTTCGTTTCGTAGGTGGTAGACGGTCTCTGACTGTCGAACGCGGAGGTACCACCCGGCGGATCTCGTAGGCGGGGCCAGAATGTGTGCATGTTGCATGCACACGTGTTCCCTCGCCAGAGTCCGTGTGGCGTTCCCCCTTTCCCCTGAATCCCCCTATAGCCCCACGGTACCCCATGGGTGTTTAGGCTTTAGGCCTTCGTGGTGGTTGGAGTATAAAAAAGTCACAGAACTCGTGTTCCCAAGCTTTTAAGCATGCGAAGGATTACTTTTATTTTCGAACGCATGTAACATGTACATGTCAAACAATTTTGTACGGTAAAATTATTACAGAGTGCACTCTGTAACAATTTACGATAACACAGTCCTGATCACAGAATAAGGATCGTGTGACATTCGCGCATGACTAATTTCAAGCGTATTAACCAAGAGATAAACATCGTCGGTGGTATTAACGTAAGAATTTACTTAAAAAGTACAAGTTCATGCTAACTACAGGGTTTCTCAACACCAGGCGTGCTCTCAATAAGCTTCATATGAGTAGCGCTTATATTGAACCAAATATTAATAACGTGGCATCTGGTTCTACGATGTTACTATTTTTTTAGAATCCCACGCTACATCTGAAATAATCCTTTATTTGGTTCCATGAGAATAGTATAAGAATATACGGGTTGTTACAGAGTGTTGTCGGGAATATTGAAGGCCAGTTGAAACATTCGAATATACGGAAAAAAGTTCGGATGGATTCGAAAATGTTTCGTTTCTATAGTATTGGGTGGGCCATTTAAAAGTTTCGATTTAAAAATAAAATAAAACAAAAACGGTTTGAGATATTGCCAAATTTATTTTTTTGTTTTGAAGTACAATTGTTCCGCTCAGAAATGAAATATTACTTCATTCAAATGGCTGCCGCGGCTGGCCTCACAGTAGCCCATTCGATCGGACCAATTTTCGAGCACTTTTTCGAGTGTTTGGGGCCGTATCTCGTCAATGGCATCACGAATGTTGGCCTTCAAATGGTCAATTGTCTCTGGATGGTCGACATAACACTTGTCTTTAACAGCGCCCCACAGGAAATAGTCCAATGGTGTCAAATCGCAGCTTCTTGGCGGCCAATTGACATCACCATTTCGACTGATTAAACGGCCATCGAAGGTTTCGCGCAATAAGTTGATTGTGGCATGCGATGTGTGACAAGTTGCACCATCCTGCTGAAACCAAACATTCTCCACATCAATACCATCAAGAGCAGGAACAAAAAAATCAGTTATCATGGTGCGATAGGTGTTTCCATTGACAGAAACGGTTGCGCCGTCCCCGTCTTCAAAGAAATATGGGCCAATGATGCCTCCGCTCCACAATCCACACCAAACAGTCACTCGCAAGGGATGCATTGGCTTCTCTAAGACCTCGTGTGGGTTTTCCGAGCCCCAGATACGGCAATTTTGCTTATTGACGTAGCCACCAATATGAAAATGAGCTTCGTCTGAAAAGATTATTTTTTTCGCAAAATCGACATCATTGATTAGTTGCTCGTTGGCCCATGTAGCGAAGGCAGAACGAAGTGGATGGTCACGCGGCTTCAACTCTTGAACCAATTGAACTTTGTAAGGCGTCATACCGAGATCTTTCCGCAAAATTCGTCGTAAACTGGTGCGGGAAATGTTCAATTCTTGGGAACGATGACGTGTTGACGTTGATGGATTTTCACGCACACTCGCAGCCACAGAATCGATACCTTCGGGTGTACGCACTGTACGAGCACGCTGACGTGTTGGAGCATCAACAATGAAACCAGTTTCACGCACTTTATTAATAAACTTGCGTATACCGGGCGCTGTTGGTGCTTCGTTGCGACCGAATTTTGAACGGCATTTTCGTGCAATTTCTGCCCAATTGTCTTTGTTTTGGAAATAAATTTCCAATATTACCCAACGTTGCTCAAGCGTAAATCGATTCATTTCGTTCAGCGGAGATAATATACTGAATTTTATGACAAATCAGATTGACATAAGTATTGTCAGCGTCAAATTAACACGTGGTTCAAATCGAAACCGATAGATGGCCCACCCGTTACTAGTTCACCTTACATTTTTCGAAAACAGATTGAGAAATTTCAGATAAATCTTGGTACACGCAAATGTATTATCAGGTCACAGTGACATTTATGCCGGTCGGTCTATGTTTAGTGTTAAATCCAGATTGATCCTACTTGAAGATTGCTTCTTGGTGTTTTTTTATTCAGCGCGTCAGTCGTTATTAAAAAATAGCAACCGAACTGGCACTTTTTTACTGAGCATAACAAAAATCTCTTCAAGCAGGATCAATATGGGTTTGAGAAACGACAGTTATTTTTGCATACCCCAGTGGAATAGAATTGTTATGTCTATATGAACATTGTTGCATATTTTAGGTGATGAATTTGCTTCCAAAATATGGAGTGCCAAAATATTTTAAACATTTTTCAAACCAATAAGATTATCTTAATGAAACTTTGCCGAACAATATGCGTCTAATGGATCTAATGAATATAGTCAATTTTTTGAAAAATATTCAAACTAGGAATAAATTATACTATTTGTGTAATAATTCCCAAATTGAATCAAAAAATAATTCGTGAATCATCTGGTGTGGCTATAAAAGTATATTTTTTTCATTTGACCCCGAGCGCAAAATTTGCAATCAAAAAGCGTTTTTGGAGTAATGGATCCGATATCGATTTCTTATAAAACTCTTCACTCTTAAACTAGACAAAAAAATATACGATTTGTGTAAGATGGACCCTTAATTCCTATATTAAATCAAGTAGTACTTTATAAATCACTTGGCTTAGCTACAAACAAATTTTGATTCCCGCGTTTAGATCAACGGGATGCTTTGAAACGCTAAATTCAACTAGGCCATAAAATTGTTAAGGTTCTGTTAAAATTAGACAAGCAGTTCTTGAGAAATGAAGAGTGTATGTTGGATTTTAACGTGCGAACTGTGTTCACCCTCACGAATACTTCTGATTATTGTGTTTTTTTTAGAGGTATAGAACTTTAAATTGCAATAAAACAACGATGGATTATTCGATTGACATGATTTTTTTTTATTCGAAAGATAATCTTGTGGCATTATATTACAATATGATTTCTGGCATATGACTGCCACGGCTGGCTCGGATGTAGTCCAATCTGGACGTCCAATTTTCGATGACTTTTTCCAACATTTGTGGCCGTATATCGGCAATAACATGGCGAATGTTGTCTTCTAGATGGTCAAGCGTTTGTGGCTTATCCGCATAGACCAATGACTTTACACAGCCCCACAGAAAATAGTCTAGCGGTGTTACATCACAAGATCTTGGAGGCCAATTCAAAGGTCCAAAACGTGAAATTAGGCAGTCACCAAACGTGTCTTTCAATAAATCGATTGTAGCACGAGCTGTGTGAAATGTTGCGCCGTCTTGTTGGAACCACAGCTCCTGGACATCATGATTGTTCAATTCAGGAATGAAAAAGTTAGTAATCATGGCTCTATATCGATCACCATTAACTGTAACGTTCTGGCCATCATCGTTTTTAAAGAAGTACGGACCACCAGCCCATAAAGCGCACCAAACAGTCAGTTTTTCTGGATGTAACGGTATTTCGCCATAGACTTGAGGATTAGCTTCACTCCAAATGCGGCAGTTTTGTTTGTTGACGTAGCCATTCAACCAGAAGTGCGCTTCATCGTTAAACAAAATTCGCTTATGAAAATCGGGAACAACGGCAATCTCGTTTTGGACCCATTCAACGAATCTACGCCTTGCTTGATGATCGTTTGGCTTCAATTCTTGCACGAGTTGGATTTTGTAAGCACGCAAACCAAGATCCTTCCGCAAAATCTTCCATAAAGTGGAGGGACACAGATCCAATTCCTGTGCTCGATGGCGGATGGACTCATTCGGGTCTTCCTCAATGCTACGCTCTACAGTAGCAATAGCTTCTTCTGTACGCACCGTACGGCATCTCTGGGGATGCGAGTTATTAATTAGAGTAAACGCGGTGCGAAAACGTTCCATGGTTAATCGAATTAACTGCTCTGATGGACGATTTTGTCGACGATAAAATGGACGTAGTGCGCGACACGTATTCCGCACAGAACCATTACGTATATTTTCGAAATAAAACTGCACAATTTGCAAGCGTTGTTCAGGCGTGAGAGTATTCATGATGAATTGCCAAACCAAAGTGAGAATAAATCACTTGCTAGCTGTCAAATCGGTCGCCATCTTCAAAAGTAACGCCAACTTATTCTATACCTCGAAAAAAAAAAACACCCTATATATAGGAAGAGTCTGGAGTCTGGAGTCTATAGACCTGTGTTATACTTTTCCACTCTTCAGTAATATCAGTCGACATAATGTTTTTTGCATAATCACATTCCATGATGCGTTTCCAACGAAAAAGCAATCATCTCTGTAGTACTTGTAAGATATGTACACGTACCCATGAATTTACGTGAGACAAATGAGCGTTTGGCCTTCGTAAATCTTGTCCTGGACCCTATCACTACTAGTAGATTTGTCAGCAGGCAACGAAAGGCACGCACAGACAAACGTCAGAGCGGTGCTGGCAGCTGCCATCCAAAGTCCAGGTCCGATAGAGCATTCTCCTGGATAGAAGGGCGTACTGTCGCGGCCGCACATTTTTTGCACTCGAGGACCACCCCATGCCATTGGGAATAGGGTGATGCCTATGATGTAGCTGATTCCTAGAATAAAACATCCATAAGAGATGGAAAATTGATCAACTGTCCGGTTGACCAGTGTTAAAGCCGCGTTGCCGTTAGTGCGAGGAGGGCTTCCTTGGGTTCCAGTTTAGAATTATCCCCCACCGCCCTTTATTTTTTTCCAGCGGAAAAAAAGCCCACGAAAATCACCCCTTTAACCGTAGTCTTGCCCCGGGGTTAGTGGTATCATCATATGATTGCTATTACTATTTTCATTATCGTACTCAATGTTGAACTGTAGAAACGGATGAATTATGTGAGGTTATGTTTATGACAAAAATCAACGATTTCCTTTGACTGACCTGTAACCTCAGGTCATATGTAAGTCAGAAATACTTGAATTTTGAATATTTAAACTGGAGATACAGCCAACTTGTGCATCTCCTGTAAACGTCCACGGTTCACAAGATAATAAATCAACTCTTCATTTGTTTCCCACACTTGCTTGTATAACGGAATAATTTCATGGGTTTATGAGCATATTATAGTCTTGAACACAAATAATTATAGGTCTAGTTTTTACGAGTAGAAAACTTTTAAACATATAACAAGCTTTAGAATAATGAATCAGTCTTAAATCTTGTAGATATGTATTCAAACAAAACATCATAAACTCTTTAAACACGCAATATTCGCACTTTGGCATAATACCGATCGGCATTTACGCTAATCCCAAATCAATTTCTTTTATTCTGCTGAGCAACACATGTACAGTTTTGAAGTGGTTTCATCATCATAATACGAATATTACCTGCAATGGCTTGTGCCACACCGGATATGTTGAATATACTTTTCTTGAAAATACTCTGGAAGCAGCAACTCACTAGTCCTGTGCATACAGTCACAGCAGTTATAGATAAACCTACAAATAAATAAATATAGTCGCGTCCTACCTATTCAAATTTCCAATTCTAAAGCTGGACAGAAATTAAGAACACACTAACAACCTGATGATGCTACAAATGGACGTACAGGTACTGTCAAAAACTAAATATATGAATAAATATATTCTTTTTGTAAATCTTGTACAGTGGCAGTGCTCACCTAAAGCTAAAAACACAGTGGCAGCTTTCCAAACGTCGGGGAAAATTTGTGAATCAGTAGCAAATCCCCTTACAGCCAATAAGGTACATATAGGGTGATTCAACCCTATCGGTTTGCCGCATTTCGAATATACACCAAGGCTAGGCGTGTATGCGATCGTTTCGTTGCCAAATAGGACAGTTTCTGGAGAAGCAACCAGCCTAAAATCAGAATATTTCAGTGAAAGTTACAGTACACTTAATGAGTTTGCAACTGCGGTATTACATTTTTTTGTAGTCGGGAGAACAATTGTCGACCTATCTTTTTTTTATACAAGAAAACCTTGCTGCCGTTTTCAGGGATCTGGCGGTTGAAAGAAAATGAATTAACTTAAAGGTAAAGGAAATCTATAAACAAATAAGGTATCCATTAATATAGCATAATACTTAGTTTGAGAAGTAGGCCGTTACTGGGCGAGCACTTGTTCAAGTTACGTAATACGGGTGTGTCTACTGCATTCATTAATTTGAGTTTGTCATTTTGACATCGGGTATCTAGATATGTTACGCAAAGAGTTGGAAATATCATGACCGCGATGAAAAATCGGACCAATATCGGCAGTTATGACGATTTACTACGCCATTTAAAAAAAGGAACATTCGTCGGAAAAGCAAGTGTTGAATAGAAAATGTTCATCGTTTATAATTCGTTCACTCATATCTTCACAAAATTGTAATTGCCGATCAAAATCGTCTTCATTAAGTTCTTGTACCAGGTGAATTTTATACGGATGAAAACTATGGGCCTTTAGAATCCGTTGGACAGTACGACGACTAACACCACCCATAGTCTCCAATTTGCGGGTACTTAACGTAGGATCTACATAAACTTGCCCTAAAACCCCTACTTCTATTGCTTCGTTCCTTATGGAATTTTCAATGTTGCGTTTTTTATTGGCGACTGACCCAGTTTCCCGAAATGTAGCTACAAGTTCTATAACATATTTTCGATGCACGTTACTGTTCTTATGTCGCTCATTAAATATTTCTGCTGTTCTATTAGCGCATTGGTTATTTCCGAAAAATATTTCAACTCTTTATGCTGTGGAATATACCTTGTTTAATTTATGTAATAAAGCGTTACAAGTTAGTTTAGCAACATAGTTTGGTCAAATCAATCACAAACTATGTACTAAATTCCTATTTAAAATAAGTATGAGATATTTCCTTATCTTTCTTCAAGAAATAACTTTTTTGCCACAAAAAAAACGCTCCAATGGCTATTTTCAACAACAAAATGATAAACAAACCATGGGCGTAGTGAAGAAAAGCATTTACTTATTAAGTAAATGCCTTTAGTCAAATTTCTTCTGAAAGTAGCACAAACTAATCTGATGTACCTATTAAAGTCTACTTTAAGCTTGAAATCAATAAATCTTCAAAACTACTGAACTGAAGCTCATGTATTTTACATCACTATAAAGGGAATTGAAAGACCTTTAAAATAAGGTATCACTCGACCCCCCTTTCCATTTAAGATTTTAGGGTCGGTGTCACCCCCGCCCAGGGGGCTGCACGTGTTAACGTGATTTTTTGCCAAACTTGTGTCCTCCTCGAAAACAAAATCGACGGGTCTGAACGTTTTTCCAAGAAAAAACTGAGCTGCCCGTAAATGCGTCTGCTTCGTTTTCGATGCGCCACCCTGTATATATATAGTGTTAGCAGTGAAAAGAATTCTATACATAGTTCGTTTGGTCTCGCACATTATATGACCCACTGCTCAAACATTATAAAGCATTGAAAATTTGCTACATTATTTCCTGTTACTAACCATGATGGACTAAATAGTGCGGTTAGCATCAACAGTGTTGAAAATAACGCCAGAAGCATCCATATTAGACTTCGGGCCGTCACAATTACGTACCACATCCTTTCATTGAGATTGGTGTATGATAGAAGTCATCTGCAAAAAATATATGGTGTAAACATCTCTACTCATACAGGTATAATATAAAAAATAGTCAAACAGATTGACTAGATATCTCCCACGCATTAAATTATTCGTAAAAACTCTTTTTTTTTCAACCGAGGTGGTCCAAACGTCAGTAAAGAATCATTCCTACATAACCTTTATATGTGTAATCCGAAATTTAATAAGCCACGATATATTTCCACCACTGTGGATCTTTGGAAAAAGACCTGATTTTGAGCTTAATTTTGCAAGCATAGCTAAACTATCAGGTTTACGGCTGCAATTTTTTTTTCTCAAGATAGTGCGGTGGTGGGTCTCCTTGCCACTATCCTGCTTTGAAGAAAAACTTTATAAATGTCCAAATAAAAAACACATTCCAATTTTTGCTGTTGTCTCAACTTTCAAGTTTTGTCAACAAAAAAATCACTCTTTCCTCTAGAATCTGTTGAAAAACGACTATAGTCCATAATGAGTCAATCCTGAAAGCTATATTACCAGTTTATTCAATGGCGAGTAGGCCGTACGAGGGATGTCTTTTAAGTTTTGCATATAGAAACATAGTAGGCCGCGCGGATCGAACGTCAGTACTGAATCTTAACCTCACTCTTTAGTAAACTTAAATTCACAACAATACGTGCAGTGTTCTCACTACAGTGAATTTTTAAGTGTCACCAAGTCACTGGAAAAATAGAACTCAACCGAGAACATTTTCGCGCCATAATTTATTACAACTTTCAGAGACAATTATCGCAACAAGAATGCCTTGCTGAGTTACTGTCTGTTTTCGGCAACGAAGTGCCACATCAGTCGACAATTTACCAAAGGTATGGAGAATTCAAACGTGGATGGGTGAGTCTTAGCGACGATCCCAGGGTGGGTGCCCCAAAATCGGCAGTCATCCAGGAAAACGTCGATGCTGTGCGCAAACTCATCATTGAAGATAGACATGTGACATATCGCGAGATTGAGGCGTCCTTGAAGATCTCAAAGACCTCAAATCAAAAAATTTTACATAAAGAATTAGCAGTAAGAAAATTAGTTTCTCGTTGGATACCCCACCTGTTGACTGAAGAGCAGAAAGCAGCCAGGGTTAATTGGTGTCAAAAAACGCTTGACCGTTTTAATTCCGGAAACTCAAAAAATGTGTACAGCATTGTTAGTGGTGATGAATCGTGGATTTACTGTTATGAACCAGAAAATAAACGTCAGTCAGCTGTTTGGGTGTTCCAAGGTGAAGAAAAACCAACAAAAGTCATCCGTTCTCGAAGTGTTTCGAAAAAGGTGGTCGCGTCATTTGTGTCAAAAACGGGTCATATTGCAACAATTCCTCTTAATGAGCAAAGAACTGTTACTGCGGATTGGTATACCACCATTTGTTTGCCAAAAGTCATCACCGAGCTTCGAAAAATCAACCCCGAAAGAAGAATCATCCTCCACCAAGACAAAGCAAGCTCGCACACAGCCCAAAAAACAAGGCGGTATTTAACGGAAGAAAACGTGGAATTATTGGACCATCCTCCATATAGTCCCGATCTAAGTCCTAAACGATTTCTTTACTTTCCCGAAAATTAAAAACAGACTGCGTGGTCAAAGGTTCCAGTCACCAGAAGAAGCAATTGACGCATTCAAAAATGCCGTTTTGGATCTGCCAGCAAACGAGTGGAATAAGTGCTTCGAAAATTGGTTCGAGCGCATGCAGATGTGAATTAATCTTCGTGGAGAGTACTTCGAAAAACAATAAAGTCATTTAAAACTACGTACCGTGTTGTTTTATTTCCACATGCAAAACTTAAAAGACATCCCTCGTATCTCTACTATATCACCAGATTCGATGCAAACTGGGATACAGTTCCAACAGACAGCTTGTTATTCTCACTCGCGTAGTGTTTGATTCTGGAAATTGTAATGCTGTTTTATTTCGTTATACTCTGAACAGAGGATAGTTGCTCAGCCTTCGTTCATTGTTCTACCTCAGACCAATCCTAGCAAGCCCTGAGTAGTCGCCAAATAGCACAAAATAGCTGTCCATTATTGGCACGTATTTTTCTTTTTTCACCTCCACCCCACTCCGCCACCATTTTACCGATTTCATCAAAATCCGACAGGTATTTTCGAAGTTATACAGAGGTCAAGGATTAGCGGACATACCTACGGAAATGAGTGACATTGTTTTTCGTGATGTCATACAACATCCAAAAAACATAATATCTCACTTTCGACATTTTCCGCGATTACAATACAATACTTCCTAGCCCAGTGGCATAGAAAGTAAAATAAGAGAACAGACTTATTCATTAGATCGCATGATTTTGAATTTTTCTAAAATTTCGCAAAATTGCGCATAACTCAAAGACTTTGTTTTAAGACGTACGTGGATAAATGTGTTCCTAAAGGGGCTATCACATCTTAAAAGGTTGGTATCGACCTTCCGGACACCCTGTATATAACGCATGAGTGAAAGATTCTCGACAGTTGGAACACTTTAACATGTCGAAAACCGCATCTTTACATGTCACAAAGAGCTCAACTATCGGCAGCAGATTGTCCACTACGAGCAGCGGTAAATCATGCAAACAAAGAAGGAGCGCAAACATCATGGGGTATACGTCCAAGTCTTATTTCTCAACAACGTTGGAAGGCAACATTGTGAATCAGTTCAAAAAATACTATGACACTGACGACATTGATCCTCTTCAAGAGCCAATTCCTGTTATTTGCATGGAGGAACAGGTAAAATCATCTTTCGACAAAAACAAAAAAATGGTGTCAAGTGGATAGTCTCGGTACTTCCTATACATGCGTCATATACGTCTATTTTTCTTCGCTTAAGTACACGTTGAACATTCTCAACACACAAGTGTTCATGTTAAATATATACGTACTAAGTGACATATAAATCCGAACACCCAGTTTAAATGGTTTTATTTTAATAACATTTTGTATAAGTACTTAATGAAGCATAATAAGTAAAGTAAAGCCCTTTGACCTTTAATAATGTGTGGATGCACCCTGATGTGCTACGCATTCTCCAACGCGCCTAGGCATGCTTCTGATCAGGTGGTCAATGTTCTCCTGTGGTATCTCATTCCAGGCAACAACCAACTCCTCTCGAAGTGCTTCTAGAGTCTGAGGAGGACGTTGCAAATTGAGCAATCTCCTACACCGATGTAATCGCCTTGAGTGGTGCAGACAACGGTCACTCTGGGATCAGGAATGGAACAGTATTGTCTTTAGTGACGGGTCTCGATTTTGTTTAGGCATGCACGATGGTCGTGCCAGGGTTAGAAGGCGACGTGGTGAAAGGAGGAATCCACAGTTTTTTGTTGAAAGACATGTTCATCACACTGTTGGAGTTATGGTTTGGGGTGCTATAGCTTATGGTTCCAGGTCACCTTTAATCTTCATCAGAGGTAACATGAACGCGCAGCGTTATATCCACGAAGTTCTAGAACCTCATCATTTACCCTATCTTGACACCCTGGCAGAACCAACAAGATAATGCCCGACCACACAATAGACTTCTTTCAACATAATGATGTCACATTGTTACCATGGCCACCAAGATCTCCCGACTTATCCCCAATTGAGCACGTCTGGGATATGATGGGTAGCAGATTGCTCAATTTGCAAAGTCCTCCTCAGACTCTAGAAGCACTTCGAGAGGAGTTGGTGGTTGCCTGGAATGAGATACCACAGAAGGACATTGACCACCTGATCAGAAGCATGCCTAGGCGCGTTGGAGAATGCGTAGCACATCAGGGTGCATCCACACATTATTAAAGGTCAAAGGGCTTTAAAGCAGTGCAATCATTTTGAAATTTTTATCATTTACTTATTATGCTTCATTAAGTACTTATACAAAATTTTATTAAAATAAAACCATTTAAAAAATTATTTTTAAATATACAGGATGTTCCGTTTAGGCTAGGCGTAACAGAACTTCGTTAGTTGGATATTTTATTGCCTTGTATGTAGATCATTTGACATTATATAAGACTTCGTCATCGTTCAAGAAAATGTATCTGCGTGCAGACGTGGAGAGAAAAGAAAATATAAGCATAAAATACAGTCGATAGTGGCGATAAAAGAAAATTATGAAACAATACACTGCAAGCAAATGCATGAGACTTAATCACGTACAACACGATATTCTGAATAGCATCGACAGAAAACGGTTATTTTGAATGGAACACCCTGTGTATTATTGCAGATTTTGATTATACGCTTCATTTCAAGTTTGTTAAGTACATGTAGCGCCTAAAATTAAGGGTTTTTAGTTATTCGCATATTTTTCAAATTTTCCTCGTTTATATACAGTGCCTTGGAAAAATCCTGATACCTTTGATGTCGTACAAGATACACCATTATGGTTTTCACGGCTCTTTTCAGCTTGAAAAACACTATTCGAAGTGTTATTCAAAGGTTGTTTTATTTATTACAGCGTATCAGTCTCAGCTGTCAATTTGAAAGATATTTAAATGCGCTTTTCCTATTTTTTTTAAATAGCAAAATTAACTCAGTTCGACGGAAAATTAAATTTCCTTATTTATTTAGATTGATATAGCACTCCGCGAGTCAGAATTTTTCTAGTAAAACAATAAATGCTTGTCAATTGTTAATTTAAACTAAGAACAAAATAAGTGCAAATACTGCAAATGCGAATGAAATAAATATTAAATTTGATTCTCTTCCAAAAATCCTACATTTTCCAGAATCTCAGAACTCAATCTTTTTTTACTACGCCAAAAAGGACCAGTAATTATTAAAACAGCGAAAAACAAAGATCAGCACGTGAACAGATCCCTCGAAAGCATCCACGGATATACTCCAGTCACTTTAGGTCTAAACATCCTCGGCAGTGTATTTCTAGTGAATCCACAGACCCTTTTTCGTGTCATCTTGAGACTAGAAGAAGGATGACTGTTAAAATAAGTTACCTTGATCTTTCATGAGCTCCCAGTACAAAACATCATCGATATATTTTTGATGTAGGAACAACAAATTGGTTTAGAAAACATCCACTTTGAACCTAAATTGACTGGAGTAACATCGATCTACAGACAAATTCAAGGTCACTAGCAGTCGTCGGCGCTCTACGAATCTGCACAGGTTTGGACTTGTAAACGTGACTGTAGATGACACGACAGGCATCTAACAGTTAATTCACGCACAGGATTGCATTGCATACGCATTACGCATTCAGTAGCGTATACTCGTTTTTCGCGAGTGGAACGTTTTGTTTATATATTGCCTAAGATACGATGTCTGACACAGATACAGCCGACGAAGTGGTTGACATCAGCGCAACCCCACCCAAAAAAAGGGCTAAGAAGCTACATTTAAGTGCAAATGAAAAACAAATAATATTAAATATATACAAAAACCAAATTCAAGAAAAACCCGATTTGGTCGTGGACGAAGTTATATGTAAGGTAGCACATATTTCTGGAGTATGTCGGTCCAGTGTTTATACTATCATTAAGGAATATAGGAGCACTCACTCACTTTCTGAGCCAAAACCGTATCCTGCAAGAAAAAGGATAACGGACGGAGTAGATGACTTTGACAGAACTGCCATCAGGAGGAAAGTGCATAATTTTTTCTTCCGAAATGAGATACCTACAGTAGATAAGATATTAAGATTAGTTAATGCTGATGAGGATCTTCCATCATTTAAAAGAACCACATTCCGAAAACTTTTGAAGGAACTTAATTTTCGATTCTTGAAACGGGGAAGAAACAGTATGTTAATAGAGAAAGAAGAAATTGTTGTGTGGAGAAGGGAATACCTTAGGAAGATTCGGAAGTTTCGCGATGAAAAAAGAAAAATTTACTATTTGGACGAAACGTGGGTGAATGCTGGACATACTCAAGCGAAATTTTGGGTCGACAAATCAGTAACATCATCAAGGCAGGCTTTTCTAGACGGTCTTTCGGCTGGATTGAAAAATCCTGCATGTAAGCTCCTTCATCTATCCGGCAATTTAATTTTGATAAATTCGGGCAAATAATATGCTGTGATAGCAGATAATGTGTGATATTCTCCAACAATGGTGCATTCGCAGTGTAGTCATTAGGAAAAAAACTTCGACCCTCTTTTAAGCGTTATTTTGAAATTTATTATCATTTTTGGGTGCAGTCAATTTGCTTTGAATGGGTTTTGAGAAGTTGCAAACTTCAATTTTCTACGTTTTTCAGTTTTTGATCAGCATTCCGTGACTCTTAAATTCAGCTAAATGAACTCAATTGCCTCATTCCTTCAAATTTAATCAATCCATAGTGTAAGGAATAATTTATTTCCAGGAAAAGGCAAACGGCTGATCATTTGTCTCGTAGGTAGTGAAGACGGCTTTGCTCCCGAAGCACTGTGGGCCTTTGAATCAAAAAAGACAGGGGACTATCATGAGGAGATGGACGGCAATTCCTTTGAAAATTGGTTCTCCAAAATGTTACTAAAGCTGGAGAATAACGCTGTTATTGTACTGGATAATGCCCCGTACCATTCTAGAAAAATAGAAAAAATTCCCACAATGGCAACTAAAAAAGCAAACATACAACAATGACTGGCCTCAAAACAGATCGATTTTGATGAAACAATGGTCAAGGGTGAATTGATAAGTATAGTCAATAGACATAAATACAAATACGATTTTAAAATGATCGACGAAATGGCCAAAAAACAAAATAAAACTGTCTTGAGACTGCCACCCTACCATTGTGAGCTGAACCCTATTGAGCTGATTTGGGCCAACATAAAGCAATACGTGGCGTCGAATAATAATACTTATAAATTTTCTGATGTAAAAAATCTCTTTCACATCGCAGTCAATAGAGTTACGGCAGAGGAATGGAAAAACTGTATCCGCCACGTTCGGGAGAAGGTTGAGGTCAAAATGTGGGATTTGGACAATGTCATCGATACTCAAATTGAACCTCTAATAATTCATTTAAACGATTCAGAAGATTCAAGTTCCTCTTCTGAATGAGTGCGCGCAGCTTACTTACTAATAACTAAAAAGTGTAGTTAACTCATTTGTGAATCTCTAACTGAAATTTACTGTAAAAGATAATAATTATCTTGTATGAAATTTTTGATGACTACCCATAATATCTTGATGCGGTCCTGTAATGTCTCCTGCGCCTAAACACTCACTCACGAGCAATATGCGTGTATTTGTTTGGGTTTAGTTTCTTTCTTCAGCGCCTAGAGAATAGATACCTACGACTATATTTAATATTCTCTACAATTTGGAAACTACAGCTCGTATTTTGATAATGTTTGAAATAAGGTTTCTACTAATCCAAAGACGAACATTGACGGCGGTGAAATTTTGTTTTCCGTTGTTTCAAAGACTCATGCTAAATTTCAGAAATTTAGATGAGCTGAAAATTGTAGTTTGAGCGTTGTATATGGTGGCGGGTTGTAAATAATGCATCTTTGGTTTGAAAGACGTTCTATTATTAAAAAAAAGTTCTGGTTTCGATAACACAATGCACCAATTAGACATAATAGTCACACATGTTTATAATCCTCGTACTTTAGACATTGAGGGAGTCTCACGATATATTTTTCATCATTTATGAAGTTTTCATAAAGGCGTTGGAAGTATAGCGTCACTCTACTTGACGACATTTTTTAATTGTAATTAAAATTTGTTTATATACCTTGTTAGATCAAACACTTGTTTTATATTCATGATCCGAAAATTATTTTTGTGGCGAAACAACCACTGGCAGCAGAAAGAATTGAAAAAGCGATATTCAAGAATCATCCTATCTGCGATATAACGCTCCAAGCTATAACTGGATCCATCGAAAAATGTAAAACTTTGACAAATTTGAAGTAGGTAATTTACTATTTAAGATATCAATACCATATAGTAAACTAGGTTTTCTATCTTCCAGATATGAACATCTGACAAAATGTATACAATGATACAAACCGGAATCTAACATATTTCAGAGTACCAAATCGGTTTCAACAAAGTAAAATGTACTAAAAGCATATATTTGAACATATTAGCGTTGCTTAGCACCTCTTAAAAGGAGTTTCAATTTTTGCTTAATTCGTTGTTCAAGATTATGTGCATTATCATTCACACATTGTGCACAATTTGTCGAAAGTACCAATTTTTATAGAACTTCGAATATGTGGATGAAGGTATATTTTTTGGCCGAACCTCAATATCCAAAATTCGTCTTACAGATTTTCGAAAATAGCGTGGCCATTGACATGATGATATATTTTCCGATAATTGACTATCCTATTTATTTCAGGTTGGAATTTTGCAACTTGACCCCTCAACTTGTGTCTAAATTAGCTGAAAGACTTTATGATACTTACATAACAGATCTTAGTCTAAATGGCAATAAAATCGATAAGCATCAAAACTTTCATCTTCTACTAGAGCAACCTCAATTGAAATCATTGTCTCTGAAATATTGCTTTATAAAGCCTGAAGGTAACAACAATTTAGTAAATAGGATTTTTTTTTCGAAATACTATGGGCATGGGCACCCATATAGCAAGATTCAAGGGAGCCTCATCTGGAAGTCCCAGAATTCCTATTCAGCAAGATTTCCGTCTCCGGGCTACAGCTAAACGGCTTAATAGATTTTGACATGTGTATAAATTTGCATTGACAGCGCGAGTTACACTGGGTATACTAACATCTAAAATGCGTTTCGACGATGGGGTAGTGACAGACAAATTAGTTTTAGCAGAAAGAATGAACATTTATTTTATAGAAAGTGTAAATCAAATAGTGAAGATGATTGATGACGGTGATCGAAACTTATGTCCATTAGAAGTATGTCAGAATTCATCAATGAAGCAATTTAGGACAATTAACATCAACAATCTAAGAAAAGCTATCTCAAAATTGAAATCTAATAAAAATCCAAGTGAGAATCTCTCAAAAAATATTCTAAATGATTGTTTCAATATAATTGGAGAGAAATTATTATTATTGGTGAATAATTGTTTAGTACATGGTAAATTCCCATCAAAATTAAAGTGTTCCACCATTACTCCTGTGCCAAAAGTTCAAAATTCTCAGCTGTATACAAATATGCGACCGATTAATGTCTTGCCCGATGTCGGGAAGGTGTTCGAAGGGATGATATACGAACAAATCATAGAATTCATTGAAGAAACCAAAATTTTGATAAAAAATCAAGCTGGATTTAGAAAAAAATGTTCCACAGAAACGGCAGTCCAAATGGTGGTGGAAGACTGGAGAAGAAGTATAGATGAGAAAGAATATATTGTAACAATATTTTTATACTTCAAAAGGGCATTTGAGACTATAAATAGGGAAAATTTTTAATGAAATTGCATCACTATGGCTTTAAAGGATCAGTATTACACATTTTACAAAATTATTTAGTAAATAGAAGTCAAAAAGCTACAGTTGGAAATATTATGTGAAGTGTTCAAAATATATCAGTAGGGGTGCCACAGAGGAGTAAATTAGGGCCGTTACTATTTATTATTTATATAAATGATATCTCTGACATTTTATAACACTGCAAAATTCAAATATTTGCGAACGATACACTTATATATATATATAGCACATAAGCATTTGGACACTGCTTTCGCACTGTTAAATAGTGCTATTGAAAAAATTATGAATTGGTTAAATTTCAATAAACTTAGACTAAACACTATTAAAACAAAATGTACGTCAATAGGGAAACATTTAGGTGACTATACAATTAGGCTCATGAATCTCATGATTAATGATGAAAAAATTGATGTAGTCGAGTCATTTAAATATATTGGTATATATGTATGTGGATAGTAACCTACTGTTTCACGAACATTATGAATACATTATCTCAAAAATATCGAAAAAGAGTTTCCCATAATCTTAGTACGCATTCCGATAAAATTGTGTATAACACTATAATTCTTCCCCATTTTTTATATTGTTCAACCATCTTGTTTACAGCAAATGAAAACATATTTTCAAAATTACAAATTCTACAAAATAAAGCTATTAAAATAATTTTAAATAAAAACAAATATACTAAGATTAAGTCTATGATAGAAGAACTGCAGTGGTTGGATGTGAAAAATTTCATATGTATATTATTTAGTTCTCGTTTTCATATTCAAATTAAAAAATCATTTATTACCACCACATTTAGAGAACTTCACAAAATTAAATAGTCATTATCATAACTACGAAACTAGAGGCAGAATAGATTTTCATCTGCAAAATTGTAATAGTAGCATAACTAGTAAATCTATATTTCAAAAGGGAGTATTTGAATTTAATAAATTGAATAATGATATTAACCAAAGTTCGAATTTAAAAATGTTTAAGGTGAAATTAAAAAATCACTTTATGAATAATCAAAATACATAGTGACGTAATTTTAATTTTAATAGACAAGAATGTAAAATTACAGAAAATGTATTGAAGAAAAATATGTAACCGAATCATTATACAAACTTGACATTGTAGCATTAATGCTAAATAAATCTTCAACAACAACAACAAATAAAATAATTTTGATTTCGAAAACTGTGCAACTGAACGTAAAATTAGAATTTTTAAGTAGAATCAATCTGGCTTTAAGATACTGATACTAATTATGGCCACTGATGCAAGTGCTTTAGGAAGCAAGTTTGTACCTGCTAATGAGACCTTTGATAGTACGTTTACGTATACCAAAACCTAATTAATATTTCATTCTGTTTCTGACACATTAAAGTAGGACTATTATGTATTATGAAAACGGAGCAAGTTTATGTTTATTCTTTCATATTTTAATGTGCTGAATTTCAGGTATGAAAAACATTGCAGACAAACTGACCAAACCATTACATAGCCTTTTGATACTGAATCTAGCTAGTAACATGCTGTACGATGACGGAGCTGAACATGTTGCTAGAATGCTGAGATCGAATCGATCAATAATGAGCCTAAACCTATCTGATAACAAGATCACAAACAAAGGTTGCAAAGCCGTCATGCTAAGTTTGACAGAATTTGAGCTTTCGCCCGATGAAATTTGTTTCAAGAGAAAGCGGAATTTTGAGAAACTGAAAAATGCACTCGTATGTATCCACCTCAAAAATATAATATCTCTTCTCTGTTCTAAATTTTTCGCGATTACAATGCTCCCCTCGCTTATTGGCGTGAGAAGTAAAAATATTGATTTTTCTGTCAACAATATCATTAATAATAATAATATTTATTCGCCAAAATACAAAAAATGGGCAAACAAATATGAAAAAACCACAGAAGGCATCGCCTGTGTGTGGATTATATCTTAATAACTAACAATCAATCATATGTGTATAACAATTATTGTTAATTCAAAAAAGTATTAATATATACTAAGTGACATATAAATCCGAACACCCAGTTTAAATGGTGTTATTTTAATAAAATTTTGTATAAGTACTTAATGAAGCATAATAAGTAAATGATAAAAATTTCAAAATGATTGCACTGCTTTAAAGCCCTTTGACCTTTAATAATGTGTGGATGCACCCTGATGTGCTACGCATTCACCAACGCGCCTAGGCATGCTTCTGATCAGGTGGTCAATGTCCTCCTGTGGTATCTCATTCCAGGCAACCACCAACTCCTCTCGAAGTGCTTCTAGAGTCTGAGGAGGACGTTGCAAATTGAGCAATCTCCTACTCATCATATCCCACACGTGCTCAATTGGGGATAAGTCGGGAGATCTTGGTGGCCATGGTAACAATGTGACATCATTATGTTGAAAGAAGTTTATTGTGACTCTTGCAACATGTGGTCGGGCATTATTTTGTTGGAAAGTTGGATCTGCCAGGGTGTCAAGATAGGGTAAAAGATGGAGTTCTAGAACTTCGTGGATATAACGCTGCGCGTTCATGTTACCTCTGATGAAGATTAAAGGTGACCTGGAACCATAAGCTATAGCACCCCAAACCATAACTCCAACAGTGTGATGAACATGTCTTTCAACAAAAAACTGTGGATTCCTCCTTTCACCACATCGTCTTCTAACCCTTACACCGACGTAATCGCCTTGAGTGGTGCAGACAACGGTCACTCTGGGATCAGGAATGGAACAGTATTGTCTTTAGTGACGAGTCTCGATTTTGTTTAGGCATGCACGATGGTCGTGCCAGGGTTAGAAGGCGACGTGGTGAAAGGAGGAATCCACAGTTTTTTGTTGAAAGACATGTTCATCACACTGTTGGAGTTATGGTTTGGGGTGCTATAGCTTATGGTTCCAGGTCACCTTTAATCTTCATCAGAGGTAAGATGAACGCGCAGCGTTATATCCACGAAGTTCTAGAACCCCATCTTTTACCCTATCTTGACACCCTGGCAGATCCAACTTTCCAACAAGATAATGCCCGACCACATGTTGCAAGAATCACAATAGACTTCTTTCAACATAATGATGTCACATTGTTACCATGGCCACCAAGATTTCCAGACTTATCCCCAATTGAGCACGTGTGGGAAATGATGGGTAGGAGATTGCTCAATTTGCAACGTCCGCCTCAGACTCTAGAAGCACTTCGAGAGGAGTTGGTGGTTGCCTGGAATGAGATACCACAGGAGGACATTGACCACCTGATCAGAAGCATTGGAGAATGCGTAGCACATCAGGGTGCATCCACACATTATTAAAGGTCAAAGGGCTTTAAAGCAGTGCAATCATTTTGAAATTTTTATCATTTACTTATTATGCTTCATTAAGTACTTATACAAAATTTTATTAAAATAAAACCATTTAAACTGGGTGTTCGGATTTATATGTCACTTAGTATAATTGGAATTTTGTAGTTTTAGTTTTCTATATAAGTATGTATAGTCATTCGCTGCACAGTACAAACCCAGTCTTTCAATTTTCGTCTAAATTTTTTTTCAAAATTAGGTATTTTTATTTCGTTTGGTATTAAATTATATAATTTAGCTGCTAAGAACTTAAATGATTTTTTGAATAATGTTTTGTGTGGTCTTTGGATATTAGATGAACCTATTCGAAATCGTGTGTAATGCTCGTGTTTATAGGATTTTTTTGATTAATTTAAAAGTACTTTTTCGCAAGTACATCTGTATTATCAAACAAAAAAATTCTATTAAAAATTATTTCTTGTTGTACGTCAATTATGAAGTTCCAATTTTCGATAGCCCTTAACCCTTACTCATGTAGGCGCAGCCACAAAAGAAAATGTTTCGAGGTGTGACATTAAACGACCTAGACGTCCAATTTATCGGTGCGAAACGAAAAATTAGTTACTCGTCGAGTTGTTCTCATAGCAAAGATATACAGTGCTTTTCTTTAATGTCCCCCTCCCCGTTGATTTTTTGAACGGATCAATTCAAAAACTTAAAACTTGAGGAAATGAAATTGATGCGTGGATACCCTATTATAGAGTAAAATTGACAGATGAAAATGTCAAGATCACCGCTGGGCGCCATCTTGGAAATAAAAAATCATATGAAAACGGGGGTCTTGTGGCACATCATTTTGAAGCTCCTGACTAGTACTTTATAATCCTAGAATATAAAGCCAACACCTTTACCTACTACAAAATGGTGATACATTTAATAATTACTTGAACACAGACCCACTAACATGCATATCTCTACAAAGATGTAATTGTAATTCCCTGCCGTATCCACAGCAACAGCGATAAAAACTTGTTTTGTTATTTTTTGTTGACAGTGACAAGAATATCAGTACGAAAACAAACATAATGATAATAATAAAATGTTTATTAGGCACATTATAAACACTACAACATAATGTGACCTCTACGTAGGCGAAGTCTAGCTCTTGGCTACTCTACTTAACCTATCCCAAATAATAAATTGAAACCATCAATCAAAGGAAACTTTGACAAGCAGCAAAAGACGCTTCAAAACAACGAGCTTGATAGCTTCCTAACATACATATATACACACATATATTACGTAAAATAAAATAAAATGTAAGAATTAAAAACTAACTTTTCCACAATTACTACAATGACAAATAAATCGGTTTCACATGCTTACGAAATCTGTTTACTGGCCAATCCTTTATATTGTCATCTAATTCGTTATAAATCAGGATAGCATTGTAAGTGTATGAACTACGAAATAAAGTTGTTTTATACATAGGGATCTCTAGTCTTTTTTTGTGTCTGAAATCAATGTCTGAATTATTTCGTCTGAAAACAAATTTCTCATAAAGATACAAGGGGGATCTAGAAGATATGATCTTATGTGTAAACACTGCTATATGGTACTTGCAAGCATTTTCTATACACATCCAACCAAGCTGAAATCTCTTTAAGGAAACATGATCATACTTCTTCAGATTAAATACAAATCAACAACAAGTATTTTGGAGTTTTTGGAGTCTTGCTTTTGTGATAGAATCAAGACAATGATAGAACACAGTGCTACAGTAAAATAAGCTTGGAAATATAATAGCCTCACATAACTTTTTTCTAACTTTAAAATTCAAAATAGAGCGATTGACATAAAAACACTTCAAAGTTGCATAACATTTTTTTAAGATAGACGAAACATGCTCCTTAAACCGTTAAAGTATAATCAATAATCAACCCTAAATTTTTTGTAGTATTTACGACAGCTAGACGCTCCTTGTCGATTTTTACATCAAGAGAATACAATATAGTGTTACGTTTGACAGCAGGACAAAAAAGCATCACTGAGCACTTATCCTTATTGAGCTTAAGATTGTTACCATTTGAGTATCCTACTATTGTCTCCAAATCATCATTAAGCTCATTGATTGAAGTATGCAAATTGTTACTATTAAAGCTCTTATATATCTGTGTATCATCGGCATAGCACATCACAGAAGAGTTTTTCACAGAGCTACCCAAGTCTATAGTATAAATTAAGTACAACCAGGGCCCTAAAACTGAACCCTGAGGGACACCTGATATTATATTAATCGGACTAGATATAGTGTTGTCTATCTCTACTACTTGTTTACGATTTGAAAGATATGTTATAAAAAACATTAGAGGTATGTCTGAAAAACCAAAAGACTTCAATTTAGCACATAAAAGCTCATGATCTATTTTATCGAACGCCTTAGAATAATCTAATGATACAAGTGCTGAAGCATCTCCCTCATCAAGCGAAGCAATGATGTCATCTAAAACCCTTGCTAAAGCTGTAGTTGTACTAAAACCACTGCGGAAACCAGATTGACACTTGGGAAAGAAATCATTATTACAGAAATAATGATAAACCTGATGTTTAATCAATTTCTCCAATATCTTCGATATAACAGCAATCAAAGTTATAGGTCTTAAGTCTGAGAGACATTTTGGATTTTTACATTTAGGCAAGGGCATCATTATACAGTTAAAATATTCTTATTTAGTTTTCGGTTTTAGTGCTAGATACTGTTTGAACTGTTTTTAAAATGGTCAATTCTCGTCCATTAGAAGAAAAAATCGAAGCGATTTTTATTTATGGTGCGACGCCTAACTTTCACGAGACAGAAAGGATTTTTAATGATCGTTTCCCGAATCGTCATACCTGTAGAAAATATTTAAGGGAACTTGTATTTAAATTTACAGCTACTGGTAGTGTAAACAACAAAAAGACCCCTGGTCATCCATCCATCCATCCCGGAAGAAAAACAAGTTCAAATAATTGGTGAGATCATAGTAAATTCCCAACAGTCTACTTCTCCATCGCAAATGTATGTGAGCTTTGTCCTTCTACTGTATGGAGACTTTTGAAAAAGAATAAGTATCACCCATACAAAATTCAAATGGTACATCAGCTAACTGATTGAAGAACAGAGTTCTGCGAGACTATGACGGAAATCATTGCTCAACATCCTACCTATATCCAAAATATTTGTTTTAGTGATGAATGTACATTTTTCTTCAACGGTAATGTGCATATACAAAATTGTTATTGGAGTGACACCAATCCTCACGTCTTCCGGGAAACTCATACTCAATATCCACAAAAAAATAACGTTTGGGCTGGGATATTGGGAAATCATATTGTGGGGCCTCTATTCATCGAACAAACTTTAACCGGGGATATGCTGGAGAATACTATTGACCCTCTAATCACCGAAATCGTCGAAGCGAATCCTAATGAATTCTATATTGATATTGTATTCCAGCAAGATGGTGCTCCACCACACTACTACAGACAAGTTAGGAATTATTTAGATAATAATTTCCCTGGTAGTTGGATTGGCCGTCGAGGTCCTGTGGAATGCCCAGCTCGCTCACCAGATTTGACACCTTTAGACATTTTTTATGGGGCTATTTGAAGCAAAAAGTGTACGAAACTAAACCTGCTTCAATATTGGATATACGGCTGAGAATAACAAATATTTGTAGAAATATCGATGTTACTATGTTTAAAAATGTTCGACGCGAAATTGCGAACGGGCTGTTATTGTATCAAGAAGTTCAAGGCAACCATTTCCAGCATTTTCTAAACTGAACCCAACGTATTTATTCGAATTATCAAGTTAAATGTCAATGTATTTAGGTAATTATTAAATGTACCACCATTTTGTAGTAGGTAAGAGTATTGACTTTATATTCTAGTGGTATAAAGTTTTCATATAATTTTCTTCCAAGATGGCGCCCAGCGGCGATATTGACATTTTCATCTGTCAATTTCACTCTAAAATATGGTATCTACTCATCAATTTCATTATCTCAAGTTTTAATTTTTTGAAACCATCCGTTTAAAAAATCAAAGGGGAGGAGGGGACATTAAAAAAAACCACTGTATAAGATAATTTCTGGGAGAAATACCACTCGCAACAATCAGACGCGTCTTCGAAAATTGGAATTCCAGAATGGCTATATTGACCACAGTAACATTTAACAGAAATAATTTAAAATTAACCGAATATTAAAAATGCTTCATTTCCTGCATTACAAAGATTGCTAGATGCAACTGATTGTTTTTATGTATGAATCACCCGTGATTTGAATGTTTGCTGAACAATGCAAGCTGATTCATAGACCCTTTCCAACATTTTCCAGAATTCTGAGCCCAATTTGAATGAATATGTGCCAGATCCACCATTAACTGCGAAAAAATCTTCTTCCAAATCCACGTTCAAGGATACGTCCTCTGGTACTGTACCAACAAAGAAGGGTTCTACCAAATTTAAAGGTCAGTACTCATTTGTCAACTATTTTTTAGTTTTAAAACCGATAGTAATTGACAGTAAGTGTCGTATGTCACGATATGAAATTTCTTATGAAACACTTGAAATTTATCACTCATCAGTCAGTTTATACTCAGGAATTTACGCCATGCGTCAAAAATCCACGTCTGAGAACTCTGGAAGATGTGGTTCTCGGGCTTTGTGCCCACTGACACTTTTGTTTAGCATAAAGAAAGGAACGTTTTCCATAGGCTTCGGAGAAAATTCCTCATAAGGGATAAGTCTCATCCTTTCACATGAATTTTTATTATATCGTGGAAATGCTTCGTTTCCGTAATTCCATATTAAAGATCACATTACGAGTAATACGTGCAAAATTGTTTTCTAAAGTACTTACATCAGTGGCGTTCGTACCGTCAAGCTTCTATACATTTAGCGATAAACAGTACGACAATGATGTGTGCAAAAAAATGGCATCAATATATTGAGGCCAGATTGATCCTAATTGAAAACTGTATCTAGTTTTTCGTTTCAGAAATAAAAATTATTTTATACACTGGATAAAAAATGAAAAATTGAGTATTTTGTAAGGAAAAATGAGGTAATTGAAAATTGGAGAGCTCAAGGGGGTTGTTTAAGTAGCGCTTCTGAAAGCGAAGGCGTTTGCAAAAATTGATCTTCGAAAAAATAAGCCGCCCAAAAAATGAATAAAAAGTATAAAGCTCAAACATCCCAAGAAACGGGGATTTTTCGTACCTGTATAAGAAATATTTATCATATTTTTACGTGCAGATCGTACCAGTAGATACTTGGAATTTGAACATCGTGGATATTCAAAAAATGAGAATGTGTACTTTTCATTACATTCAACCATACAGGTATGTGTTTCACAATTATAGGATCAAACTTCTAGGGGTCATTCAGTGTAACAGTAGAAAACATTTGACTATAGGGACCCATATCCGGAAAAGTGTCACTACGGCACTACGGCCCTAAGACGCCTTAAAATTTAGAAAGACGATGAATTGCCTAAATAGGATTTAATGCGTTTAATTTTTGCCTTTTGTACATGATATCATCACAACAATTGTTCAAAATGTCTTCCTCCTACCTGAATACACCGATTTAAACGTCGCACACGATTTCGACGGACTTGACTAAAAATTTGATACTCGTTTTGAATGATTACAAATGCTGCTGTAATTTGTGCAATTAAGTCTTGCTCTGTCTCTACTGGAGTTTCGTAAACCAAAAACTTTACATGTCTCCACAGGAATGGTGTATTCAGGTTGGAGGAAGACACTTTGAACAATTGTTGTGATTATATCATGTATACGTATAAAAGCCAAACATTAAATGAATTAAATCCTATTTAGGCAATTCATAGTCTTTCTAAATTTTAACGCGTCTTAAGGTCGTAGTGCCGCAGTGACACTTTTCCGGATATGGGTCGCTATACCCAAATGTTTTCTACTGTTACACTGAATAACCCCTACAAGTTTGATCCCATAGTTCTGAAACACCCTGTATATCCACATTATTTAATCTATTGTTGTTAAATTTCGAAAAAATGAGCGTAATCAATTGACTTCAGCTTTTGCTTACCAAATTTGACAAGCTCCTTTTTCTTTCAGACAAATCAGCAACCGACGCAGCCTCGCAAATCTCGACCTCCAGTCAAAATGTGAATTTTGATCCAGATTACCACCCGTTCATAAATGACGTGATTGAAGACCAGCAAACGATCTTGTGCAAAGGAAACGACGTACTGATAAACTTGAACTTATCGTGTAAGAAAAGCAGTACTATGAACAGGATGTACCCGATTGGAATAATTATTTTATTGTGGCACTAGCGGGGCAATGAAACTCCATGCTCACCTATGAATACGACTTTTCAGTTCGGTTATTATGTTGTCAATACGTGACACTCTTATAAGTTCTGTCAAAACAACGAAAAGCGATTCAACGTCGTAGGGGATATAAACGTCTGGAATAGGCTAATACCGTAACGCTGGTAAATTGAAATAAAATTCGTTTTGATATTTTCATAAATATTTTGAGTTAAACTATAGTATATAGTCAACCGAACTATTGAGAGCACTAAAAAGTATGACGAACTTTCAATACAAGAATTAGACAATAGCCAAAAATTCAGTGTGATCATCAGAACAAATGAGACATTTTCCAAAAATTTTATTTTAACAGGAAACCAGTATTATCCTTGTGACGAGTATATTCTGAGCCGGTTTTTAGTTCCAACTATGAATGAGAAGTGACGTAACGAAGTGTGCACAAGGAGACTAAAGTCCCAAGAGATTTGTGTGTGTGAGAAATTTTGATCATTATGAAATAATTGCGGGTTAAATATGCCATCAAAAAAGCCTATTGTTATATTGCTGTTAAGTCCCGTTCTGGCAACAAGACTTCAAAAATCTTGGGTGAGAGATTGGATTTAGAAAAGGGAAAATACATTCTTAGAACAACTAAAACTCATATGAGATTCGCGATAGGGTGTAAACGTTATGATAGTCATTATTTAAATGGGTGATAGAGGGGGTTTAAAGAAGCATATAACATGAAAAAAACGGACTTCCCACTAACTGTCTCAGCGCTTCACCTGGTGTGTGAAAGTTTATTGAAGGTATTAAAAAAATCCACTTATAAATAAGGAATACAATTTTGATACATACATTGTTTTTCTTTTTAAAACCCACACTGCACTTTTTTGTATTTAAAGAAGGTGTTCAAAATGCCGTCCTCCACTTTCCACACAAGCTTCATTACGACGAACCCAGTTTCTTATTACTCTAGGTCCTCAAAGTTGTCCATTTATTATTTCAGCCGCATTAAATTTTTTTTCGCGAAGTTGCGCTTCAGCTGTTATTAGACCAGCCCCATAAACCATCACTTTAAGTTCTCCCCAATACCAGAAATCAGAAATCCGTCGGATTGAGGTCAGGAGATCTTGCTGCCATCTTCGAGGATCAGGAGCATTTCGACCGATCCAGCGATTTGGATAATGTTCTTTCAAATACTGAATGACGCCTCTAAAAATGTATGGTGGTGTCCCGTCATGAAGAAACCACAAATTCTGTCTCCGTTGTAATGGCATGTTGTCTAAGGTCTGTTCCAAAAGTTCTGGTAGGGTATTGGCTAGAAAGCTCAGGTATCCTTCACCTGACAACTTTGAGGGTAGCTCGAAAGGGCCAATTACCTGATCGTCAAGAATACCCGGCCAAATATTTATTTCAAAACGTTGTTGGAAATGACCTTCACGAATGGTATGAGGATTTTCTTGGGACCACGTGTGAGTATTATGGAAATTTAATATCCCGTCTCGCGTAAAAGTACATTCGTCCTTCGCTAGAAGGTATTAAAAAATCCGGATTTTCAATGTTTTTGTGCAAAAACCACTGACAGAATGTTAGTATGCGAGGATAGTCTTCTGGTAACAAGGGCTGCACTCGTACATGGTAGGGATAAAGCAAATTTTCCCGTAGGATTCTATGGACTATGGTATGCGATAGTCCTACGCGGCAGCCTAATTCCCGAGTGCTGATATCTGCATGATTTCCACGATACTTAAAATTTGTTCCTCCTGCTCTACAATAACCTGTCTTTCACGAGTGCGAATATTAGTGGGCTGAACACTTCCTGTATCTCGAAGTCTTTGGTACACTTACACAAATGTCCTTCTGTCTGGGTGTACCCGTTGTCAAAATCTGTCGCGATAAATTTGAGCTGCAAGATTTGAATTCTGACGAGCTTCACCGTAAACTAACATGTCGGCGAACTCTTGATTCGAGAACATTGTAAATAAACACGACGACGTACGCGAACAATAACTAACCACTGTTACCGTTTGCAATCGACTGCCGGTTCGATAAGAGTAGGGAATGACCGACGCTCTGTTGCCATGTGTGTTTTAAATATTTAATTTGATGAAACTTACTTACTGACTACAAATTTTGGCTTAACTTTGAAAAACTTATTTGTTAAATACCCAATTTAAAAACGTTTTAGATTAGATTATAAAATTTAGTAAGATTGTGGTCGATATAAAGCACTTAAAGTTGTAAACTATAAAGCCACTTAGACAAAAATCTATTGACTTTTGGACCATGGGTCATATGAACTTTTTGACTTGTTTTGACACCCCTATTACCGATTTCAATAATGACTACCATAACGTTTACACCCTGTATGTTGTTTACACGTTGAAACTTGTACAAGAGATTAAGCTCTCATGAAAGATTATTTCACGAAATTATCTCACGTACCTCACGCCTGTTCCACAATGAAATAATATTTTTATTGAATTTTTATTTCACTAGGCCAAAATATCATGTAAAAAATCTCATTGTGGATCTGCACCTTTAAATTGGAACGTAATCAGTTCGTTAAGACTGGAATATGTCGTGGATGAAAACTGTAACACTGAAATGACAAAACTGTATTACTAAAAAGGGAGCATTGCAAGAGCTACTGCCCGGTTGTAATGATAAATGATAAGTATCTGGTTAAGTTGATAAAAAGATTTGAAGAAACTGGGTTCAATCTAATCGCCATCGAGAAAATCGGCCATTTAAAAATGAAGCCGCGGAAATAGCAGTTTTGGGACACGTAACACTTGGCAACACTCAAAGCACTTGTAGATTGGCTACTTATAGAGGATTTACACGCTCAAGAGTACAAAGCATTTTGAAAGTAAATTTCACCCGTACAAGATAAAACTTGTCGATGAGCTTAATGAATACTATTTTGATAAAAAATATTGTAGTTGTCAAGAACCCCTGATCCCACTTCTCATGTTGATATCACAAAAACAGCTTGAGCTGCAGAAAAAAAAGATTGTGAAAGACCTTAGACAAGTTAATAATAATAATAATAAAGCATTTATTGCCCAACAGTACAGGTACCATTTAGAGAGCAATACATAATACAGTGGTTTAATTTACACAGTCTGTGTGTCATAAAGTGAAACAAAAATAAAAAAAAAACACACAGAAAAGAGGAAGGCGCATTAAGTAGAGAAAAAAGAAACTATAAATATGATCAATAGATATTAGGAAACCAGAATATACTGCTATATACGTATACACAAATATCCATATACACATACATACACATACACACATATATACGAGTATACACATATACAGGTATACACATATACACATAAATACATACATACATATATATATATATATATATATATATATAACTTGAGACGTGGTCATTGTCGTCTAGACCAGTTAGGTGAAAAATTAAAGCTTCCGCCTTTTGTTGGGTACTTCGACAAAATTTAAGCAAAGAGGACTCTTTATACTTTTTTTAATTCTCTCTAGCTTATATTATTATATCCTAGACGAAAACAACAATTAGCAACATCCTCACATACTACTGTAAGTTGATTCAATTTAAATTCATTTTACACTTTTGTTGCTACTGTTATCATTGTAATTGCAGCTCCTGATGATGATGGCAAAGTCCATTGAAAGCTAGAGAGAATTAAAAAAAGTATAAAGAGTCCTCTTTGCTTAAATTTTGTCGAAGTACCCAACAAAAGGCGGAAGCTTTAATTTTTCACCTATATATATATACTACAAATGAAAACCCCTAGAGAAAGGCGTAAAAAAAGTCAAAGATGTGAACGTATAGCACTTCGTAATTCCTGAAATCCACAACAGAAGATATCACAAAAACTCACAATCCTATTCGCATTATTGCACATAAAGTTTATTGGTGCTTTAGATAGAAGATTTGTCTGCGCCCTCTTGCAGTAAAAGGAAACTTTATATTTAGATGTCAATCTAGGTACCAGGAAATTAATTTGCGATAGCAAAACAGGACAGTCGATGTTACCATGCAGTAATTTGTATAAAAATATGATGGACGCCTGCTCTCTGCGCTTTTCCAAAGAAGGGATGCCAAATCTATTCAATAATTGTGAGTAGTCACATCCTCTTGAAGGATAGACACCATCACTCCTATAGCATAGATATTTTAGAAATTTCTTCTGCACTTTTTCAACATTAGTTTTGTACAGTTTATAGATAGGACTCCAAATAATTGCACCGTATTCTAATTTACTTATAACAAGCTCTGAAAATAACTTAATAGCGTTGTGTTATTGAAATTTCTACAATTTCTGATAATAAAGCCATATTTGCGATACGCATTACTTATAATTTCACTGATGTGGTAGTTAAAAGTGAGCTGACAATCGAAATAGACGCCCAAATCTCTGAAAGTTTCACACCTTTCCAATACAGAATCATCTATTTTGTATGGGCAAGTTAAAAATTTGGCTTTCCGGGTGAAGGTCAAAATACGGCATTTAGAATTGTTCAAATACAAATTGTTATTAACACACCATGTTTGTAAAAAAACTAGTTGTTGTTGGAGGTTTTCACAATCCTGCCAGCTAGAAACACATGCGTAAAGCTTCAGATCATCAGCAAACATGAGCTTCTTGCATGATAATGTGCTGCAAAGATCGTTAACGTATAAGGCAAACAATAGGGGGCCAAAATTAGAACCCTGAGGTACACCACTACTTGGCATATATTTATAAGAACTAAATCCATTATAGAATACATATTGAGTTCTCAACTCTAGATAAGACTTGAGAAGATCCACATAAGTTCTGTTGAATCCCATATATTCAATTTTTTGTAGAAGTAGTTGATGGTCAATTTTGTCAAACGCTTTTGTGAAATCAGTATATATGACATCCACTTGCCCCCTATTGTCTACCGTCTCGCATAGATATTGATCGAACGTGGCCAAATTCGTAATAGTGGATCTCTGCTTCATAAAGCCATGCTGATGTACTGACAGATGGTCTTTAGTTGCCAAGTAAATTCTGGAATACAATATTATTTCAAAGAGCTTTGCAAAATTATTCAGTATAGTAATCGCCCTGTAATTATTTACTATGGTTCTGTCTTGCGACTTGAAAATTGGGCAGACTTTGGCAACCTTCCACTTATCAGGAAAAACCGATGAACGTAGAATTGAATTAAAAATTGTCAACAAAGGAGTTGAGAAGAGCTTTACACAGTCTTTAATGAAAAACGATGGAAGTTGATCTGGCCCTGATGTAAATTTGTTTTTGAGTTTCTTTGCAGCATCTAATATCTCTTTTACACTTATTGACTCGCATGTTATATTAATAAAAATATCATTGTTACAATTCTTGTACTCATCACTTATAACACGATCACCCGGTGGAGAGTAAACACTCTGAAAAAAGTCAGCAAAAGCATTGACTATTGATACGGGGTCATTACAGGAGTTATTTTGGTAGAACATTTTATTAGGAATTCTAGATGTGTTACTCTTACTGTGCATGAATGACCAAAAAGATTTAGGTTCAGCTGGCTTTGAAGTGTTTGAATGTAAGTTATATAAGCCTGCTTAATTTTTTGTTTAAATGTGGCTCTAAGCCTATTGAATTCCTGATAATATGCGATGTTATTAGTTGCTTTGAATCTTTTATGATATTTGGCCTTTTCTTTTACTAATGCAGTCATTTGGCTGGAATACCATACAGGATACTTATGCTTGAATATTTTTGCAGAAGGAACATGTCTGTCAAGTATTGGAAATAAGTTGTTGTAGAAAGTTTCAACTGCTTGGTTAGGATCAAGCGCAGTATCTAAGAAATCCCAGTTTGTGGTTACTAGTTCCTCATAAAGCGTGGGGAAATTAGCTTTTCTGAAGTTATACCGCTTATGCTGAGTGTTGGTGGCAAATTTTTTCACTTCAAAATGAAATTGATTTATGGTTACAGATATAGCGGGATGATGGGGATCTTCATTTATAAGTGGGATTGGGTCTCGAGATACACTAAGTCTCACATTACTTATTGCCAGGTCTAATAATTTACCGTAACTATTGCTAATAGTGTTATATTGGTTAATACCAGACAAAGTGATCCAATTGTTGATTATGGAGGTTTTTCTATCCTCGTTATTACCCTCAACATAAGCCGTACAATTAAAGTCACCTATGACAATTAATTTTTTTGAATACAAATAGTACATATTCTCGACCCTTTCGAGGAAATTTTCAAAACAATCGATTGATACATGAGGTGGAATATAAATGAGTGCGACATATAAAATATAGCGAGATATACTGCACTTGCAAAGCAAAAGATCAATTTCAGGAAAGTCGTCTTCAAATTCACTCGTATTCACAATTTCAGACTTGAGGTCAGCATCCATAGCCAATAACACTCCGCCACCTGCCGATAAACCGATTCGGTTGTGATCCCTGTCTTTTCGATGTACATCATAGTTCTCAAGAAATAATTCACTAGACAAAACAAAACAAGTTGTATCTCATTAACGAGTGAAATTTTACCAAGACATTTTTGGCTCAATATCATTATTTTCATAGTGTAATCTAGAATTAAGATTCGTTACGAATCACCCTGTTAATCAACGAGTGTGCAAAAATATTATTTTATATTTTTCATTCAGGTGTACATTTTTTTAGAGACCTTATTGTACATGCGGTTGTTCCTACTATGCCTTGACGTCACAAACGGTTGTTTGTAGCCGACCCATTTTCCTATTGTAAAATTTCAACAAATCGTTTCTAATTTACACGCTATAGACGCGTGTTGCTACTGAAACTATCAGTGACTGTAGAAAAGCAAATAGTCGGAGATACGAAGTCAATAAACGAGAGGTCAGACTTTTGTGCTAACATCATTTTATATTCGTATCATGTTATACAAAAGGTTAACACGCATTCTTTTATAAACGGGTTATTTTTTAACGCTGTTCTACTCTGAGAGTATATAGGGATTTATAAGACAATCTAAATATTTATTTAGTCACCGAATGTGTATGTATACTAACTAATTTAGGAATTAATTTAAATTCAACACTTAGATGACGTAAACGAACAGAACGTCTTCAGAAAATTAAGGAATGTGTATTTGATATTAAACACCCGTATCAAACATTACATTCAAGTAAAAGATGAATAACAAGTAGTACCATGATGCGTCATGCGTTAAACAATTTTGACATCCCTCCACCTCTAACTGCAAATTTCCAGCTGAATATTTATGAGCGATATTCAACTTGTTTGTATAGTCAAAATCACGAAAGATGACTATTACGTCATACCCTAAATTGTACGGAAGTAATCAAAGGACGTACATCGATGATAAAATCACGATGTCAGGAACATAATGACAACAAATTTATATTATGAAATGACAACAAATTTATAGTATAAAGTGGATAATAAGGTATCTGAAAATATTTTCAGATTATACCTTGTGGCCTTTTAGGCTGGATACAGATGTGGTAGCACCATTCCAAAAAAGGTAAAAGATGAAACAAATCATCATAAAACTGAACTCACTTTCCAAAGACAATTTCATTTTAGGTCTAATGGAAATATAGTTGATTCTAAAGGAACTAAATTAAACTGCTATCATGAAGTACCAGGCATTCTCAAAAGCTTAGATGAAGATGGTTTTATTTTAGCCATTGTATCTAGAATTGCAAAAACAAAAGCTGCAAGACAACTCTTAGAAATACTTGGCTGGGATAACTTCTTTAGCTTTAAAGAAATACAGGGTGCGGCAGAGAGGTTGGACGGTTTTAAAAAAAAAATAAAATAGTTAATTTTTACTCGAAAACAAATTTATTAATGGAATCAGGTTCACAAGGAAATAGCATTTGAGACAGTCAAGTGTGGAAAATCACATCAGGCATGTCGTGGCCGAAATCGTTGATGCAGTGCTGGAGGCGTTCTTGGAAGTTCACGTAGACTCTCTCCAACTTGGACGACTTCCACGCGAATTTCGCCCTTCAATTCGTCCAGAGTTCGGGGCTTGTTCGCGTATACTCTAGCCTTGAGGTGTCCCCATAAGAAAAAATCGCATATGGATAAATCTGGGGACCGAGGAGGCCAATGAACATCGCCAAACCTGGAAATAAGGCGACCAGGGAAGAGAGGGCGAATAACGTCCATGGATGCTCGGGCTGTGTGGGCGGTCGCCCCATCCTGCTGGAACCACACACGTCGGATTGGAACACGTCGCCGTCGTAATTCAGGGAGAAAGAAGTTGGTGATCATGTCGACGTAGCGCTCTGAGTTCACGGTAGCATCACGACCATTACCGTCTTCGAAGTAAGGGCCAATGATGCAAGTTTGCGATACAGCGCACCAAACCGTTACTTTTGGGCTGAGCAGCGGTCTTTCGTGTAACTGTTGCGGGTTTTCATTAGCCCAATAACGACAATTCTGCTGGTTAACCATGCTGTTTAGGTGAAAGTGGGCTTGGTCACTCATAGGCGAAAACGCGGTGCTCCACCGTCCAAGGCTCCATAACGACAACTGTTAAAATAATGCTAGGATCTCACGAGTCAAACGACACCCTCCCCACCCCACCTCTCTCGTAGACGGAGGCGGAGAGTACTACCCATCCCAAAAACGTCAGTCCTCTCTGCCGCACCCTGTATTATGATTTTGCGAAGTTAGGTTATTTCACTGATTATTTTTATTTTCATTTTATTTAATGGTTTTGAGAGATACCTTAATAATAATTTTAGTGGGGAGTTTTTGTTTAAAAAAAACAGTTATAGTAAAATACCTTAAGACAGGAAGACCAAAGAACAAAGTATTATTCGAAAACATCATAACCTGCTTTAACATAACCTAACTATTTTTTGTCTCTCTCTAACATATCAGAAACTTCACTAAATATATTCACAAATCGCTGTCGTTTGTCTTTACTATAGACTAAAATGATGACGTAATCGTCATCTTTCATGATTTCAACTATATGTTTTTAATTGCGTTATGTAAATAACAATTGCACCAATTCCTCCACCCGCCCAGTAGCTTTTCGCCAATTTGGATGAAAATGATATGATGCCACACTAAAAAATTTTTTAGATATCGTCATATAAGCTTCTCAAAGCCAAACTAAAACTGAGAAATTTCCAAACATCATTTTTGTATGTTCTATGAATTCTTAATTATGGACAAAAAGTTTGTAGAAATCCTAACGGCTTTTTTCCAGATAACAACATTCACAAAGAAGGAGCTCAAGCAATTGTAGATACGCTATATCACCAACAACAGCTTTTCGCGGCAGATAGAGGACTATCGCGTATCACGACAGAAGGAAACAATTTCCATAATGGATGTCTCTTAGAAGTTGACGCTATTGACGATATACTTGCACAGAAAGCTACGAGACGAAGCAGCGTGAGAAGTCGTGGAAGTTCCCAGAGAAAGTCCTCGTCGAAAGTGTCACTGTTACCGCAAATTACGTGATGTATAGATTATGGACTGTTGAATTAAATACATATGTTAATTATTTGTTTCATTTGGTTCAATTTATCACGAACTCAAGATATTACCAGCTTGGTAGTCGGGGGTAAAATTGATCCCCAACCCCCAGCCGAACACACATAGCTTGCCACGTAGAAAAGAAATCAGACGGTAGGTGTGGGAAGTAAAAAAAAAGCACACGCCACTTCTCGTCCAAAAAATGGGTGCTCTATTAAGGATATTTTATTCCATAAGCGGAGGGGCTAATGAGCGCCCATGGCTCCCATACCTAGCGCCCAAATAGGATAAACACTTCAAACTTATCAGCTTTTTTTCCGCTGCAAATGAAATAATAAGTCCAAGGATTTATCACCTTCCGAGACAAATATAAAAAAATGAAAGGGTGGATCTTCTTAAAATTTTTGAGATAACGTTTTAATGCCTCGGTTTCGTAAACATTTCTGTAAGTTGTTTCTCATATGAGCCCGTGTAAATATTATGATGGATTACTTACTACTAAATGGTAGGTTCAAACTTCACAGAAACATGTACCAATAGAATACCTTGAACATATGAAAATTCTAGGCTTTTCTAGGCGTATCGAGAAAAAAGTTTTAGGAAGGAGGGGGGGATTAAGGGCGGATCCACCTTCCGAGTGAGCCATTTTAATCTCCCCATTGAATATTTCGAAAACTGCGCTTTCTTGAAAAAAGTTACAAGCGAAAGTTTTAGCGATTCGAAGGGGCAAAATAATGGTAACCTTGACAACGACCTTGGGTACGACCGTCAAGGTCAAGTGAATATTTACACTAGAACCTCCTTTTTTAACTTCTTATTGAAAAAATTGTCAAATTTTACGTCCGTACATCAGCTTGCCCATGACATTGACCATGGCCTTCAAAACCCTTTACAACGTGAAATCAAGACATTGAAAACAATTTGCTCTAAAATGTTACACACCACAACTGTAAGATTTGTGAGGATCACCCAAAGGTTACCTTGACCATGACCTTCAAGGTCAAGGTATGGGGTTGTCCAAAACGGACGCAGGAAAGTAAACGCATATTAAAACAAGAAATATTGATATTCAAATCAAGTTGGGTACTTTATTTTGAAGGTTCATTTATACCATTTATGTATGAAAAATAATATCGCTCAAATGTTCACCACGACTGGATTTACAGACGTCCACGCGATGGTCGAAATTTTCAATGACATTTTGCAACATGGTCGGTTCTATGGCATTTATCTCGGCAATAATGTTGTTTTTGAGTTCTTGGAGGGTGGCTGGTTTGTTGACGTAGACTTTGCTTTTCAAATATCCCCATAAAAAGAAGTCCAAGGGAGTCAACTCGCACGATCTGGGTGGCCATGGCACATTTCCTCTGCGCGAAATCACGCGATCACCGAAGAAGAACTGCAATCGATGGATATTGACGTTGGTTTGTGGCATGTTGCACCGTCTTGTTGGAAATAAACATCGTCCATATCCATTTCTTCAAGTTGCGGCAAAAAATAGTCCTCTATCATCACGTGATATCGCTCAGAATTGACGGTAACGGCGTCCCCGGCCGCATTTTCGAAAAAGTAAGGTCCGATGATGCCTTTTGACCACAATGCACACCACACAGTCACTTTTTGAGGATTTTCGTTAGCCCAGATGCGGCAGTTTTGCTTGCTTACCGTACCATTCAAAATGAAATGCGCTTCGTCGCTAAACATGATTTTTGATGAAAAATTGGCATCAATTTGGCGGTGTTCAAGGAGCCAATCTGAGAACGTTCGGCGCAAAAAATGGTCGGCCCGACGCAGCTCTTGCGTCAATTGGATCTTGTAGGCGTGTACATTCAAATCCTTGTGGAGAATGCGGAGCAAACTGGTTCTCGAAATGCCCAATTCTTGGGATCGACGCGTTGTTGATTGTTTCGGATCGTCTCTCACACTCTCCTTCACAACAGCAATATTTTCCGGTGTGCGAACGCTCCTTGGCCGGCCAGAGCCTGGCAGATTTGCCACAGAACCTGTTGCCTCGAATTTACGCACCAGACGACCGATCGTTGTTTTGTTTGGGCGGTTGTTGAGACCGAAATGTTCACGAAGCGCGCGAAACGTGTTTTTTATTTTTGCACCATTTTTGTAGTGCTCTTGAATAACTTTAATGCGGTCTTCACTTGAATACGACTCCATAGCGATCAATGGTAAACATTCAACTAACAAAATGACATGTCGGTGACAGAAAACAAAGATGGCGTCTATGTCAAATTGACGTTTACTTTCCTGCGTCCCTATTGGACAACCCTGAGAATTTCTAACAAATCTTCATGTATAAACTGTCACATTCCGTCCGAATGTGACGTTAGCCTCAAATTAAATATAAGCTTGACATGACATGAGAAGTTCCCCTTAGAAATTTTGCTTTGACCTTGAAGGTCATGGTCAGAAATCTCACATTTGTGCTGTCGAACTTAGAAACTTCTTTTTAGAATGGGCAGTTCTCAAAATATTTAGGTAGAGAGTTAAAATGGGACACCATGTATGACGAAAAAGCCCTAAAGCCCTGGCCCTGGCAGTGCTAACACAAGAAAAACTTTAAAATAAATTCATGTTAATTGTTGCTCAAATGAAAACGTTGTAATTTGGACTGTTCCATTTTGTGCCACCGTCATAATAATGTCTATAAAATACACATCAACGATCGCGGTTATCAGAAAATAGTGCTACTTGAGCAGCCATTGACATGACTATATTTACAAAAACATAATTCACTTACAAGCTACGTGAGACGGACTGAGTAGTTTGTGTTGAGTAGCGCTATGTTCCTTGTGGAAGACGCCTTCGAATTTTTGATCAACTTAAAAAAATACGGAACATTTATGACGTCCTGGCGAAAATATTTGGAACACCTGGACATATTCACGAAATTCGCGTCTTCCCGTCTAAATACGGAATGTGCAGATGCGGATCTAAGATGATATACATAACATAAGATATTGTGCGTGTGCCCCGGGAAGGGGTCCCAGGAACGCGGTACATGTCCCCCTCATTTCTCTGTTCAACTATCACAAGCGGGCGCCCTGAAGGCACTTCATAAATCTGACATGCTTCAAAGTTCCCAGACTAACCTCTGGTTTACACCTACATATATTTCAGGTTACACACTAGAATACAAGCAACAGATGAATATTGATTTTGAACCCCAATAATGCTTATGAATCACCTAAAAGTACAAACCCAACAATAGCGTGAGAACTGAACATTTGTGTTAACGTATGTTGTGCCCCCCACAAATTAACAGCCAGCCAGGCTTTTCTGAGCTATCACAAAATAAATATTAAATAATAACTAAACATTTTGATAAAAAAATATGCTTGAAAAGACAGATTATTCAAATTGTATAAACCAGAAGATACTCATTTGAATTTACCGCTTTGCTATGTGGTGTAATTTCAAGAATAATTGCAGAATACAAAATGTGATATCGTCAATCAGTCTGCTATCGTATCACAACCTGTTGCGGAACATTGCATTTTATTACTATAAATACTGTAAGCACTCACTTGGTAAGCAGTAGCACTATAATTCTTTGCAACTTCGGGTGTATTTCTTGTAATTATAATACCACCACACCCCTGGAGCATTTCAATCAGCTGTTTTTACCGTTTGGATCTTCTATTTGCTTTATAACTATCAAGTATGCCGTGTATGATAGGCAACCAGTATTGTACAATTACCGCACAGGGCTCAAACAGGGCCGGATTGGACAATTTTATTAAACGGCGACAAACTTGAATACGCTCAAGAGAGCTTAGATTCTTCTTGGACAATGAGAGTAGTATGCGTTGTTTCATATACGTAGCTTCTGATACCTTTTTGTTTTTTCATTTGTTTATAGAGTTGTAATTATTTTCAGCTTGCCGAGGCGTTAACATTTTTGGAAATTCTATAAGCCGGTGTTTTCCTCTATTAATGCAAGGTGGAAAGAAATCTGAAGAAAGTTAGCTAATTTCACTCTTATTCTAAATTTGTTTTTGTGTTCCTACGAGTTAAAATCCATAATCCAAAATGACTTTAGAACCCTTGCACAAAGTTTTCGTCTATGGAACCTTGAAGAAAGGAGAACCGAATCACGGCTGGTTTTCAAAAGATCAATCTGGATACTACAAATTCTTATACGAGGCGATTACCTGTGACAAGTTTCCTTTAATTGTGGCAACTCAGTACAACATTCCATTTATGCTTCATAAACCAGGTAAGAAAAACATTCGTTTTGTAGTAAGTATAATTTAGGACGTTCGCAGATCGACCACAACCATAACTAAGGGGCAGTAGTAACTCTCAAGGCAAGAAAGTAACTCTCATTGTATACAGGGTGACTTTGAAGTTGAGTCATTAATTTTCAGATAATGATTGGTAGAAGGAAGATAAACCAAAATATGTGTGTAAAAATAAAAAAAAATGTTACCTTGTTTCATAAAGTATCCTCCCGACAAGTATTTCAGTGCGGACCTGTATTTGATCGTGAGGTCTTGGAGCACCGGCATGCCCTCCCCTGTGAGGTCCTAAGTCACCTGATTCACGAGCCCGTTGTACTACATTAACAAGGGCACGAGGGGTTGGTTGCACTCGATTGGGAAACCGATCCGCATAAATATGTGCCATTTTTTATTTCGTTTTAGCCACGCAGCAAACACCACTATTTACTCACGCGTTACCGACTGACACATTGACTGAATAAAAACATCGTGATCAGCGTTTCAAATTCTTTCGCTTTTTTGTTTCCGATGCGATGAACCGATAAGGCGGATTATATCCGTTGTTGCCAAACACGAGCACATAATATTATTATTGAGACAGGGCGGTACTCAAACTTCCAAAGGGCTATAACTTTGTTACTTTAATTTTACCAGAAAAATGGTAAAGGAAAAAAACATTTCTTTTGATCAGATCTACTCACTGTTAAAATAAATGACTCAACTTCGAAGTCACCCTGTATGTATCACCACAGCTGAAAATTCCTTTTTGCTTAAAACATTACTTTGACAGCAGCTAAATGTTCTTCGTAGTTTTTTTGTAAATTGTTTTTTAAAGGAATGGGACATCATGTGAAAGGTGAAGTGTACGAAGTGGATGACAAAGTTTTACAAAAATTGGATATCCTGGAAGAACATCCCGAGTACTATATCCGAGACCCCTACGATATAAAACCATTAGCTCCAAATCAGGCTGAAACCAAGGCTTGGATTTATATGATACGCGATTTTAAACCTGAATTGCTCAATCAGACGTTTTATGAAAGCTATAGCAACAGTTACTGCAGCAGTAAAGGGCTAAAATATGTTGAAAGGTATCTACGAAGTACTAATTACGACCATAGATTTCCAATTTTGGCAAAGTTCCCTCAAAAATAAGATCATATTATAACCAGCAAATCTGGGAGTTTTGAAACCTGAAAGGAGAGGCATTAGATCATTTGAGCAAGTTCAATAACTAAAAAATGAACATTTGAAATTCTGTTTAGCCTTCCATTTTTTACAATGTTCAAAGTTTTCACCTAATGTTCAAGTGTTTAATGTCGCAACACAAAGTTCTAAAAACCCTGGTAAAAAAACTTTTAGATTAATGATATTGTAAGGATAAAACGTTTAAGCAGTCGACAATGAACTGTATTGGAAAAAGTTCTAAATAGTGTTCACTAAAACTTCAGTGTTTTATGCTCCCACTAACACCCCATTTTAGCGTTTAATTATAGTAGAACTCACCAAATTGCAGCACAATGTCAATCTCGACTATTAGATTTGTACTAGATCTCTACATTATTTTGTTATGCTTATTTGTTCACATGCTTTTGTAATGTTTTATATAGTGAAGATTGTTCTGTCATTGTATGTTTTGGAGATTAATATATTGATGAACTGAATAAGTTTTTCTAGACTTATACAGGGTGACTTTGAAGTTGAGTCATTAATTTTCAGATAATGATTTTAGAAGGAAGATAAACCAAAATATGTGTGTAAAAATGAAAAAAAATTTTTACCTTGTTTTATAAAGTATCCTCCCGACAAGTATTTCAGTGCGGACCTGTATTTGTTCGTGCGGTCTTGGAGCACCGGCATGCCCTCCCCTGTGAGGTCTTAAGTCACCTGATTCACGAGCCCTTTGTACTACATTAACAAAGGCACGAGGGGTTGGTTGCACTCGATTAAATAAGAATCATGTCCACCAGTTCACAAGTTCAGCATTTTCGTAAACATGTGCCATTTTTTATTCCGTTTGAGCCACGCAACAAACACCACTATTCACTCACGCGTTACCAACTGAAACATTGACTGACATCGTGATAAACGTTTCAAATTCTTTCGCTTTTTTGTTTCCGATGCGATGAACCGATAAGGCGGATTATATCCGTTGTTGCCAAACACGAGCACATAATATTATTATTGAGACAGGGCGGTACTCAAACTTCTAAAGGGCTATAACTTTGTTAATTTAATTTTACCAGAAAAATGTTAAAGGAATAAAACATTTCTTTTGATCAGATCTACTCACTGTTAAAATAAATGACTCAACTTCAAAGTCACCCTGTATATTGCCTTACTTGTTACTCATATGTTTGTTTTTATATGCAATGCCTTGTGACAATACATAGATGTTTGTTAGCAGATAAATACTCATTTTATTAGTTATGTACATATGTTACATTGTCGCTTTTTTGTTTCATATACACTTAACTGTACTGTTAACTATTGTATTACTCTAATAGTTGATATTTCATATTCCAGTGAGGACTCGACTTTGGAAGACCTTAATGGTTAATGAGATTGTGAATTATACACCAAATTTTCAAAGATCGATCAGTCTTTTATATAAATTGTTTGACAGAATAAATGAAATGCATATGTTTAAAAATACTTCTCATTATTTCTTCCCCTTATCATGTGATGGAAACACAATTTTTCAGTTGATTGGATCTTTTGTATCACATAAGATGCGCTATCAAAAAACGATACCACATGCACCCTTACCAGTTACAATGCTTGCGGCCATCCGATAAGATTAGACTTTTGTCGGACAATGTTAAGAAAAATTGATGACTATTCTACATTTTTCTACAAAATTCTGTGGAGTGACAGGTCTTCGTGCAAAAGACAGGAACTTAACTATGCACAATATGTATAATTGGCAAGTGGATGATCCCCAAGCAATACGTCAAGATTGTTCCCAGGCATAGTTTATAGTATACTATAAAAAAATGTGATACATACCAATTATCAGGAACGTTAACGGGGGAAATCACCTGTAGTTCCTAAGAAACCGGCTGTCTAAACTGTTTGAAGATGTGCTAATATTGATAAGACGAGAAATCACCTAAATCGACATTATCCAGGAAAAGTGGATCGGAAGCCTTGATCCTATCCATTGGCCACCAAGATCTCCGGACCTAAATCCACAGGATTGTTTTTACTATGGTAGCTTTAAAGATATGGGTGTATCAACCAGAGACAGGTATTTTCTAGGGAAAATCATAAACATATTTTTCAATGACAATATAGTTTATTGGTATATTTGGTTTTAGGTAGGAAAAGAGCAGATGTAGGTACATTTCTCATTTTTAATTCTAACAATACATAGTATTTGAGATACAAAATTTTATAAAAATATTCATATGGGTATTGCTTTAAAATTTCTACTGATGTTCAGTGCATTCAGTATTTTGGGACCAGTCACTATATTTGATGCATAAATAAATTGTTATTATTAGAATTGAAGAATTTTTTTGAATATGTTATAATTCAAATAAATAAAATTAATTATGTTTCAAAAGAAAATTGAAAATTTCTGTGAGATCAAAAGAACTTTAAAAATGCTTAACTGGCAGTGGACTTATAGATTGTGAAATAAACAAATATTTACGCATCCACAGATTCAAAAATGTGCGAATGATAAAGGTATTCGTTTCAGTCAAAATTATATATACGTATTTAAGGTCTCATTGAAAACGAAACTTTTCACCAATATCTACTTTGAAGTATAATACATGAGTGAGTATGTATATGCTTAGGACAAAAACACTATATGATGGGTGTGATAGCAGATCACATTATCAAAATTGTATGCGTATTCAAGGATATTTGAATTTCTGAAGAAAATAATTTTGCTGAAACACTACACCAAATGTACTAAACAGCGAATCATTGAGAAATAATCTAAAAATTGATTGACATGTTATTCAAATATTTTTTCATATCAGTCTAGGAATCAATCCACCCGGTATCATTCGATGTACCGTGCGTACCTGCCTTTCAGTCTATCTGTGATTAAAAACCTTTATCATTAACAAATAAGATCAATAATTCAGTTCATATATAACTCGGTTATATGTTATAAACAACATAAAATTCAACAGTGCTATATTATTGAGTATATGTAATGCACCTATTGATTGTATATAAATATATAATAGAGGTCTTTCTTAGATGACATAAAAGCACGGATTTCTTATCAAAAACGTTAAAACTTTCAGTACTTCTGACACATTTGTGTGGTAGGACGAGTTAAATATCTGAGGTAAGTATACATTGCATTTTTACTGTAACAGCGGCACATTTGCGGCACTACAGCATGGCGTATATAGTATTTTACTATTACAAGTTCAAGCAACAAAGGAAATTTTAATGGCAACACTGTTCGTCTAACGCCAATACCAGGCGTACTTTTCAATTCCTCACCACAACACACATCAGTAGACAAGCAACTCCGAGTCAGTGTTGCCTTTCACACTGATTACCCCATCCCAAAACGAAGTGTATGTTATTAGTGGTAAAATACTGTATACTGAAACATGGTTTGTGACTGCACCTCAAGTAAAACTTTGATCGTCATTAAAATCATAGTCTTGTATGCCGAAAAGAACGAAATGTATATCTAACATATTCTAGCGAAAAGCTGCTTCAATAAGACAGTGACATGTGTATTAGCTAAGTTTTCCATAACAGTGAAAATATCTCGCTGTTTAGTGGCTGTCTCGTTTATTAGAATTAAAAACTGACAGATTGAGTTTGCAACTTCCAGCTCTTATATATAATTCTTTGAACTATTATAAATTCATATAAAGTTGTTCAATTTCCATGAGTATGAAATGCAGATTTGAAACTTTTATAGATTTTAGATGAATTAATATGTAAGACGTTTACACATAATTTACTAATGTCTGAGAAATTGGAGTCGCTTCTGTCAAAATTTACAAACATGTGTTTTTTGCACGTGAGTTGGTGCTCACATCTCGATATTAAATTTTCTATCACAGCCAAAATTGTGCCACATGTGGGGTATTTGAATTTTTAATAAAAAGCAAATATCTATGAAATATTTTGAAGGAATTTCATGAAAAAAAACAAAAATCGGGAAATTGCAGAATCGTTCCGGCAGAATCTACATTTTTTCACCATGCTTCCGCAATTTTTGCTGAGCTCCTATGGTTTCCACGGAGATAACCCTCAAACCATTATAATTTGGAAAAACACTCTGTTCTAGCAATATCTATCTTACCTCTCAATTTAGTGGTTTACAGGTTAGGACCACTGAGTTGGCATACTTGAGAGGTGTATATTCTAACGAGATGCTGCTAGATTCAATATTGGTTATAAAAGGCATCAGAAAAATAGCAAAGCCTGGAACTAAATCATTTATCTAAAATATTTTTAAAATAATTTATTTATCTTCTTGCATAATAAGTACTATACAGGTCCGCGTCGTTACCCATAGAAGGATTAGTATAACCATACATATTATAACTTTGAGCTAGCGTTTGATTCATGGTGGGATACTGTTGGTATTCAGTCTTGAAATCGTCGCACTTCTGCATATGATACACAGTACCACTTGAACTCCTACCGAAATAGTACCCTGAAGTGTCTTGCTGAGGGTATTTCACCACATGATCTAGTACTTCTTCGCCTTCTTCCTCCTCTTCACTATCGAATAACAGATTAGCTTTATGTTGTTGCAACTCCGACAGCTCATTTTCTTTTATCTCTATCAAATCCACGAGGTAGTTTACCTCGACTTTACGTTCTTCGTCTGTCATGCACTCCTCGGGGGTTCGAGGAAGGCACCAGTGAGTGGTAGATATGGATAGGTGTTGGTAAGGGTTTATTTCCATACTTCTAGTTTGTCTTCGAGAGGCTGAAGGCCATTGCAACGATTCTTTATAGTCTTGGAAACCCACGCGATTTGACGTATTCCTGTACGAACTCTGAATGTCTCTTGCAGGGTATCCCGTGACCATCATGTTCGCACCTTGGAGGTTGAAAAAGGTCAACTTTAAATAGTTTTAAGGGGAATATTAACACTTCTGGAGGAATTCATCGAGCCATTTGAACCAACTGCTCCGAAGAGAAAAATGTACATATGAATAGTGGAGGAAAAGATTTGTGCTGCAGGTTTTTTTGAATCAGATCAACAATATTGCAATAAGTTTTGTCACCGTTTCTATATGGCATAATCTGAAAAAAGAGGCGCATAGAATATCGGCAATGAACAGCTGAGTGCTAAATAAAGGTTCTGACATCAAACAGATTCAACAGCGATGACAGAAAAAACTAAATACAACCAACGAGAGTCATAGTACTAAGTGCCAAGATAAGAGATAAATTATGTCGAACGATTCGGGTATCTACGTCTGTAGTTATGGTTGATGATGAGTACGTACGTCACTTAGTTAAGTCTTACAGGGAAAACAACATCGAGAAAGGTTTCACAATGGTGTTTGTATTAAATATCTGATTTGGAATAAGCATAGTACCTGTTGTTGTAATACAGGTAGTGCTACACTCGGAGGACCTTTGTTCAATGACCTTGGTCAACGATCCTCTCGGCGTCAACGCTGCCAACCTAGTAGCGACGCCTGATCTCCTGGCTCTTCCACCAGCATAAACGTCTTTCATAATCTCTCTGTACAAAGTAGCAGCTGGAGTTTTCATTTTAGCATCAGCTTCTTTCAGTTTCTGGAGCTCTTCCCGTAAAATTGCTATCTCTTCACGCGCTTTTTCTACCTAGTCGGATGTATCAACATTATATCAAATCATACTACAAAAAAAGGGTCTGAAAAGTGACATTGTCGTTCAGGTCACAGTATATACAAGTACGAGAGAGTAATATCACTCTGGCTAGTATTTGCCAGACGAGTAGATTCCACGCGCATCGCATGGCAGCACATAGAGAACCAATATAACCGGAGCTGTAGTATTTTTAAAAAATTGTCGGTTGTGTTTAAAAACAAAATCCTGAAGAACTCATTGAAACAAGAAACATGTTACTTGTTAGTATATAGAGTTAAACTTTTGTAGTGATGCATTATTGGCAAAGTGAGACAAGAGACCAATCCTAGACCATGCTGATGAGTTGCCAAAAAGCACGAAACAGCTGTCCATACACTAATAGCAGCTATAGATATATTTGCGCTATCTTATTTTGAAAGTGAGGAAAGTTTTAATAGTACAATGAATCGTTTTATCTAGGGAGGTTTGGAAAAGTACCTTCACCACTAGATCTTGATTAGACGAACTCAACTTATCCGAGGAACCAACAGCGCATTCGCAGAGCTTCGGGTTCGATTTTTGAGTACCGCAGGTGCACATTTTACCATCAGTCGATCTGCAGCTGCACGAACTCTTCGTAACTTTACTTTCCCAGCCGTCATCAGACTTCAAGGACGAACCAGATTTCGCACTTTCGTATGTACACGATTTAGTGGATCTCAGGCTTGCACCATTCACTGCTGTATCCTTCGTGTTAACTTTAGACTTCATATAAATGGCAGATTTCTCCAACGCATTCGTGTACGTTTTGTTCGCTCTCACTCTATCTATGGGTGAACCATATCGAATGCGGTGAGCCACAAAATCGTGGATCCGTTTACAATGTGATAAATCCCTACTAATATTATAAATGAGAAAGTGTGAATGTTTGTTACTCAATGACGCCAAAATTGCTGAACAGATTTGGATGAAATTTCGCACAGAGATAGAATAGAGTCTGGAATAGCACATATGCACATATTTATCCCGGAAAATTACTGGCACGGAAGCGTTTAGTCATTGATCCGACGGAAATGAGTAAGGGCACACACACACACTAATGCAAAACGAATGACATACACTTTACACTACTTTGCATAAAACAAAGCAACCATATGGTATCTATAACAAAGCCATAAAATGCCATTTGCTTTTTATTCTTGAGAACATTCAATTTAAACACACACACAGAGACTTGAACGAAATACAACAAAACGTCATAAATGAAGGGAGCCCAAACATCGACCTTGAAAATTTTAATTTCAAGGCGTTTGTTTTGTCAAAAGAATTACATTGATTTTAATTTTCCGTACTGTGAAAATCAAAGTAAATACTTTCTTCATCGAATTGTTTCATTTGTTCGTAATGACAATATAGAAATGAATGAGCAACCACAGAAAAAGATTCAGAAGTTACATCGATCGAAAAAGCCAATGTACCGAGTACTATTTATTAAGAATGTCGAGTACCGAAGTGCATGATACTCGCCCGGCTTCTCGGGATAAAGTAATTAGTACTGGTTTATTTCAATTGCTATCAGTAATATTAAGATTATATTTGAGTTTTTACTCTAAGAATTGATTTACTTTTCAAAGAAATGTATGCACCATCCAAAAAAGTCGAGTGACTAGGAGATTTTCAGAAGTGTTGGTATTCATATATTTTCCATATAAAAATTTTAAGTACTGCCATTCGGAAATATTGTAATTGAATCAGAATTATAAACATAATTTGACATTACATTTCTAGAAAATTTTGTTCAGATACTTTTCAATCTTCTCTATTACAAGAGAATAATATTTGTAAAATAATATTAATATAAGATATAACAATACACTAGACGACATACATTGCATTTTTCGAAAAATCATATAGTAGTAATACCATCTATACCCAAAATAAGCTACACAAATATCATAAACACACTAGCTTAGCGGAGAAAACGCTCTACATTGCAAATCATCCAAATCAATCAAACGAATATGACAAAAATATGCTGTAACCCTGGCTTTCTTTTGATGGTGCGTTAATTTTTTTAGAAAACATACCAGGATGGAGTTAAAAAAGGGATATCGTATCTACAGTTCTTTGACTTACGCAAGTAGTGTGTCTTGCGTTCAGACCGAGGCATCCCTTCTTATTCTTGACTTGATCTTCAGATACAATAGACTGAAATTTTTTTTTACTTCAGCATCGATGGCCTAGTATAGGACTATTCTGATACTCTGTAAAATGCTCAAAAAGTTGATTTTTATTTTCCTGTGAGTCTCTTCTGTATTTATTTTTCTTTTTAGTGTAGTAGGTTCAAGATACACTACAGGACATCATCAGTTGCAAACGGATCCATTTATATCGACTTTCGAAAAAATTATAATACTAAAAATGTTCCTCTCACCATCCAATTCAATATTTATGCTCGACTCGAGCGACGTTCTAGATTTGTGTCCAGCATGAGTACACGACTTATGGCGCCGTATACCCTCTCCTTTTTCAGATGGAAACATATTTTTTCTAGGAGGTTCTTTCTTAAACTTCACGGGATCTGTGCATATAGCTGTACTCTGTTTCTCAATGGCATATTTGACACATTTTGCCACCGAAACGCATTCTTTTGCCTTGGTGTCACCGCTTTGCAATGAACCATTTTCTATATCTTTAGCTTGGAGAAGATTTTCCATGACCTCTGCAGCATCTTTGCCAATATTTGGATGCAGTTGTCGTTTCAGAATGCCAATTTTACGTTCATCTACCATCATACTTTGGCTTTGATGCAGCCTACATACCAGTGCATTTTCGCATGGGTCATTATCTGACTGTGGATGATCCAGGAGACTACAATATTCTTCAACCTTGCTCACCCCTAAGAATATAAAACATGATCAAAGCATATGTTTCATAGCTTATAAAGACCCCAATTTCGACACACCTCGTATAAGAGTATCCAATTTTTTTGTCTGAACAAATATACATTAGAATCTGAAAAACATATTGTTATAATAAGGGTTCCTCCACAATCCACTCAAAATTTGAATCAAACAGAAAACAGGCTTTTCTTCGATTTCGTTCAAGCACGAGTGTTGCATTAAACAATTCAATTGCTGCACGAGATATTTTATGTTTTGAAAGAGGAAATTCTGATTTAACGAAATCAAGCCACATTTACACAATACTGTGTGTGGGTTAATGTATTTAATCTATATTTTATAAGGATTCCAAATGTGAAATGTGCCAGTCCATTGGCTTTTTCCAATTAATGACAATCCAACTTGACGAAAGACACGAAGCATACCTTCCAGTTGCTCATCTGGATTCTCAATACCATTTTCCCATTTGAGAGCACAACACTTATTAGGCACATGGGGCGCTACGGAATTAAGACTAGACGCACAATCAGTGTTAGTCAGTTCAATTTGAGGCACTTGACTTTGAGGCAGTTGCATCATCGACCTTTGGATGGCCTTCATGTGAATGGTTTTCATTAAAGTTGTGGAGGCCGAGATAAAATTAACCATATTGTCCATCATGGTCTTCCATGATTCCAGCTCCACGGGACCACGGAGCGGACACTGGGACATCGTGAGGCCTTTGGTATTTTTATTTCACCACTTGAATTTTGAGGTTTCGGTCACATCGTTCCGATAATACAGGAGAATGTCACTATGACGTCTTTCAGTGACGGACAGATGACAATATAGGCTTAGTGGAGTAGTGTCCATACTTTGCGAATAGGTAGTAAGGCTGGAAGTACTAACCATGCTTGAATAGAAGTGCGATTTTGTTATCGGTGAAGCTGACCACAACGACGTGAAATCCCCCGCTCCGTACAAAAATGAACAAAAATCCTTAGAAGAGAAAGTTTAATGCACCCCAAAAAAAGTTGTATACGCATCAAAATGATCCAGCCGAAATTGAATGACAAAGAATCAGTTGGTAAAAAACAACAGGTTGAAATGAGAAAACTTCTGCTGATTGTAAACATAAATATGATATTTACATTCGTAATTATTTATGGACCAAAGATAAAGTATCATCATAAGTTTAAAACAACATTACAGCTTTAAACATTTTTCGTAATAGTTTCGAAACAAATAAACATTTATTTTTTTGGTAAAACAAGAACATGCATATTGCCATCACGCCGATAAACACTAAGCAGAATTTCTTCAAGTATTCCGGGATATCCTCTCATACAGATGTCGGTATGAAGGTAATTCAAGACGGCAAAAATGAGATAAAAAGAGTAAAAAACTGTGTAAATGGCACACACACATGTTATGTCTCATTTCAGTTTTAAAATAACCTGCTAATACACATACCAAATGTCGTCTGTCTTTGTGTATAATTTCCTGCCCAAAGTAAACTAAATATAACTTACACAAAACAAAAAATATACCGCATTTACAAAAAATATACAAATCGATCAAATAAAATCATGTCTTTTCATCCACAGAATAGTTCCAAAATAACAACAATATATACACTGATTTCTTTCGTATCTCGAATATTTACATGGAAACATCCATGGTAAGATACCAATAGATCAACAAATATTTTTAGCACCATATAAATAGTCATGTATAGTGGCTTTAAACCACTTAGCTTTTCCTTAAAGAAGCAAACATGTAGCTGCTTATTTTACCACAACTAATGGTCGGCATTTCGCACCTTTTTCGGGCTTCGGCTAAAGACGGTTGCCTTCACTCCCGCTCAGACGTGTGTTGAAACGCGAAAGGCATTTTTTGAGATAACGTAAAGTGTATTTATTGAGTAAGATTTACCATTGTGAATTGACATTTATGATTAATGTACTTAGCATACATTTTTCCATCCACACCTTCCTCAAGAATTATTTTTACAGATAATATAAACTATTCTGTTGATGATAAGGTACCAGTTTCACTGCTAACAAAAATCAATATATACAATATATCCCTTGTTCGCGGGTAAGTTCCTCATATTGAGGGATACAACCCACAGTAGGACCTAATGTAGTAATACCTTGAAAATAAATAAATAAAAAAATCTCCTATGACACACTGGAAGTATTTTGTAGTTATTGGCACCAGTCGGGTTCCTAAAAATAGAGTTTTATGGCTTTAATTCTTCACACATATTTGTGTTGGATGTTAAAAGTACCATCAAATACTAACTGCATTTGTTTAAAATTAGCTCTGAATCAGCAACAATCTATTCTTTATGTGAAACATTCACTCATTGTTGAATATTTAGAATAACAGAATAATGAAATCACAAACGAGTCAGTCATATTTACACTACCTTGTAAGTCGTTTCATAGCCGCCTTTACTCTTCATTTGATTCTGAAGGGCTATCAGCTGCTCACCTGGAATTTCCACATCCCTGCTTCCTATATGCCCTGTGTGTTGGAAGTTTGTCGGATTTCCTATCATTGATCTATTGAAGGGAAAGGGTGAAACATGTTTGAATTTGGAATAATGCAATAGCTGCTATGAACAACTATCAATGAAAACATGCCTGAGGTATAAAGGGACCTAAGATATGATTTTACGTGATATTTGCAAAGTACAATGCCAGATAATAATGATTGGGCTTTGTCTTTCACAACCGAAAACAAGATTATCAAAATAATTATTTACTATAGTTCGACCAGGGTAATAAGCAAAAAAGCCACCTGGCCCAGGACAGTTGCAGTTTCTTAGGCAACAATATTGACGAAATTTTAGATTGGACAACAAACTGCTGAAAAGGCCTAATTCCATTTGCTGAGGTATTAGGGTAACATGTACATATCTGAATAATTTCAATGAAACTTGCAGGGGAGTGCTTAAAACTGAATAAACCATGATTATATTTACCATCTAGGTTTGACTCTTATATTTATATTCAAAAATAGAACACTTATTTGAAGTTGAAGTGCAAACTGTTTATGATAACAACACTAAATGTTAATTGTCCAAAAAAGACATTATTTTCCAAAGAAAAAAGCGCTGCTTACATATTTTTAAATTATCTACCAAATGGAATTAAAAATATAAATAGTTTACACAAATTTAAAAAGACCATTAAGCAGCTTCTAGTGCAGTTAGAGCCTTATACCATAGACGAGTCCTATATGAGCTGTAATAATTTCAAGTTGTAGGTTTTCTAAGGTACATAACCATTATACATGAGAAAATGTCAGAGGTAAATTACTATAGTTAAGGTGTTATTGGTGCAACATTTCATTTTGTAGTTGTTATACAATTTTATTTGTAATTGTACAATTTGAAATATAGATTGTTTTTATTATTATTAAGTAATGTAAGCTGCCGTGACGTGTACAAACTATAAACAATATACAGGGTGTTCCATAATTATTGCGACAAAATGATAGGTGTTGTAGAGGGCATCAAAATGAACAATTTTGCCTTATAAACCCCTGTTCGGAAATATGCCGTTTGGGCTGCAACAAAAAAAAAAGATCAGTTTCTTGAAACAGCTTACCTACAGTAATTGCTCAAAGTGTCCTCCACCTTGCTCAATACACAGCTGTGCACGATTGTTCAATGATCGGCGAACTCTGTGGCATACCCCTGGTATGTCCTGAACATGTGCGGACGCGGCCATCATTCTTCCCAGTAGCTCTTGTTGGTTGGGAACAGGAGTTTCGAACACTAAAGCTTTCAGATGGCCCCAGAGAAAATAATCCAGTGGGGTCAGGTCGGGTGACCTCGCAGGCCAAGGCACAGGGCCACCTCGACCTATCCACCTATTTGGAAATTTGTCGTCCAAATACTGCCGCACTTGTAAAGAAAAGTGGGCTGGAGCGCCATCGTGTTGAAACCACATGTTGGCTCTTATGTTCAGTGGCACATTTTCTAATAGTTCCGGTAGCACATGCTGTAAGAATCGACCATAAGCATGCCCATCCAAACGTGGTGGAAGCAAATATGGCCCGATGATATGCTCGTCCACAATGCCGTACCAGATGTTAATTGAAAACTGATGTTGGTCTCTATGGATGGCTATGGCATGAGGGTTTTCTTCATCCCAAATGCGACTGTTACGGCTATTAAAATAACCGTCCTTTGTAAAACAGGACTCGTCAGTGAACAAAACGTAGCGACCAAAGTTTGGTTGCCTCAACTCCATGAATCCTTGCAAAAATGGCGTGATGCGGATGAGGACGTTCTGGAAACCGTTGGGCGTAGATTCGCGAGGCTTGTCTTCCGTTACCACCAGCTTCTTCGTAAATTAATTGCATATCCGCAAGTTCCGCATACGAATAACGCTGCATTTTAACACTAAGGTACTGTTATTTACTATCTAGTTTGACGCACCACTCAGATAAATTAAATGAATCGGTGTGGAGAATTTACGATAACAAAAATGTAAACACAGCAGGCTTTTTTTACAAACCGGCGAGACCATGAAATGTGCTAGACGAACATTTTGCAGCTGGTGAATTTTTTGTTTCTCCTATGAGCTCTTAAGGTAAAATTAGCGGTAGTGCTCAAACGGCATATTTACGAACAGGGGTTTATAAGGCAAAAGTGCATATTTTTATGCCCTCTACAACTCCTATCATTTTGTCGCAATAATTATGGAACACCCTGTATATATAGCCAACAAGCTTATGATGTAGAAAAATATATATTGTCAAAAAAAATAATAGGTAAAATGTCAATGTAATAGATTTCCAAGGAACATGTGAACCTTTTAACTAGTCTTAGCAGACTAGTTATTTCATTATACTATAAGAAGATTGCCTTAATTTTCCATAAATAGACAGCATGGTCCAAGTGTGAACCAAAAATTAAAAAATTCAATTTTTCGAAATTTCTGTTGATTTTGTATAGATTTTGTTACTATATACCTATACTATCTCAAATGACCATTGGTTTGTGCAACTGCCCTAACAAAATCATTATTACCCTGGTCTTATTAGTATGAAGCCAACAATGTAGAAAAATGTTGTGAGATTTTAGCTGTGAGCTCTTCTTGGTTAGTACATGTTACTCTAATGTTGACTCTATATTCACCATTTTTAAACAGATCGATTATCACAAGATTTTGAAATAGTTTTGAGCAGGGTCAGTAGAAGGGAGGCTTTTCAGCCGTGAAAATAACTCAAATTTCAAGTTAATCACATCTGGTCAAATAAGCAATGAGGTTTGAGAAATTTGAATTCCAAGCAAGTAGTAAAGCTACTAAGCCCTATGATTCAGTTAAGGTGGTTTTAATGCCACTAATATATAGATCATTAATTGAAACAGTTCCCTCATTGATGTTTTCTTGTTGTTGTTTAATATATACTTTTTATTTATGTCATATAAGCAGCTTTTTGATATGCTAGAAACTAGATGAACTGGAACTAAAATTGCTATAAAAAAATAGCAAACAAAATGTTAGACAATAGTTACATTACAAGAACAGTTTGAAAGAACCAACTTTTTAAAGTATTTGACATGGTGATGCTAGTTCATTCTTTGTTAGCAGGGTGTCAAAGTTACACATATAATTTTTTTTCATTGAAATGTTATGTATTATGTGCATTTTGCTAAACATCAGAAAAAACAACACTGATTTTGATGGAACAATCAATTAAGAATATTTTGAAACAAACCTCCAAATGATGTAGAAATGGCAATATAATATGACAAAGTCTATAGCAGCATATTGAAATGTCTTCAAATTGCTGATTTGATCAACCGACATCATCAGGAGTATGTATGTCAATCTCTATCTTTATATGATAATTTTTAATTGTTTGTCAAAAAGGCTCATTATAGCAGAAGTTATGACAACATTAAAACTTGATAGTTTGGCTGGTCTTGCAAAGTTCATCATAAGATTCTTATAGAAACTAATTGAAATGGAAATATCTGCTAAACCAGTGAACTATGGATAATGCAAACAGTATAAGGTACACAAGTCTTAAGCTTCTGTTAAAGAGAAAATTAGCTTCAGACTTATGTATTTATTTAAATTGTGTTATACATCCTAGGAGTTTATAGAATACTTGTATAATAGAGTTCCAGAAACATGATGTTAACAAAACAAAAAATCCAGACAATGATTGGCCTTGATAAATCCAAGATAACAAAATTCTTCACTAATGAATCCAGACTGAAGAAATGCATCATCTTGCCCATTGTGATATTAGTCATCCTCAAATATGCTTATCACTGAATTATAACAGTTACAATGATCATTAAACTCCTTATATGGAAAAATGTATGGAACTGAACTAGCTGATACTACAGATTTAACAAATGGATAGAGGAAGCCCAAAATTATTACCTGTCGATACGATGCGTCCTCTTCTGTGGCTGAGTAGCGCAACAGCTAAACCAAGAAACCCATAAGTCACTTACAGCAGCCATCTAGAAAGAAATTCAAGACATTTTTCAATTGTACTATTAGGGCACTGTCCACTTGTTTAAGAGATAAGCTAATGTATGATTATCTGGCGCCACTAATTACCTTACTGAGCAAATAACAGATAAATGCATACAGTGATCAGATATACAGATATTTGTGACCGAAACAGGTAAAAAGAAAACACATCTACTTACCATTTATGTATATCACAGACAAACAGCTTTGCCGTATTACTGCACGAGCAACAATTATTTGTGCTTTATTACAATGTTAAGGCTTATAAAACTAGTATTGCAACAAGTGTTAATACTTAAAATTAAAAATAAATGCACTTAACTTTATACTAAAGGTACATTTTTTATCAGACCTTTCGCCGAGCAAAAGTTGTCATAAATGACAAAGGACAAGACGGCAAGAGCCGAATCCGAATGATGCATATGACATATGACGTGCCAGTGCAAGAATAGAGATGGTAGATTACTATTCCATATCAAATATTCGATATTTACAACATTACCCTGTAATATGGCGACTATTTCAATCATGAAATATTGTATCGAATTGATATCGTTCTGAGTCACAGCTCCTTAGTTTTGAACTATTGCTAACCTAAATTTGTGACAACACAACACTGACAACTGTCAGAGGATCACAAGTCATAAATTTAAAAGTTTTGTTATCCCAAATTTAAAATTTTATAATATATGTAGAGCATTTCCAGTCCTCAACAGTGTAACTTGTAATTAAAATGTTGTGTTATTTGAGTGCGTTTCTAGTTATATCGTTAAATGTTCAAAAATCGTACTCTGTAAGCAATCTGCTGATCATACATTACTGCATTACTATTGGTATCTTGTTTTCAGAGCAATATAGAATACGATGGATCAGTAACAATTCGTCTTCAACATGCCCTTGTTGCTTCAGAAGATCCTGTATTTACAGATAGAGGTAATGTAACTGTACACAGCTTACGTTTGGGACAAGCAACTATCAATCAGAGGCCTCTGTCTCCAGATGAACAACTTCAGCTAAGGGTGAGAGTGTGTGATAAAATTCAAAGGCAGAACTTCAGTATAGGTAGCATTTAAATTACGAATCATCAAGAATGAATTTGGCCTTGGTGATTTTATCATGCAATTTATGGATTGACTAAATGATGATGGAATAGAAATTCAGTTCCAACACTCATTTATGTGGAACTTACTTCTTTCAGGACCTAGCTGCAAAAAACCACTTTTATCAACTAAAATCAATTGTGACTGCAAATGATGGGTCTCAAAAGACTTTTCTGTCAACAGTTAAAGCAGTGAGTATTTGGGTTTTCTGTTGAAATGTTTGCTTTAACTTATTAAACTGTTTCGTTAAAATTACCCATAGTGACTTTTTTAGTGCATGCTTGCTGAGTCAGAGTTGGATGACCGTCTTTCGGTATCCATTGATTACATGGGCAGAGTAATTGCTGTGACTTCAATCATAGCATCAAAATCAACTTGTGAAGGGGCAGTTGTTTCACTGGAGAAACTGAAACATTTTACTACTAGTGTCTATGTTAGGCACACCGAGCCTGGACCAATGTATGAACATATTTTTACTTGATACTTTTTACTTTAAGTAATAACTTTTAGAAATCTATTTCAACTTATGATTTTTTCTTTTTTGTAGACCAGACACAGCATCATACATCCAGAAATTGGAGAGGGAAAGGGAAGCAAAGGAAAAGGGAGAGGTGAAGGATAATAGATCATTCTTAGCTAAATATGTGAGTGGACTTATCAAAGATAATAATACTTTTTTAAATAAGAGACAAACCTTTTAGTTTATATCTATGTATTTTAAAATTACACAAATAGAACCAACAAATAATTTGCACTAAATCACTATAACTTTTTGAGCATATTAAATTAATCAATTATGTTGATCATATCATTAGGGTTTGGCTAATGACCATTTTTTGGCTGAAGCCAATGTTAAGCTTTTTTTTTTATATCGAAGCAGCCACGCAGGCAGAAGCCCAAATGCCGGAACACAGCGACTGCTATGATGATCCCAAAGAAATTTTATTAATACGATTTTTGAACTGCCTAAGGTTAATAGAACTGGGAAAAGCCCCCTCTTGTAGATTATTCCACAATCTCGACACCCTCGGAACAAAGGAGCGGTCGTATCGGCCGGTTCTGGATGTACGAAGTTCGACACGGTTAGGATGGGACGCCAAAGTTAGGCGGGTCTGTCTGGCAGGCACATCGCGCGACGGCATCATGGAAGAGAGCTCCGAGGAGCAAAGCCCGTTGGTATAACGGTAGAAAAAAGCCAGATCGCCGACAGCCCGCCGATGCGAAAGAGTCCCGAGACTGTCTGTTAGAGAAGAGTCATCGATCAGTCGGACTGCCCTCCTCTGGACAGCATCGAGCATGGATAATGTAGTCGGGGCGGCAGCACCCCAAACGTGCGAGCAATACTCCAGGCTAGGCCTTATCTGGGCCTTGTATAGAGTGAGAAGGTCATGCGGAGAAAAGTACTTCTTAGCCCTAAACAAATAGCCTAGCTTTTTTCCAGCAGCTGCAGCTATTGACGAGATGTGTTCGTGCCAGATCAGGTCCTCGGTGATCTGGACTCCGACCAGCCGAAATGAATGGCTCTTTGGCAGAACTCGACCATCCATCGAAACCGGGTGAGCGCAGGGACGCTTCTTGTTCGTCAGAGTACAGTACTGCGTTTTGGAAGCATTGAACTGTACAAGATTGTTGCGTCCCCAAGCAGTGATAGCCTCCAGGTCTCTTGTCAGAGAGGAAATCATCGCTAGTCTTCTTTTTTCCAACTCAGCGGCAGAGATCGGCTTGTCACTCTGAATTCCTACATGTAGAGTGCTGTCATCAGCGAAGCTGTGGATTGGGTTGATCGTGCAGGAAAGGAGGTCGTTGATATGTAAGAGAAACAGTGTCGGAGCCAAGACCGATCCCTGGGGAACACCCGCGTTGACGTTGAGGGATGAAGAGGAGAACCCGTCAATTACGACGGATATCTTGCGGCCAGAGATAAAGTCAGCCACCCATCTGCAAAGCTTTTCTGGGAGGCCATAGGATGGAAATTTGCTTAAGAGGGCAGCGTGCCACAGCTGATCGAACGCTTTCGTGATGTCAAGAGCAACGACATGAGCCTCACCATAAGACTGAATGAGTTTACTCCACAATTGCGTGACGTAAGCTAGGAGGTCCCCTGTGGATCGTTGGTGCCGGAAACCATACTGCCTGTCGCTAATCAAGCAGTGACGTTCGAGGTAGTCCAGAAGCTCGCGATTTATGCACCTCTCCATCACCTTACTTAAAACAGAAAGCAGAGCTATAGGCCTGTAGTTGTAAGGGTCGGTCTTAGATCCCTTTTTTGGGATGGGTTGGACATGAGCAAATTTCCAGTTTTCTGGGAAGGTGCCGGATTCATAAGATATCTGGAAGAGACGCGAAAGAACTGGAGCAAGCTCCGGTGCACACCTCTTCAGTACAATGGCAGGAATCAAGTAGCTTTGTTGATGTCGAGCGACAAGAATACTCGTCTTACGGTCTTAGGCCTGAATGTTACCTCCCGCATAGTGTAGGGAACCCTTTGAATTGACGGCACTTGGGCGTTGGGAGGGACGTCCATGGTGGAGTTGGCAGCAAAGATCTTGGCTAGCACTTCCGCCTTGGCCTTTGAGTTGAATACAATAGTTCCATCCTGACACATGAGTGGTGGAAGGCTACTGTGTGAGAAGTTCTTTTCAATCTGCTTGGCCAGCGTCCAGAAAGACCGACTACCATTGCGCTGCGACATTACCCTGTGCCTAACTTTTACATCAAGCTGGTTTTTGGCATTGCGAACCGCTGCTTTATATTTGTTTCTGGACTCAACGTCGTCTTGTCTGTTCTCTACAGTGGGGTTTTGTAAGAAGGTTCTGTGGGCCTTGATCTTCTGCTCGCGAGCAGCGTCACAGGATTTGTTAAACCAGCCGTTGGACCCTGGTCTAGGCACTTTCACTGTGTGAGGGATGTATTCCTCCAACGTGGATAATTTCGGTTATGGAAGAACAGACAGCCGACGCATTCGCGTCAGTGAAACAGACATCTTTCCAAGGAAAGCTAGAGAAGAAATCTCTGAGCCCCTCCCAGTCGGCATGTCCGTAATGCCAAGTTTTGCGGCCTGTACGAGTTTCTGCTGCCACAGCGGGTTCTGACCGAAACCTAACCTCCACAATACCGTGGTCTGAGTTACCCAGAGGGGACAGCACAGCAGTGCTGTAAGGGGCAGGATGCGTGGTCAGAAAGAGATCCAGCAGGCTACTGGCGTGTGACGAGACGCGGGGGAAAAAAAGTAGGACTCGTCAGCAGCTGAGTCAGCCCTTGGGTAAGAGCGAACGCTTCGACTGCACGACCTGCTGCGTCGGTCTTGTTTGAGCCCAACCAAAGCTCGTTATGGGCATTGAAATCACCGAGAAGAACTACCTCTGAAGCGGGATGATTGATGTTCAGGAAGTCGATCTGGACGGCGAGGTATTCGAGTAGATCATCCCAGTTATGGTCCGAGGGAGAGCGATAAAGGCAGCAAATAAACTTGGGTGATGTTTTGGAGTTGAGGCGAAGCCACATAATGTCCTTCCGGTCTAATTCCAACGAACATCTCTGGAGCAGGAAAGACTGCTGCGGACAAAAGCCACAACTCCCCCGTTCTTTCTCAGATTGGAGTGCACCTCGTAGTTTGGGAAGTTAAGATGGTTAATCGGTGCAGACTCTGAGATTTTTGTCTCCGCCAAGAAAATCACGGCGGGACGATTGGATTGCAGGTAGTGATGAACAGCATCAATGTTGCTGTTAATCCCGCAGATGTTCGAAAAACAAATTTTATCTTCGATGTTGTTCCCTCGAGCCCACCCTCCACCCGGACATTCCGAGAGTGGAGTGAGTTTACGTCCGGAGTTTTTAGTGCTCGAGGGATCCATCATCATTAATTTCTTTGTTTTGGAGGATAACCGACTGCATAGCTTAGGTGTGGAAACATGCGGACATTTATAAGACATCCTGGGAAAAGCTAGCGGGTGGTACTGCCTCGGTCGACTGGTCCTTGTCTACCACCTTCTTTTTACGTGTTAGTGATGTTAAATAGACCTAAAGTGGCCCGTTGGCGGACTTGTACCGCCACCCGGCAATCGGTACTGAGGTATTCCTTAACGCGTGGACAATCACTTGAACGAGACGAAGTTGTATACTGTATACAACAACTTCCGGAACAAGGTGTAGAATAACAAACTTTTATGCCCTTGTTTCTATTTCTATTTCATTATTTCTTAAATTCATTGATCAAGATTATATGCATTTTCATTTTTACTCCCGCAATAAGCCATATTTGCGCAAAACGCGAGTACGTATACCTGTATTTTTATTGGTATAGAATTGCAAGAAACAATATTGGGAGTTTGACCCCTTTTTTATTTTTGATATGAGCTATCGCTGACTTTCACATTTTTGAATCATAAAACTGTATGTTCTTTTACTTAATATTCTTAACCGAATATACATTTTTTTCAGTGGATGTACATTGTTCCATTGGTCATAATAATGGTGGTATCTTCTGCAACTAATCCAGATGCACAGCAAGGAAGTCAATGATGAAGGCAATTAGGTTTTGTGTTGATGTTTTGTGATTGTATGTAGGTATTCCAATTTATAAGGCAAACATGTTAGCTCAAAAAGCAGTGTTGTTGTGATGGTAAAAGAAACAACATGGTTCAATAAACCAAACCTGTATATGTACCCTAGATTTTCTATACAGCTACTGTTAATTTATTAATTTCATTGCAGCCTATAAATTGAATAAATGGATGAAATCCTTATTTGTTACTAGTATTCCCGTACACTAAAATTAGCAGTTATAATTAACCTTGAGATGTCCAATTTTTATGGATTTATCTCATCACCTAGAGCATGTTGTATCAGTTTCTAAAATTGAAACAATCAAATTCTTCGACTCACCTCATTTGTAATAATAAAACATCAGGTTCATAGGTCTTACATCTTTATTTGAACTTTGTATACACATTTAGATTTATAATACAATAAATATCTACTGATGTGCTTCTTCATGTACGTTGATAAACAAATATTACCTCTTCAAGTCTTCATGAGTAAAGGGTGATACACAGAATCTGGAACGGAATGCTTTCGCGGAATTGGTTTACCTGAAAAGATAGAACAAAGCTAAGGTGAAATAAATTTAAAATAAGAAGTATACGGAGTTAATGGTAACTCGCCGTATTCCTTTCAGGACGTGATGATGGATCTAAAATGCAATCAATTTCACATCATATATGTGTGGCTGAAAATAAAAATTTTGGCAGATTTTTGAGGTATTTTAACAATCACCCGAAATTGGGTATTTGAGTCAAAATAATAAGCAAAGTAAAGAAATGGCTGTTGTGAGTTGAATTAAGTTTCGGAGTTTATACTTAAAATAAGCAAAAAATGCAATAAAGCACTACACAATAGAATAACAGGGCTATTGCCAAAAATAAATTTAATTAATAATTTGTTTTCGGTTTTTGGTAGGGCACAAATTCCTAGAACAACTTCTTAACAAACTTTAGCTGGAAAACATTTTTCAAGTATTTCATGTGTTGATTCTTCAAAAAATCTTGCTCAATACAAACCTCCTAACTGCAAATAGAGGTCTGCGTTCACCTTCAAGGTTCTGCTGGTCACCTCCTTAGTACCTCCAAAACCGTAAAACGATGAACATTTTCGGTCACTATTCGTCATTTATTTGTCTGGGCGGTCCGTAGGACCTTTGCCCATTAGTCACTGTCTGATGTACGTTAGTCGACTCTGTCAGTCCTGGTTGCCCAGAAACCAGACAAAGTCAAGGAAAAAGATAAAGGGAAAGAGAAGAAAAAAGGAGAAGAACAAAGAAAAACAGATATGCTTAGTTTAAGAGGAAACACCTAGGCTTTTTGACTTGGTACACGGATTAATTTTGAGGTGAACTAAACAAATTTTTTGATTCGGTTTTGTTAGAGTGTAATTTTGAGTTTATTAAAGATTCACGATAACTTTTGATTACAGTGCGAGCCGTGACCTTGAATGTTTACGAACTTGCTCCACTGTGTAGTCCACTGAGTCACGAAACAGAGGGTTGCTGTGCGATTCCGCTTGACTATAACGTCGCTGCGCCTGAAGCTTGACATAGTCCCTCAAGTAAGGAATGTCAAGGTCTCTGTGTAGTGTCTCATTTGAGACATACCATGGAGCGTTGCAAATTGTCCGCAAAGTTCTGCTTTGCAGTACTTGAAGACTTTGCATGTGTGTCTTGGCTAGAAAACACCAAGCCGCACATGCATAAGTAATGGCTGGTCTAATAATCATTTTATATAGTCGAACTTTGTTTATCAAACTCAATTTGGAGGATCTACATAACAAAGGATATAGTTGCCGAAACGCAATTTGGAATTTTGTTTTTATGGATGCTGTATGTTTCTGCCAGGTCATGCCTTTATCAAGGGTGACACCGAGATACTTGACAGAATTTGTCCATGGTACACGATTTCCGTCTACAGAAACCTCTGCTGGGGGGCCGCGACGTTTTTTGGTACAATAAAATGCCTGCGTTTTCGAATGATTAATTTTTATCAGCCACCGTTCCGCCCACTCTAGAACTTCGTCCACCGCATTCTGCAACCCATCGTGAACCAGATCACCAGTACACGACTGGGCGACAAGTGCAGTGTCGTCAGCATAGAGGTAGACTTCACAGTTGTTGGGGGAAGGGACATCATGGATGAAAAACGAATAAAGAATTGGTCCTAGGACCGAGCCATGAGGAACACCGGCCCGTACTGGCCGTGTTGTTGACAAAACATTGTTAATTTTGATCCGAAACTTCCTTCCTTCAAGAAAGGATTTCAGTAATTTTAGAAGCCAAAAAGGAAAACCCTTTTGGATTAATTTATAGAGGAGGCCCGCGTGCCACACCTTGTCAAAGGCTTTTGAGACATCCAAAAGCAAGATGCCAGTACTCATGCTGAGGGTGAACCCTCTGGTTACGTGCCCCACCAGCCTGACTGCCTGCAGCTCGGTGCTATGCTCGGACCGAAAACCGAATTGAACGTCAGGAATCACATGGTGATTTGACGAAAAATTCTCAAGGTGAAGATAAATCACCTTTTCGGCGAGCTTAGAAGGAGCTGATAGCAGACTTATGAGACGGTAATCCTGAGGAAATATCGAACCCACCTTCTTTGGAATCATGATGACCTCAGCAGTCTTCCACCCAGCAGGGAAGTACTGGATTTTGAGCGTCGCATTGATTATCGTCACCAAGTATGTCAGGGCTTTCGGCGAGAGCAGCTTCAGCGCCTTGTTGGTGATTTGATCCTCCCTAGGTGCTTTACGCACCTTGAGGTCTTTAAATATGACTTAGTGACTCCGCTGGTGTGCAATGTGGAAACTCGGAGGGTTCCGCTAATGTGCTATGTGGAGCCTCAGACGAATCTTCTGAAGAAGAGACATCTGAAGAGGATTCAGTGCCTCCGCTAACGCCGTTGGCTCTAAAATATCTCCTGACGGATCGTACGATGTGCTGTTCCTCGACGAGGTCATTATCGAGATCATAGTTGGGAGAGAACTGTTTTTCCATGGCATCAGCGAAAACCTCGACCTTATCCTCCGTTCTGAAGACTATGCCTTCAGGACCGTGGATGTGTGGGAGTTGTTCTCGCTTTCCGTTTCGGAGTGACTTTGCGACCCTCCAGAGAGGAATACTTGAATCAAGCATTCCCGCCAGAAAGTCGCTCCATTGCTCGTTGCGAAGTTCGTGCAGTGCGTTTCTCACTTCATGGTCAAGATTTGTAGCCCTACGAATGTCATCAGGATGACAAGACCTTTTTGCCTGCTTAATAGCGGCTCTTTTGTCAGTGATTTTCTGACGAATTTTCGGTGTGCCTCTACACCGATTCTACAAAACTATAAAGACAACTGCTGATCTACTTTAAAAATTAATTCATATGTTTAAAATATGAAACATCATTCAGTTAATGGATAGTTGTTTGCTAAGATCTGAACCTTTTAACACTGACAATTTGGAGAGCTAGTCTCAGTTTTGTTCTAAGGAAAGCTGAGAAAGAAGGTAAAGCGGTTATTTTACTATGTGTAGTGGTTTTTAAACCTTTATGATTGAATTAACTTTACGTATAAACTGCTGAAATCAATCGAATTCAAAGGTATCTCTTACATAGTTCTTTCTATATAGTCTCAAATGCGAATTTTCTGGTAACTGTTAAAAATTCATAAAAATTTAAAAATGTCGAATACTATTGAGTTTTGACCATGGAAGAAATACGGCAGATTACCAGTAACCCTGTATAATATTGAGTAGTCTGTATTTTGAACTCGCCTAACAATGTTTCATCTTACGTAAGGATGAAGTCAAAGAAAAAAAAAGGAATAGAAATGAAAATGTTTTACCTGCATATAAAAAACAAATTACTAACACGAATAAATGTTAATAATATAAGCACATAAACAATACATACAGGATGGCCCAACGAAAAGGTCGCACCCCCGTTGGTGACTCTCCTGGTATATTTTGGAAAAAACGCTCGTACATGTCAATTGTGATTTCTAGGGGGACGTCTTTTTATCTATAGCCGTACAATACAGGGTAATCAAAAATAAGATATTGCGTTATACATTAGATTTTTAAATGGAAACTCCAATTTTTTTAATTTTTAGATTCTACATGAAGTTTTTAGTAACTTTTGTATAATAAAGTCTATACCAATCTTACATCATTGCGATACTATTATAATAAAATTCTAGAAATTGAAACAATAGGGGATTATATCGTAAAAATAATTCATTTCGGTTCTCATAGATATAGTTGGGAGCAAAAGGAATTCTGCGACGTTCTCTGTACAAAATTGATTCAAACCCGTCATAGAAAAATTATATAAAAGCTACAAAAGTTATAAAGTACCCAAGTATAAGTATGACAGTCAAATCTAACTTAAATGATTTTTAAGCTCTTACCTAAATATTTCCAGTTGTTTTTAACTGCCTGTAGCTCATCTCACTTTTGTACTTCGTCCGGTAGGCAGACGACGTCCATAAAACCATTGATGTCTTGTTCATCCAGTTGCCTCAGGTAGACGGTGATCGAGTTGTCGTACTCCCCTGAAGATACTAGTCGTACCGTTGTTGTGTCACATGCTATTACATTTGGATGTTTACCTGGAAAAAAAAGGCAGTTTACTGACCAGATTTCAACCACCAATCATATTAGGTTTAGAGTATAAGATTTTTGTTTACTACTACTGTTTCCGATTTATTACTTTAGCCTTTCCACGCCCATTGCCGAGGACATATTGCAATCGCGTAACATTTTTGAAACGAGATACTATTTTTGGGATTCACATGGAAAAGCCATGTTTTTTTTCTATCGGTCAGTCTGTCTGCTCACTATAACTCGGAAAGCACCGCTCGGATTTTGACGACATGAGTAACCTCGTATGACAAGCAAGACAGTGCTTTGTAGTTTTGCAAAATCGATCCAGTAGTGGCAGAGCTACGGATAAAAAATGAAGTAAATAAAAATTGCCCAGAGACCTCATTTTTGACGTTTCAGAGACTCCTGCACGTTCTGTTAAATTGTTTTTGGGGGTAAAAAAATGTGAATGTGGGTTTGCACGAGGGAGGTGTATCTCAAATTTTTGCACGCACCCACCACAATGTTGTCAGATGGTCGGTGCTGTCGGTAGGGCAGATGAGAAATTTGTAGATTGCATTGTTGTCAAATTGATGAGAACTCAGGACTAATGATATGGGTTTATTCGAATGATTTGATCCATTCAATTCCCTAGTGCCATATCGTCAGTCGTTCCTATAATTCTAGGACGCTTTTATGGTTTCCTTGATTTTCATAGTATTTTCTCTCCTTCAGAAAGGCTGTGGCGTTTCTAGATTTCTAGTATTCCGAAAATCGTAGTAAATTTCAGGCTGATGTAACAGATGATGTAAATCAGAAGCACGGACAATTTGATGCAAATAGATATTTGTAACATAATCTCAAAATAGAGCGCTCTTCTGAAGGACTGGAAAAACTATGAAAATCAAGGAGGCCATAAAGGCGTCCCACAATTGTAGGAACGACTGATGATAAGGCCCTAAGTTACACAGCTTCGTAGTTAACTATTTTGCAGGAGGAGCTAACTTGTGCAGAACAATATTTTATGAATTTTATACCGTGAAGGGAATAATCTTGCAAGATTTGAAGGTTAGCTAGAACTGGAGAATTCCTCTTCTGACAGATTGTTCAACATAGTCTCGATTCGATAGCAACAAAATGCGACCCATTTTCATATTGACCCGACCAAGTTAGAGTGGTAACCAGACGTTTGGCAGGTCTACCTAGCAGAGCTAGCATGTGGCAGCGTAAGCAGGGAACATAAATATAAACGATGGCGAATATATTTTCTCCTACCTGGTTTTGATGCGAGACCGCAAACTGTGTCAGCCACCATGAGATTGTTGTTGTCCAGACCTGGAGATCCTCCGATTTGCACGTAATCTTCTAATCCCCTCGTCTGACACTGCAAAAGCAAACTAATTAGGCGGCAGCAGGGGCACGGTTATTGTAATTTCCTGATTGTAAACTCGTCTCATCGTCCCGTCTACATCTGCAGCGTCGGATCGGATAGTGCATCAAAGATAGCTGCCAGGTACTTTTCTTTTGGTATAGACTACAGTTTAACGTTTTAAACGTACACACGACAAACATTTATTGTATCCCTTCAATTCAAATGAAAATTCACTTAAATAATGGAGTTTTTATAGAAAGAAACTAAACATACTGCAGCGTTTTTCTGGGTTCTTTTGGGTGTGGATTAAAACACTGGATTCCACAAAAAGAAATGCACTAATTTATTTAACCTGATAGAACATTTATATACAGCACTATTTATGTCTGACTAATTCTTATGTCGCCATTGACTGCACTATACTCCACTCCGATCTGGTGTAATCTGTACTCTCCGCTTCCATCTCCCGGCCGTCGAGTTATATACTTCGAAGTTGAGTCATTTATTTTAACAGTGAGTAGTTCTGATCAAAAGAAATGTTTTTTTCCTTTACCATTTTTCTGGTAAAATTAAAGTAACAAAGTTATAGCCCTTTGGAAGTTTGAGTACTGCCCTGTCTCAATAATCATATGTTCGTGTTTGGCGACAACGGATATAATCCGCCTGACCGGTTCATCGCATCGGAAACAAAAAAGCGAAAGAATTTGAAACGTTTATCACGATGTTTTTCGTCAGTCGATAACGCGTTAGTGATTAGTAGTGTTTGTTGCGTGGCTCAAACGAAATCAAAAATGGCACATGTTTACGAAAATGCTGAACTTGTGGACATGATTCTTATTTACGGGGGGGCAGTCTTTACGAAATGCTCCGGGATGCATCACGGGTTTATGCGAATCGGTTTCCCAATCGAGTGCAACCAACCCCTCGTGCCTTTGTTAATGTAGTACAAAGGGCTCGTGAATCAGGTGACTTAAGACTTCACAGGTCAGGGCATGCTGCTCCAAGACCGCACGATCAAATACAGGTCAGCACTGAAATACTTGTCGAGACGATACTTTATTAAACAAGGTAAGATTTTTTTTTATTTATTTTTTTATTTTTACACACATATTTTGGATTATCTTCCTTCTACAATCATTATCTGAAAATTAATGACTCAACTTCAAAGTCACCCTGTATAGTCCCAATTGCTGCTTCGAGAAACGCCGGGTGAACCACAAGGCGACATCTAGAATATTGGAGGTCACTTCGCGTCGATCTAGAAGGCGCTCCACTGTCACGATCCTCACAGACGCCGCCAAGTGGCTTGTGCGGTCGTGGTTCGCGTAAATCGGCCATTAGTACATTATACTGCAGTAGTCGTCTGCGCACTTTTGGTATGATATTATTTAGAACAGTTTCTACAAAATTTAGCACTAAATTTGTTTATACAAAGTTATGTGCTAAATGCTGTCTGTCTGACATTATCCTTAATCTTGTACGTAATTTAGCACGAAATTTCGTATCGTGACAGACGGCCTTTAACACAGTAAAACAGATACTCTGTTACTTAATATGGAAATAATGTGACGTGAGTTGCAAACGACCCCATCCGTAGCCCCCTTGACGCGGCTATGTGATAAGTTTGCCCTTGTTTGTCATGTTGCTTGCTTATACCCATTAAGATGCAGGCTTGCAGTATTAATACCGAGCAAGTCCTTACATCTCTATATTTAGATCGAACAGGGGATAAGTATTATTATTGGAAATTCATTGTCAGCTGATCAGTTGGCTGTATAGCTTTGAAAACTATGATATTACAACAACTGACCGAAACATCATATTTTCTCGTATTTCCACAATAAAAAAGGTTTACTTGTTAGAAGTGTCTAAAGCTAGTAGTTTTCCAAATATTTGTTTTTAAAAGTTCTAATGCATTATTTGTACCATGATGATAAAACATTTTTATAACATAATAATCAAGTAGCTTTGGATAATATCTAAGTGGCATTAATCATGAAGTTTAAAGCAATATTATGACATACATTAGAAACCATAGCAACGCTACTCAGATATTATATAAAGCAACTAGATTATTATGTTATAAAAATGTTTTATCGTCATGGTACAAATAATGCATTGGAACTTTTAAAAACAAATATCTCGAAAACTATTAGCTTTAGAGACTTCTAACAAGTAAACCTTTTTTATTGTGGAAATATAAGAAAATAAGATTTTTCGGTCAGTTGTTGTATACAGGGTAGCACAAAAATGGTAAGTTATTCACCGAAATAGTGCTGTAAGTGGCGCCCTCTAGAAGTTTGGCCATAAAAATAACGGATTCTTGTTTCTCATACTAGAAAACCTCCCTATACCGAGTTTTATGCTAAAATCTGAAATACCTCTCAAGCAATAAGGAAAAATAGCAAATAAAATTGTAACTCTGACACCCTGTATCTCGCAAACTATCATCTTTTGGACGAAGATATGCTTAGGTCAATTCACATATTTTGGTCTTTAGTATCTCCAGTTTCGAGATTACCCAACCTTTCGCAGACATTTAAATAATGACTATCATAACGTTTACACCCTGTATATATATATATAGAGAGAGAGATTGATGTATGCGTAGAAAAGTATATAACAAAAAATAGGAAAATAATGGGTAAAATCCGCAAAAAGAAGGAAAGTGGATTCGAGCAGAAAATAGGATAGGTAACCCAACCAATACGTATTTCTGCTTGGTGGCTTCATCAGGCCCGAAATGAATGCACATATGCAACCACAAAGGTGCCCATACCCGGAATACGGGTGTAACCTGAGGGAACGAAGATGGAGAAGAAAAAATATGACACACGAAATCTCCAACAACAGCCAACCTAGAAGACCCCGAATTTTCAAGGCGACACCTAACCACAACCACGCTGCCAGTTATAGCCACTTGCTGTGGTACTTCAAGCCCAAAAGATCTACAAAGAGAAAATTATCATGCGGAGAAAGATATATAAGAAAAATTCTAGATCGAAAAATAAAAATTGAAATAAAATTGACTTCATTTGTCAAATATTGACAAGTGAGGCGTTGTTGAGTTCAGAATGTCATTCTTGATCGAAATAAGTAAAAATATATATAGGGTGTCCCATTTAAAAATCGAAAGTTGGTCAAACCGGAAGTACGCCAAAGCAAGTGAATATGTCAAAAAATGTTGATTCATCTATAATACGCAACCCCCAAATTTCGTTTTTCCCGGTATATTGTAAAATTTTGAAAAATAAAATAAGTATGTAAGACAAACAAATTTTGATTGATTGATTTTCAAGGAGTTACGGTGCTGTATTTATTGTGTTAGATAAACGAGCTGTCAAAAATGTATAACTAAGTGACATATAAATCCGAACACCCAGTTTAAATGGTTTTATTTTAATAAAATTTTGTATAAGTACTTAATGAAGCATAATAAGTAAATGATAACAATTTCAAAATGATTGCACTGCTTTAAAGCCCTTTGACCTTTAATAATGTGTGGATGCACCCTGATGTGCTACGCATTCTCCAACGCGCCTAGGCATGCTTCTGATCAGGTGGTCAATGTCCTCCTGTGGTATCTCATTCCAGGCAACCACCAACTCCTCTCGAAGTGCTTCTAGAGTCTGAGGAGGACGTTGCAAATTGAGCAATCTCCTACCCATTATATCCCACACGTGCTCAATTGGGGATAAGTCGGGAGATCTTGGTGGCCATGGTAACAATGTGACATCATTATGTTGAAAGAAGTCTATTGTGACTCTTGCAACATGTGGTCTGGCATTATCTTGTTGGAAAGTTGGATCTGCCAGGGTGTCAAGATAGGGTAAACGATGGGGTTCTAGAACTTCGTGGATATAACGCTGCGCGTTTATGTTACCTCTGATGAAGATTAAAGGTGACCTGGAACCATAAGCTATAGCACCCCAAACCATAACTCCAACAGTGTGATGAACATGTCTTTCAACAAAAAATTGTGGATTCCTCCTTTCACCACGTCGCCTCCTAACCCTGGCACGACCATCGTGCATGCCTAAACAAAATCGAGACTCGTCACTAAAGACAATACTGTTCCATTCCTGATCCCAGAGTGACCGTTGTCTGCACCACTCAAGGCGATTACGTCGGTGTTCTCGAGTTAAAGGGAGGACCCAGTGTGGCCGGTATGAAAACAAGCCAAAACTTCTCATTCGTCGGTAAACACTTCGCATGCCAATAGGTCTTCCGTGTTCTGCAAACCATTCATTTGCAATGGACCTGGTAGTGGAGAAACGGTCCCTTAAGGCCAATAATCTTAGGCGGCGATCTTCACGGTCTGTTGTTCTACGGCGGCGTCCAGTGCCCCTTGCTCTTTGCGTACGGCCTTCTCGAAGCCATGCCTGACAACACCTAACCACAGTGTCTACACTTCTTTGCACTCTAACTGCAATTGCCCGAAAAGAAAGTCCAGCTTCCCGAAGTCCCACTATACGGCCCCTATCAAACTCACTAAGTTGACGAAATCCTACAGGTCTCCGTACTCTAGGCATCGTAACCGATCGTAAAGGATGTCAAGAACCAAAATCCGCCAACGTTGATTCTTTACTGCGGCTGAAATATTCATTTTTAGAGCGTTAGTGAATTAAAAAAAAGCAGTATAAAAACCGGAATGTCCAACTGATAAGGCTGAAAATTTTTTCACTTGTTTTTTACAGTAAGATAAATACATTCACCAACTTTTATTAAAATACCATTTAAACTGGGTGTTCGGATTTATATGTCACTTAGTATATTTAGTACTTACTTTATGGACTATGCCAGTTTCCAGTTCAATGGTAGAAGCTCTTCGTGATCCAGAGTTGGGACCTGCTACCGGCACCAGGCCCACGTCTAGTGCCGCAACGGTCACAGTCGCAGGAAAAAGGGTGCTCAAACTGCAGTTGGACTTCCTTCCGTAGTTCCTCAACGTATACACGTCGTCTGTTTGGAATAATATGTTGCAGGCTAAAAACAATTAGGAACTTCAGAAAATAGGGTATACAGTGTGTCCCAGATTCGCTTCTCTATACAGGGACCTCGGCTCCTGTTATACCTACAGCAAAGGTTAAGGCCGCGCGTCCCTTTTTCAGCTTTTTGTTTCAACTACCTGTTTGCCACAGTATTCTAAATCCTTTTCATCTGATTACTTCACGATGTGTTCAGAGATGACTACAAAACATTGTTTTTAATTTTGTTTTGTCATAAAATGCATTTTTTGTGCATTTTATTGCTAATCTTTTCTTCGATCGTAACTTGTTAAGCACTAGTACAGCTCTGAAATTGTATGTATGCGTGTATGTAACAAATTCTCATCACTTTTTCTCTTAAAAAAATCTTAGATTTTCTTGAAAACTCAACTTGCTGCGAAACGAAGCTTCAAGAAAATAAAAAAAATTTCGAAAGGGAAAAGTGATAAGAACAAAAGTAATCACTTGTTTCATTCTTTCATAAAAGAGGAATATTCACACACAATTTCAGAACTGTACTTATATTTGTTAAGAAGTTCTGATTGAAGAAAAAATGCACAATAAAATGGACAATACATGCATTTTTTGACAAAAAAATTAAAACATTCTTTTTGAGTTATCTCTATATATACCATGAAATTATCAGATGGAAAAGATTTAGAATACTGCTGCAAACAGGTAGTTGAAAAAAATCTAATAAAGGACGTGCCACCTTAAATAGAGGGAGTTTTAGAGGAAACTTAGTGCATTCGCTAGCCGGATTCATATTTACGATCCTTCAATTGGCTTTGGAAATATCGGCGAAAAACCGAAAACGTCGAATGTCGTTTTCTGCCAGTAAATCCGAACCTGTAAATTTGACAGCTGTCAAAATGTAACATTATTCGGACACTTTTTTAAGGGAAGTAAGATAGTGTGTACGACATGTCTCAATCGTCTTTTGTTTTCCCGCAACCTGCCTCAACTTTCAACTTTCTTATGTCCGCCATACGAGGGATGTCTTTTAAGTTTTGCATATAGCAACATAGTAGGCCGCGCGGATCGAACGTCAGTACTGAATCTTAACCTCACTCTTTAGTAAACTTAAATTCAAAGTTTCACAACGATACGTGCAGTGTTCTCACTACAGTGAATTTTTAAGTGTCACCAAAGTTAGAAAAATGGAACTCAACCGAGAACATTTTCTCGCCATAATTTATTACAACTTTCAGAGACAATTATCGCAACAAGAATGCCTTGCTGAGTTACTGTCTGTTTTCGGCAACGAAGCGCCCCCGTTGGTACGGAGAATTCAAACGTGGACGGGTGAGTCTTAGCGACGATCCCAGGGTAGGTGCACCAAAAACGGTAGTCACCCGGGAAAACGTCGATGCTGTGCGCAAATTCATCATTGAAGATAGACATGTGACATATCGAGAGATTGAGGCGTCCTTGAAGATCCCAAAGACCTCAATTAAAAAAATTTACATGAAGAATTAGGAGTAAGAAAATTAGTTTCTCGTTGGATACCCCACCTGATGACTGAAGAGCAGAAACCAGCCAGGGTTAATTGATGTCAAAAAACGCTTGACCGTTTCAATTCCGGAAACTCAAAAAATGTGTACAGCATTGTTAGTGGTGATGAATCTTGGATTTACTATTATGAATAGACGACAGTCGGCTGTTTGGGTGTTCAAAACCTGAAGAAAAGCCAACAAAAGTCATCCGTTCTCGAAGTGTTTCGAAAAAGGTGGTCGCGTCATTTGTGTCAAAAACGGGTCATATTGCAACAATTCCTCTTAATGAGCAAAGAACTGTTACTGCGGATTGGTATACCACCATTTGTTTGCCAAAAGTCATCACCGAGCTTCGAAAAATCAACCCCGAAAGAAGAATCATCCTCCACCAAGACAATGCAAGCTCGCACACAGCCCAAAAAACAAGGCAGTATTTAACGGAAGAAAACGTGGAATTATTGGACCATCCTCCATATAGTCCCGATCTAAGTCCTAACGATTTCTTTACTTTCCCGAAAATTAAAAACAGACTGCGTGATCAAAGGTTTCAGTCACCAGAAGAAGCAGTTGACGCATTAAAAAATGCCGTTTTGGATCTGCCAGCAAACGAGTGGAATAAGTGCTTCGAAAATTGGTTCTTCGTGGAGAATACTTCGAAAGACAATACAGTCATTTAAAACTACCTACCGTGTTGTTTTATTTCCATATGCAAAACTTAAAAGACATTATTGGATTTTTCGTTTTTTGAAAAGAGCGTAAAATTTCCAGCCTAGTGATATCTCACAAGTGCATAAGAGAGTATCATCGAAATATCATCACACCTAATGTTATGTATCAATTTTTTTCTAAGTATGCCATGATTTATTTGTCAGAAAATAAAATTAGTAAGTAACGCATGTTTTTCATTTAGGGAGGCTCTGACTTTGACGTTAAATAATTCAAAATATTAAAATTGTTTTAATAAGTAGTAGGTACGTTTTCTCTTTGAATTATTTAACGTCAAAGTCAGAGAAAACATGCGTTACTTACTAAATTTATTTTCTGAAAAATAAATCATGGCCTCCTTAGAAAAAAATGTATACATAAAATTAGGTACGTGTGATGATATTTCGATGATGATCCAACCTTTTAAGCACTTGTGAGACATCACTAGGCTGGAAATTTCACGCTCTTTTCAAAAATCGTAAAATCCAATATGACGGCCATAAGAAAAATTAAAGTTGAGGCAAAAAATACGATTGAGACATGTCATTCACGCTAGCTTATTTTTCTCAAAAAAATGTCCGAATAATGTCACATTTTGACAACTGTCAAATTAACCGTTTCGGATTTACTGGCAAAAAACAGGATTCGACATTTTCGGTTTTTCAAAACCAATTGCCCGATCGTAAATCTGGAACCGGCTATCGAAAGTACTAAGTTTCCTCTAAAACTTTCCCCATTTAACGTTTGCTGTAGGTATAACAGGAGCCGACATCCCTGTATAAAGAAGTGAATCTGGGGCACACTGTATGCATGTGATCCAAATATCGGTCATTTATTTGTATTATTATTATTTTATACTTATGCGCTATAAAATCATAAGATCATCAGTGTTAATTAATAACGAATGGGAAAACGCGACAATTCAAAATATCGAAACGCAACCCTTTTGGACTGACGTCACGATATCGGCAAGTGAGCAGCCAATCATCCTTTGTCGCTATCGTTGATTGTCAACCTACCAGTTTGAAAGATTGAAGGGTACTGGTTGGCATGAAATTCGCCACTGAGTTATCTAAACATTTTTTTTTTGACAAAACTTTCTGGCTCTTCAAATCCAACAATTTAACCTGCAAAACATGTGGTTCCAGCGGGACGTAGCAACTTGTCACACAGCTAGGAAAACAAATCTTTTGCGAACAATATTTCCGGGACGTTTAATTTCTCGATTTGGTAATGTCAACTGGCCACCAAGGTCAGCGGATTTAACGGCTCCAGTCTTTTTTATAGGGTCTATGCCAACAAACCAAATACTGTAGAGCAGTAGAAAAATATTACGGAAGCGATTGAAAATATTCCTCCTGGAACCTACCAAATAGTGATGGAAAATATAATCAATAAGGCTCAGGTTTGCGCGGCTTCTAGATGCGGACATTTGTCTGATATCATTTTTCATGCATAATTTCTAAGTTTCAATAAAAGATTAAGATGAAAAAAATGAATGATTTTATTCCATTTTACAAATATTCAAGATACAAACCAGTCGGTTATATATCGGCCACCCTGCATAACACAATAACAGGTTCATTTGGGAAATGAGGAGCCATAGGTGGTCTTATAACGGAGCATATTATTACCATTTCACACTATGTTGACAGGTAATCTATGAAAACATGGGGTTATAGGATTAGCTATATACCTCCCTTCGCGTAAGGAAGCTATTCAGAACACTTCCATAGTTCAGACACAAATTGTTCGCAAAGTTTATACTCACGGTTGGGATTCTTTATAAACCTCACATAGAAACTGAAACTGCTTCCCCTAGCTGGCATTCTATACTGGATGAGAGCTACGTTTTGTGAGCTGACGAAAACTTTCTTTATCTTCTTTTGACCGCATAGTTCCGTTAGTCTGGTCCTCATAGGTCTAGGATGGTCCTCGCGACTTGGAAAGAATTCACCGTTCAGTTCCCAACCGTCCACCACCTTAAAAATAATGGAGCAATAAATTGCAGCGTAGTCTGCAGCTTTGAAATTACTTTACTAACCGATTTTCTCCTATTTCCATATTATAGGATCGGTTAACAGGCCTCGCACGCTTTGATAGAAAAATAGCATTACACCGAAACTCTTGAAGCTACCTCTAATTTATGAGCTATGATAAAATGCATTAAATCTAAGGAAACATGACACAGGAGAAATATTTCTATACACAGGGTGATTCAGAAAGTAGGTATATATCAAATTCATATGAAACATACAAAAATAAGATGAAAAGCAACTCTAAAACTATTCGCACAGTGGTAGAAATGGTCCGAAAACCTGGACAAAATACATAGGCGTTCGCTTACAATTAGTTAGACCTTAAAATTTGAATATTTACTGTGGTTTTGTGTACAGTTTTGGGGATTTTTAGGATCTGCCCCACCCACTAAGAAAATTTGCTAGCTCCCGCTCTTCAAAAACTTTTGAAGGTAGGTGCACTTTCACAAAAATTCCTGTGGGAGTCCATGCAAGGCTTTTTACGGCTTTTAAGGAATTTGTTGTCAGTCTGTGAACAGAATAACGTATTCAATATGACGGACTATTCTCTTTTATCTACATCCGATTTTCACAAGAGATTATACCATTCTTTACAGACATATGAGCCGCCTTCCCACTTCAATTGGCGCAACTATTGAAATCTTAGTTTTTTTCTTATCAAATACAAATAATACAAATGTAGCAGGGTATTACAGGTTTAAAATATTAACAACTAATCAAATTTGCAGCATAAAAATAACACATGTTGCAATTACAGCATATCAACCTATTTTCATTTCAATGCAAAATAAGTCTATAACGCATAGCTGGCTGTGAAAAATAAAAGCCATGACCATTGTTTTTATTAATCACAGCTGTCAGAATACGTTTAAAATAGTTTTGGGTAGTTAAGGTTTTCAAAATGGGTAGAGGAAAGGTTATTAGTGAGAAAATTCGGTTACTGAAAATTACATTTTTTAATTCTGGGAAATCAAACTCAGAAATTGCAACTATGTTAGACTTATCGCGGTACACTGTGAGAAATATTGTTAGAAGATATAACGTAACTGGATTAGTTAATATTAAGCCACGATATGTGAAAAAAAGTAATATCACAAATACCGACCGAAGATTAGGAAGAATAATCGTGAAAAACAGGCGTGCCAATCATTTACAATTAAGTGCTCTGAGGAGTGACACTATTGGAAGGAGAATTTCGAGGTCCACAACTCATAGAGGCCCACAAACTGGGATTTAGCACTTGCAAGGCAAGTTTTCTTATAAAAAATAGTGAAGTAAAAACCCTAAAGTTGCACAACTTGATTATAGGCCAAAGAAAAGCCACTATAAACTCCACTGCAAAGGAAAAATCGGCTTAGGTGGGCTAAAGAACATAGACAATGGGCACCTCAACAATGGTGTGCAATACAATGGAGTGATGAGGCCCGATTCGAAGTTTTTGTTGGTGACAGTCGCAGTAGAGTTATTCGCAAAAAAAATGAAGCATTTCATATTGACTGTCTGAAGAGAAAAGTAAAATTTCCAGCATCCATTATGGTCTGGGGCAGTATGTCATCAAAAGGAGTAGGATAACTTCATTTTATTGATGGAAATGTGGATACAAACAAATATTTGGCAATTTTAGAAGAATCGCTTTTACCAGTGATGGAAGAATGTTTGATATCCGGCCAAGATTTTGTGTTTCAGCAAGATGGTGCAGCGTGCCATACCTCAAAAAAGGCTATAAAATGGGTGGAAGAACATCATGTACCACTTTTGAAATGAGTTTCTAGCAGTCCATCTGTCACCTATTGAATCTTTGTGGCACGAGATGAAAAAGGTTTTACGACAACATCCTGCTCGTACAATCACCGAACTGAGACAAAAGCTTCAAGAAATATGGGATTGTTTTACACCAAATTTTTGCCAAAACTTGGTTAACACTATGCCCCAAAGAATTTCAGCCGTAATAAAAAATAAAGGTGATGTTACCCAATGATAATCTTTCAATTGTTGCTTTGTTAACTATGCGCATTTTTCGCACATTGTTTATTTGTTCAGATGTTCTATTAGTTATAGGTCTAAGTGATTTCAAATGTGTATTTTTTACGACTAGACTGTATCCAAAATGTTTTTGAGAAAATAAATTGTTTTAGAAGTAAATAGTTTCGTCATGTTTAGTTTATAAAGGCATATTTTGGTACAAATCTTGAAGTGGGCCAACTGAAGTGGGAAGGGGCTCGTATTGGCAGACAGGAAATGGAGGATTTTCCGAAATACATCTGAATTATGGAGAATGTCGTATCTTTGGGTTTTTCCATGAATCTAATGTTAAATCGAATCCAAATGTCTAACAAAAACAATATGTTATATAAAATTCCAAAAAAATGCAAGTGGAATCTCGTTAATATCCTCAAGATCGGTCATCAAAAGTGTCTTGACATTGCAATAATGAATGTTTCGAATGAGAGATAATAATTTCAAACACGTTCACTAATTAGGTTCTGTAACGTGACTAATCTTGACAAAAGTCATAGCGATTTTAAAAAGGAGCGAAGTTTCATTTGCAGTGCAAGGTTAGCTTATCTGAATTCAATTTGTGAGTGAAGGTATCCCGGAAACTGTTGATGATTTCATATTAGCTTGCTTAGGTGTTTAGGCCTTAAGGATCATCCCCAATATGCACCGTCACCTGCTAGATGCTTATATAGACTACTCGAAGTTCAGGCATGTAAAAAACATCGCTGGTGTGATCCTGCCATGGTATAGGCAACAAAATTCACTCTAGCTTTAGCTCAAGCAGCTAGCAGCAGCTAATTGCTTCATGACAGGGTACTCCTAGTGGTTGTTATCCCACCAAAACAAGGTTAGTCGGTAGTTATGAGACGTCAAGGTGAGTTTCTTTGTACTTTGGTTTTTGGATGCAAAGCGATTGCGGTTTGGGCGCCACCTAGTTTCAAAAACTAGGAAATGAAATACAAAGTAGCAACTGGTGGGAGATATCGACACACAAACTCACAACGCGCACAGACGTTTATTGAACAAAAAGAAAAGTAAATATTAAAATATAACAAGAAAACCATGTAGTGCAGGTGTTTGGCTTTTCCGGTAGGCAACCGACAGCAGGAAGTCCCAGATGTAACCTGAAAGTTGAACCCCCGAACAATGAGGGTTCATAAAATGGGGAACTGCTCCTCAAAAGTGTGAGACACTCAAATTTCCTCAGCTCGGCGGTTGAGTGTTGTTATTTCCCATGAGGGTGAGAAAAAGGCTCTGACAAAAAAACCACCAAGATGCCGATTTCTAATAAAAAAAAAACCCACCACCCTATAAATCTGAAACTCAGCGTGTGAAACTATTTCACAGAATCCGGCAGTGAGCCGCAGAATTCCTACACCAGAGCACCGGAAATAGCACCAAGTCACCTTCAGCTCTCGTACTTACGGTCGACAGAAATTATAAAAAAATGACCTCCAACGAGATGGGAAGTAAGTACGATGTTCTACCACAAAATTATTTGACAGGGAGAAGTGTTTTATTCCTAGATATAAAGTTCGATATTTTTAAGATCGGCTATAAAATTATTATTCTAAATAAGAAAAATGTTGCAATAATTTACTTTACCAAGATGTAGATAATGTTTAGTCGTCCATAAAAAGAAATTGTAACACGTTTTTGAGATAAGTCATGTGGTTATATGAAATGCTAAAGCTGCATCCAAACATCAAGGAATTCGTAAACTTTATATTAAACCGTTTTCTAGAGATGCAAAGTAAATAATTACAACGGTTAGGACGTTTTCGTTTTAGCTGTTGAATGAAGGAAGTTCTGCGTATAAGTACCTAACTTTTCTGCTGGATTCAAGGCTTTTTATTGCGCGAGGCTTAGCTGTTTGCTGATCACTCGAAGACAAACACATGGATCTAGGACATTCTAATCCAGACGGTGTGAACAGTTTGAAGTATCTAATTGAGTTCTACACATATTTCAGGTTTTTGGAAAAGCTTCTTTTAACCAGGAAAACACGGCAAATTTACCACTGTGCGTCTCAGAAATAACTTTTAGACCACACTATACAACCTGAAGCATTTCAAAATGATGCATGTTTGGAACAACACACTTATTGGATATTTTTCCAAGATATTATGACGGGACCACAAAGTACTCAATTTCATCTCCTTGTCTAGAGATCGACTGATAAAGAATATTGCCGATACCGATAATCGGCTGATACTGATATATCAAAGGATGATGACCACAATGAAACCACAACTGTTTACGTGAAAGCCTAATATCGTTTCGGCCCATGTTGCAATTACGGGGGATGATAATCGGAATATTGTGTTAGACAAGTTTATTGAAAAAAACAAAAACTCTGTTACGTAGATCACGAATTTGCTGTCATTCCTCCACGACACTTTGGGATTTCTTCACAACCATATATGAAATCACCATCCAAAATCAACCCTGAGACTGATCACGATCACGAGAACATAAGTAAAAAACTGCCAGAATCGCAGTTGATCAGAATACGTTTTCTAATAGTTTGACGAGAAACCGTTTTCCTACGACATTGTGTGAGGTTTTTTGAATACAAAAGTACAAATTCATACTATGTGAAGCGATCATTTAGCAAAAATTTGGCTACTTACGACAACAAGGCCTCCATTTTCGCAAGGAACGTTCAGATAGTTAATGTATATCTCGACGTTTTGATCCGGTTCTGTAAAGATGTAAGCGCCGCATACTGAGCCGTCAGCCGCTGTCGCTTTGTGGAAGTATTCGCCCTCTTCTGATGACATGTAAATGCAATCTGAAAAAAAGTGGAATACATAGACATACACAAAAAAGCCCAAAAATCTTAGGAGTATCTTTGCAATTCAAGAGACCTTAGCGACCGCTCTCGACGAAAGCAGCTGCGACGTCTACCCAACTGTTTCCACGAGCAAGAAAGTCAATAGTGTACGGGTGTTCGTCAGACTCAAAAAATATGTTGCGTACAAGATGTTTATTTATTTGTAAAATACGTTATCTATAAGAGCTTCTTTCAATCAAGGTTTTTAAGAATAAAAATATTCTAGTTATGTTCTGCACCTGCATTCCTACAAAAGTTATTAGGATCAAATATGAAGTTTTCCCTGCAATGTACTTGTATACAGGGTCTTTCAGCTTTTAGCTATCGAATAAAGTTATATTTTTAAGATAGAACACACTTTTTAAGTGTAAATAATAGCCATTTTTCTAATTCCAAATGCTCGTATACAATATGGATTGTTATATGCGTTTTTATTATTTTAGCTATAAACTTGTATTTTGTATGTCATTTTAGCTTATGTGTTTGTATCCGGGCTTATACTAGACTGACTTACATGTTTTTCTGCCCAAATAAAACCACATATGTGTAAATTATTCTCTACTGACATTTCGGTCACATAGTTCTACCGAAAATCAGCAATTTCCGCTGTGAACGCCTCCAGTTGAATCTACCCTGTATATATACAAATTAGTGATTGTCAATTTTTTGGGGCAGAGGGGTCATGGTCTCCCCTAAGAATTCGGTTCTACCTTGATATTTGGACATGTAGCATGCTTTTGTGCATAATTTTGCAGACAGACTTTCACAGAAAGTTATCAGACACTATTTTCTGTTTGACCAGTAGAATAAATTTACAACAAAGGTATGAAAAATATGACACGGTTTGCTATTTGTTAAAAGAACTTTACCCACAGATACAAAAGGCAAAGCTATTTCCGCTTTCTGCGTGTGGCATTGTGAAAATTTATAAACTTGTTTCATAATTCCAAGTCGTATGTTCTGTAGAATAAGTGAAGAAAAACGTTTCAATCTCAACTTCTAACCCAAACAGTTTTGCGAATTGTCGAGGGACCTGAAGGACTGAAAATTTATTTGATTCTATTTACCTTCTATCCGCTTGTTTTGGTCTGAGCACTGAACTAATAGAATGATTTAATAGAATTCCTAATAAGAAACATGTACGAGAATAACTTCAGGGTTTTGACATGGAATACTGGAAGATTGATAAGATCTTGGTCATTTTCTATTTCATGAGCTAGATATTAACAATTATTTTAATTAGACAAAGAAATCCTTCCTTTTTCGAGCATGAGTATGTGAATAGATGTTTTTGACACGTTTCATTTCATTTGGGTTGTATTTTTGGAGTTCAAGAAACGTAAGATTAAAGAAGAATTTTTCCTCTCAACAGTTATTGGAGATTGCCAAGTCTCCAGAGGTTGTCGTCAAGAGGATGAGAGTCATGTGACAGTATGTATTTTGGAATTTGATAAAAGTATATAATAATTGATTGTAAAGCTTTTTTAAAGTTTTTCAGAGTTTAAAAGAGAAGGAAGAAATCTTATCATTTGGGCTATAATTTTCTATAAAAAGAATATTTTTAAGTATAACAAAGGTCTAATTATAAAACGTCCTATAGAGAACTCCGATTATATGAATTCATTGATTCTTCTCCTTAGTCATCAACATTTAGCAAAATGTACTGAGAGAACACGCAGAAGAATTTGAAAAAAATTGGGATATACACATGAAAATCAGGAAATATGAAGCACAGAGATAATCAGCAATACTAAATTACAGAGGTATATTTCCATAATATATAATTGCTCGAAGCAAAGAGTAATAATGCATTTGAGTTCTACATGCTTCCACATCCATTGTATCATATCAATTCAAATTGTTAATTCTGCTTATCTTAAAGGTTCCTATGTCACTGCAATTAAGTTGACAGGGAGACTATATCATACATAGATCATCATGTCGAACACCGTTTTGTCAAATATTTAGTTGATGTAATCGTAAGCCCCCCGTACATGCTTTTAAACTGATACATGGAGTCGTATAGGTTGAACTCCCATTCTAGGATCTATAAAAAAATTTGACACTTTGGGCTACGGAGAGTCAGTTTATCTGGCCCGCTTGCACTAAAGCCAAATTTTCTCTAAAAGAGCTAAGCGTAGCTACGGTTTCCTTTCATTGAAGGTAAGAGGAGGATTCTTACAATAAAGTTTAGGAGCCGAGAAGACTTGTGTATATCTGTTACTTTTCAAAATCTTCGGATAGTTCTTATGCGTAATTTTCAAATAATTGAGAGAAAAAGACTGTACGTGTATAAAAAATAGAACTGACATTTTCTTTCAGATAATAAACGGACCATAAACACTTGCAGTTATAAACTGGCACCACTGGGTATCTATATCAAACCTAATAATACAATCTATAATTACGCTACGCACTTTTGAACGTCTGCACATGTCGAAACATATGGCACAAACAAATTCCAAATGCACGTTGACAGAAGGTATTAGTCAATTGTTTCCCGAGGTTGATTTAGTTTTTGGGTATTTGGCCAGGCTTTTCTGCCTCTGGTCCCACTGTTCGTGTGTCTGTTGCCCACGAGGCAGCTAATGATAGCTATAGTACTTCTGGGCTCGACTGTCTGGTAGCTGAAGCCGCCATATGCTGTTTTTAGTACCAATAGAAGGTGCGGAACTCTTCGTCTGAAGCAACTGGCTTGTCTAAAAACGTATCGCGGTTCTTGTTTCTGAGTACAGTTTAAGCAGTTCGAACGTTAAAGGTTATTCCGTCCCTGCCCAAACTATTTTTAGCTTGTAAACTCAGAGGCTGGTTAATAAAGATATGCGACTCCAGTAGTTCAACAGCATTCTTGTTTATTAGATCGAGGTGCGATCAACCCTTCATTTCATCTTTATTTAAAATTTCATTATCATCGTTCGTAAGAAAACACGACCACTAGTTTTATTTTACGGTTATTATCGTCTTAAACTTGTAAACGATTCACAGTACCATAAACTTTATACCTGCAATATGTACGCGTTGCATGGTATAGCATCAAACATAAAAATGATTGTATGTCTTTATATTAAAAAATCCTGCTCTAACTTAATAGCCTATAACCTTCAGCGTTTGGTATACTAAATGGTACTACAATTTATGGTCTTATTGTGTTATACGTTTATATTTGAATTCCCAAGCGATAACATGATCTGAGAAGAATGAGAAGGGGTGTTTCCCGTATCTTGTTTCTTGAAAATTTGTTCAGGACGCCGTAATGTGTATTTTGTGTAAATTAATTTCACCTAGGCAATGCATATGAGGTGGTAAGTTCGTGTGAAGTACGAATTGCAAACATATCCATATTCCAGAGATGGTGAAGATATAAATTACTAATGTTTCGGCTGCTTTGGTTGTCTTTTCCAAAGTATTATCATGAAGTTATTGTCAATTATACATAATATTACATTTTATTGTACTCTTCAATTTCACTGGGATGGCCGAACGTCAGTAAGTTCTTCAACATCACCTGTGGTTTCATTCAAAGGTCATTACAACTTGTATCTTGATCCTTGTGTTGTTTGACAACTTAAGTTTTTATTTCGTACTATTTTAGAACTATTGAGAAATAAGTAATTTTGATATAGCTCCTCATGTAGGTATCCTTCTTGAACATAATGTTTGAAAACGGCTTTTAATGTTAAAAAAAACATTTCTACCTTACTTTCCTTGGGTGAGTCAGACCAAACCAAATGCTTTTGATTCATTTCAGTTTGTCAGTTTGACACCTGATAACTAGACGTTTTGCAGAATTTGTACAATCAGTTAGAAACATCATGATTGTGAAGTTATGTAAAATCGAATATTGAAAAAATATTGAAAAAATATATACGTCGTTTAAAATTTGCACATTATATGGCCTCCTTGTCAAATAGTAGGTATGTACTATTTGAGAGATAGATCGACATTAACTCTGAAATAGCGTGGAGCTCACAGTGGCGGATTTATGCGAAAAATTCAAAAAAGCAAAGTACCGATTATAAAAGGAATTACTACCTATTCCAAAGTTATTACCTTAAATAATAAGCTGGCCATAGAAACAGAACTTCGCTTAAACTACTTTTATCATGGCAAACTATCAAACTTGAAGTTTATCATTCGACACTACCCTTTTTACGGCAAAATTGGAGAGTTCCTGTTTGATCCTATGTGTTGTGTGTTTGGAAAATTCTGAACATTTCTAGGTTATTATTATTCAGATTGTAATGAGGTCCTTGAAGTACTGATAGATAAAATCTAGTCATGTTTTGCTACATCTATAAACTTTTGAGAACTCTAACCTTATATTTGCCATATTATGTCAGGTGGTCGGGATTACTCGACTTTTAATTTATTTTTTGAGTGAATTTAAAATTAATTTTGAACTTAATGACTGCAATGTCAGACTTATTTTGAATTACCCTTGAAGTGACCTTGAGATGTCCTCATAGTGACTAAGTGGCCGCTGATTGGATCTTAAATACCAGAAAAATCTAAACGACATGTGATTGCCCTCAAATGCTCTGCAAGTATTCTTGATACATTCTTTAAATACCTCCATAGAGACAAAACTAACCAGAGATTCGAAATCAGCGACCCAAAAAATCGGTTAATTGTATTCTTTGCCAGATTTTATGCGTACTGGACAACTGTACGGCCCCAGCAATCGCACCACTGTACTTAAGATTCTCGCATCAGTCAAAATATGCTTACTGGACAAGTAAAAATTACGCGAGTATATTTGGTACCAAAGCTATGGGAATTTACTGTCTATAATCATGGAAACTGTTTCAGCAACATGCCTGCCCTTCAGTTGCTATGTTTTCACTTTGTTTGCATATTCTCTGGCATCACGTTGAGATTTATTGAGTGGTATTTGAAAAACATCGTTGTTTTCGGAGGTATAAAGAGCTCCTTTTTAGTAATCGAACTTATTAAGAATA